ACAAATGAAAATAACCCTAATAATTATGTATTATAACGTAACATAACCTTTAATAACAAAATATCTCAAATAAAAAAACAGACGACGTTTCGATCGCAACACAAGCGGTCTGATGAAGACCGCTTGTGTTGCGATCGAAACGTCGTAGGGTTTTTTTTGCTTTTATTTTTTGTTTTCTATTTACGTGACTTTACCGAAAGAACCAAGACTATTCTTTAATAACATGTATTAAGTAAAAACAAACTTACATATGTAGATCCTTACGTATGTTTCTACAAGCACATCACATTTCCTCTTCTCAGACGTAGCGAAATGCGATTTTTTTTCAAATTTGAAGAAACTTTACAAAGAAGTGAAGAGCGTTGAGATCGAGATGGGTTTTCCCTAGGCACAGCTGCACACTGGCGGGCTATGGACTGTACGCACGCATACGGCAGAAGTGCCATCTAGCGACGAGTGTACGCATAGCACGCGCATAGCACGCGCACGCTCGTCGACTCGGCGTCAGGAGCAGTCGCGAGACGCTCGTAGACACAAGTTTTGGTCGCTGCTGCGGGGGTCTCACGAAAAGGAAGGTCGTAAAGGCGGGGGTCGCAAGTCGACCAGTCGGGGGTCACCTGTATACGCACCCACACAAACGCACATCTCCCGTATACCCTTTAACATAGCATTGGGGCAAGTGCTGTCATAACAGATCGATGTGGTCCTTCTTCGTTGTGAATGTTTTATTTGTGCTTATGCACCGCTGCCAAGGCACCATCACCGATGGATGTGGTGGCGCACGTGGCAGCCTGCAATCCAGCACCGTGGAAGCAGCCAGGGTTGGTGGATCGCGCAGACGCGCGCGTCGAGAAGGCAGTGCGGCAAAGTCGGGACTCCAGCTGCTCCGCCTGTATGGGACGCCGTGTGTCCCCATAGCGCGCAAAGGGGTTCTCTCTCTCTCTGTTCGGGAGCGAGCGGCTACGGTGCGCTACACGTTGGCATCGCCCTCGTCGTTACCGCTGACGAGCTGATGTCCTGGCAGGAGGACAGGGCCAGGTGTGGGGGCCCCCCGGCAGCTCGCCCGAGTCGGGCCCTGCGATTTGGGGGTCTCGCTTGAGTCATCGACGGCGCCTCGCTGCGAGCACCCGGTTCCGCGAGACGAGGCCGTGTTTGTCTCTCTCGCGCAACCGCTTCCTCGCACAGGGGTAGCGCAGGAAGGCGATGGCGGGCGATCACAGACACCCACGTTGATGTCTCGACCTTAAGCCGGCACCACTGCGCACAAGTGATTGCACAGAAGGCCCGCGGGGAGGGGTTCGCTTCGGGTTCAGTTCCAATGGTGTGGGTTCTGGAGACGTCTCACGTCAAGCTGCTGCTGTCACCGAGGGTGAGAACTCGACAAAGCAGGCGAAGAAGTCTCCTTCACAAGAGTCAGTGGGGTCACTACATCGACAAAAGCAAATCTATTCAAATAGAGCGCAGCAATTAAACAAATAGAAATGAGGGTAAAAACAACTGCGCTAGCGAAGAGATATAAAACAATGCACGAATACAAATCAACATTAAATTAACTTTCCAGAAGAAAAATGTGTTTCTAAAACGAATCAGACAAGACCCATGGTGAGTAAACACAGCGACCTGAGCGAGTCTCGTCAGTCCTCGAGTCGGGGCGACTCACGGCTCCTCCTCCTCGCGCCCTCGGAACGGAGAGACCACGGGGGGCAGCCCGGGGGGGGGGGCAGCCCGGGGGGGGGCAGCCCGGGGGGGGGCAGCCCGGGGGGGGCAGCCCGGGGGGGGGCAGCCCGGGGGGGCAGCAGGGAGCTCATCCCAGGAGCCTGAATCCCCCTCGCCCCCCCCCCTCACTCCCACTCACCCCTCCACCCACAGGTCCCTCACTCCAATCGTCTCCATGGGAACTGCTTGTCCAGCCCCCCCTTCCTCATCCCCCCCTCTCCTCCTCCTGACAACGCAGGCTTTGTTCTCCATGTGTTTGTGTTTTACTGCGGATGAAAGGCTGAGCGCCGTGAGCCGTGAATGCACGAAGAGTCCCACAGCCCCTCCCCTCACGCCTCCCCGCCCCCACCCCACGCCCCGTCTTCCATCTGGACGCCTGGAACAGGTCCAGGGAGCCCCGCTCCGTGGCCCCGTGAGCCGTGAGGAGTCGCCAGGAGCCGGGACCCAGAGCGTGGGGAGGGGGGGGGGCTCCTCTTACCCCCCCTTCCCCCAATCCCCACCCGCCAGCCCTCCCCCTCCACGGGTGGAGCGTTTTACTCCTTAGAGCCAAATATACAAATGGATTCAGCTCCTTCGACTCCAGATGCACGCACAGCAACAACCGTCGTTCGCCACTGGGTAACCGTGATGTCACCACCATGGCGCTTGTGCCAGGATAGGTGCACGTGAAGTGTACATACGAAACATAAACATGCACGTATAAAAGTAAACATATAAATACGCACATGCGCGCGGGCACACACGCACGTGCACACACGTCCATACACACACGTGCACACACACACGTGCACACACACACACACGTGCACACACACACACAAAGACAAAGATCCCCCGTATAGCCTGAACAGACTGTAGGGGCAAGTGCTGTTAGCGAGCACCTATGAAGGCCGGAACGGTACACGAGGGGGTGGGTGGCCAGCACCACGCCCGACCGCCTTTGTCTCCCTAGTGGCGATGTTTACACACCGCACCAGGTACTCATTTAAGGCTGAGTCGACCTAGGGGAGGCCCAGGACCGGTTCAGATAATCGTCACTGGTGTTAGCCGTGAGCGGGAATCGAACCCGGGTCGCCAGGTTCATAGCGCAGCGCGCTAACCGCTACACTACCGCTCCCCACACACGTGCACACACACACACACACGTGCACACACACACACACACGTGCACACACACACACGTGCACACACACACACACACGTGCACACACACACGTGCACACACACACACGTGCACACACACACACACGTGCACACACATATATCCTTCCCGGGAACTCGAAGCGACTCCGCGCAGGAGAAAGCGACACCCGAGCCCCCCCCCCCCAGGCCACGTGTTTTGTTTTGTTCTGACCCTGAGAATCCCCCCCACGCCACCTGGCTCGCCCACACTCACACACAGGTGTCGCTTTACCTGGGGGAGCGGGGGGCGGGGGGGGGAGGGTGAGGAATGTCGCGGCGCGTCGTGCTTCTTCGTGGCTCCATGTCAAGCGGCGCGAGAGTTCATCCGCAGAGAGGGAGAGCCTCGGAGAGTTCACGTCCTCGACTCGTACCCTCTCCTATCTCTCCTCGCGCACTCTCTGCTCCTACTCTCATCGCTTTCAACACACACAGACACTCCGGATATTCGCCACTAAGTGCCGGTAATGTCACCACAGCGCTCGTGCCAGGCCAGGTGTACCTTGAGGCCACATGAAGTGTGGAAGGCTTTCTGGCAGGTCACGGGACAGACCCAGGTGCCACGGGTCGACTGACTGAGATGACTGGCAGATGCACCACCTGTGCTCCCCACTGTGCAACCTTGCTGCGTTTTATCTGCCCGGCGTTCCACTCGTTGTTGTGAGCGTCGCTCCTCTGCCATCCACTCTCTCCAACTGCCCAGTAGCAGCGTCCTTCACGAGCCTCTTCCATAGAGGACGATGTTGAAACCGCAAGTACCGGTCATTGGCAAGTCCACTCAGCTCCACATCCTCCTGTACCGCGTCAGTCCATCTATTATTTATCCCGTGCTCTTCCCGCTTAGCCCGATCTATCCGGCCAGGCAGTGGCTGGGCATGTGGGCTACATGACCCAGCCAGCGCAACCTTGCCTGCCAGAGTATCTCACCGATGGGACTGTAACCAGATATTTCAAGGATGTTTTAAATCGGCGCAGATATTCTTTCAAGCATGCAGAAGGGAAGGCATCACTGTGGCCGAGACAACCCGACGCTTCGTGTGCAACGACAGGCGAGGTAGCTTCCACACAGCATTATGCAGCTGATGGAAATGTCACTCGACTGAATTGAGTCATAAGTAACTTCTCCACTAATGATATTAATATTTACCAGATCAAGCATTCATAACATCGTTGACAAATAGGGAGCTATCCCTTGACCGCACCTGGACATCAATGAGCCTCCCATTGTATCTGCACCAGATGGAAATTGCACCAAAACATCCATGGGAAACTTCGCGAACTACGGGGTAAGATGTGTTACGTAGTGTAGGGGCCTCAGGACATCCCTGTCGCACCCCACCATCCTAAAGGTCCTTACTGATTGTGAGCAGAGGGTCAGAGACCCCGAAAGCACAAAGAAGCCTTGACTTGGACAATAAAGCAGAAATGTAGGTCCTGTTGAAATTCCTTACACCTCGGCTGCAGCAGACGCAATCCGCGACTGCTACTCATCCTGGCAGTGCCACACAGCTCTCCAAACCTCCAAGCGAAGGCTGTGGTAAGCCTCCTCATTCTCCGATGTTGTAGTAGGCGGTATGAGTGGACCTGTTGCTTTCTCTCCTCTCGCCGGAACACCTCCTCCTTTAGCCAGTGTTTTTGTAGAGGTCTGGGCTGCATACTCAAAGCAGCCAACGCAGCTGCATGAACCACAGTCCTGAACCTCACCCATTTTCCATCGCTATCAGGAGGAGGGAGGGATGATGAAATTGACACTTTCAACTGTTATCAGTGAGCCGAGACCAGGCTGTTGTGGGTTTTAATGGGGTCCTAGGTGGACGCCCACCACCACAGACAAGAAAAAAGATCTCCCGATAGCCTTAGCAGACTTTTGGGGCAAGTGGTGTGAGAACCTATCAAGGCCGACACGGCTCACGAGAGGGTCAGTGGCCAACACCATGCCTGCCCACCTTTCTCTCGCCAGTGTTGATGTTTAGATACCACAACAGGTACTCATTTAAGGCTGAGTAGACTTAAGGTAGGCCCAGTACCGATTCAATGATTCTACACTGATGTTGCCCAGGTTCGGACCACCCCTTCCCGCACAGACACACAGAGACTCGTTCAGGGCTTGGCGACTATGTATTCACCCTACATCAGAACGCGCGGATGTACACATCACGGTGAATGCCTCCGTTACAACAACAACAATAATATTAATAATAATAAGTTACTTCTACCCGCGAAGCATGTTCCCCACAGCCGAACGACGTCGCGTCACCCGCTCGCAGGCACTCAATGCGTCCCCTGTGGGAACGTCACCATCAGATATGGTCATCTAAAATACAGATTTTTTTTGGGTTAGACAAAATATTAAAACAGACATGGTCGATCCGCTGCTCAAGCGGACAGCAGCAAGCAGCACTATAAATGATGTAATATACAAGAGTTTAACACGCTTCCTGAATTGAGCAAGGTTATTGATAGAGCTGATGGAAAAGAGATGACTTCGATGATGATGGTGAGAGAGGGAATTCCACTGCAGCAGTGTGGAAGGTGGTAAGTGGGTGGGAGGATGGGTGAGTGGGTGGGAGGATGGGTGAGTGGGTGGGAGGATGGGTGAGTGGGTGGGAGGATGGGTGAGTGGGTGGGAGGATGGGTGAGTGGGTGGGTGACTAAGTAAGTACATTTATAAACGCGCAACTCTTATAATCTAGATTATCACGAGTGCACACTATGTACACATTGCAAGCTCTATGACACAGTTCTGTGTTGCATCTTCTAACTGAACTGGTGAAATGTCTGTGAAGAGTCTCAAACATGGCGCAACGGCAGTGAGTTCCAGGCCGATGGACTGCTGAGTAGGTGCGTGAGAGGTTGGGTGAGTAGCTTAGTGTGTGGGTAAGTAGGTGAGTGGGTGGGTGAGTAGCTTAGTGTGTGGGTGAGTAGTTGAGTGGGTGGGTGAGTAGGTGAGTGGGAGGGTGGGTGAGTCCGATGGACCACTGCGCGTAACCATCAGGGTCACCGTGAGCTTCCGAACGAAGAATTCGACGATTGACAATGCAGTGTACCGGCACGCACCACGTGGCCACCAGAGAGAGTGTGGAGTGCCTTGTTGTGACCTGCAGTGTGGTGGTTGAACGCAGTGAGATGGCTGAGATGACACAGTCTGTGTGTCTGGTCAACCGAGTCCTCAACACGGGTGGAGGAATCTAAATGAGTGAAATTCACGGGAACAGTAACCATGGTAGTAGTAGTAGTAGCGACAGTAGAGCAATAAGGAGGCGACTGGCCGCCGGTGAGTGGGCCGGAGTTAATCAGCGGCGTCGATCGCAGGCTTGGGGTGCCGCTCTGTCGATGCCCTAGCCGGTTGTCGCGCGAGGGCTGAACGCGTCGGGGGTTCGTGGCGCCCGTCGTGCCGCGGCGCCGCGGCTCACCGGGCGGGTTGCTGCCACCCGGCGGCCGAGTCCGCCTCCAGCGCGAGCGGCAACCGGTCGCGCAACCGAGACGGGTCGCGAGTCGAGCCGAATGGTCGCGCAACCGAGACGGGTCGCGAGTCGAGCCGACTGGTCGCGCAACTGAGATGGGTCGCGAGTCGAGCCGATTGGTCGCGCAACCGAATCATAGCGACCGCGTCGCAGGCACCGGCGGGAGGGCGGCAGCCGTGCGGTTCAGGGGTTCAGGAGACCTTCACAACCCCCCCCCCCGCCCCCCACACAGGGGCCGCAATACCCTATTTTGCAGGAGGTCCTTGTGGTAGGGGCGTTGCTAAGGGGCCCTCTGTCAGACCCAAATTTGGCGACATCCACGTGCCCAGTTCTGCGGTCGGCAGCTGGGGACGCAGGGGCGGGGGTGTTGCGTGAGTGGCGATGGCCTGCCGGCTGCCTGGCCTCCCACTCGCACCGGGCCGGGTGACAGGAAGGGCGGGGGGGGGGCAGGGCCTTTCACTTCACGGGCCTAGGCAGGAAGTGCACGGCCTTCTGCCCGCGGGCCGTCTTCGGGCCCGGCTTGGCGCGGCCGCTGCGCTTGATGCCCACGTACCAGCGCCACTCGGCGTACTTCTCAGAGCAGTACGTGCTGTAGAAGTTCTCCTCCAGCGTCTCGATGAAGTAGCACTCGTCATTTATGGCCTCCTGAAGAGGAGAGAGGAGGGGGGGGGCGTGAAGAGGCGTGGATCCCTCGTGCACAGTGCCCGGGTGAGGCAGACACCCTCCACCATCCCCCTACAGACGCCCCTCCATTCCACTCTGTCCCCCCTCCACCCGTAGACTCCCTTCCCACGCTGCCAGGAATAGCAGGGCGAGCGAGGAATACGGTGGTGTGGTGAGTGGTGAAGTGAGTGGTGATCTCAGAAAGCAGTGAACTGAGTGGTAGGTGAGCCGAGCGGGTGGTGTGATGAATGGTGAGCCGAGCGAGTGGTGAGCTGAGTGGTGAGCCGAGTAGGTGGTGAGCTGAGTGGAGTGGTGAGCCGAGGAAGTGGTGAGCTGAGTGGAGTGGTGAGCTGAGTGGAGTGGTGAGCTGAGTGGTGAGCTGAGTGGAGTGGTGAGCCGAGGAAGTGGTGAGCTGAGTGGAGTGGTGAGCTGAGTGGTGAGCTGAGTGGAGTGGTGAGCTGAGTGGTGAACTGAGTGGAGTGGTGAGCCGAGGAAGTGGTGAGCTGAGTGGAGTGGTGAGCCGAGGAAGTGGTGAGCTGAGTGGAGTGGTGAGCTGAGTGGTGAGCTGAGTGGAGTGGTGAGCCGAGGAAGTGGTGAGCTGAGTGGAGTGGTGAGATGAGTGGAGTGGTGAGCCGAGTGGTGAGCTGAGTGGAGTGGTGAGTGGAGTGGTGAGCTGAGTGGAGTGGTGAGCCGAGGAAGTGGTGAGCTGAGTGGAGTGGTGAGATGAGTGGAGTGGTGAGCCGAGTGGTGAGCTGAGTGGAGTGGTGAGTGGAGTGGTGAGCTGAGTGGAGTGGTGAGCCGAGGAAGTGGTGAGCCGAGTGGTGAGCTGAGTGGAGTGGTGAGTGGTGAGCTGAGTGGAGTGGTGAGCCGAGGAAGTGGTGAGATGAGTGGAGTGGTGAGCCGAGTGGTGAGCTGAGTGGAGTGGTGAGTGGAGTGGTGAGCTGAGTGGAGTGGTGAGCTGAGTGGAGTGGTGAGTGGAGAGCTGAGTGGAGTGGTGAGCTGAGTGGTGAGCTGAGTGGAGTGGTGAGCTGAGTGGAGTGGTGAGCTGAGTGGAGTGGTGAGTGGTGAGCCGAGGAAGTGGTCAGCTGAGTGTTTGAGCCTCACCGCCCCGTACAGGTGTCCCTCCGTGCTCATGGCGAGGAACCTCTCGGCGCGGAGCCCGCGGATCGTCACCACCCCGCGGCGCACCGCCTGCAGCTGCAGCACGGCTGCACAGACACAGACAAAGGTCCACCGTGCGGTCTCACAGACCGTGGGGGCAAGTGCTGCCAGCGATCACCGAACAGGACTGGCACGGCGCACCAGGGGGCGAGTTGGGGAATTTCGGGAATTCCCAAAGCAGCATTCCAGCCCACGGTGATTCATGACCACGGCGCGTGGAACAACTACGCGACCACCACTACCACCACCACCATCGCTACCGCCACCACCACGTATTGGCGCTGTTTGTTGTTGTAACTTTATGACCCTCCCCTACTGGACAGCTGTGAAAAAAAGCTTCATAGCTTATCGGATTTCTCCCGGATAAATAAAGATTCTGATTCTGACCCCCCCCCCCCCCACGACAACCACCACCATAACAACCACCACAGCCACCACCATCACTATCCGTTAACAGACTGTTGGGGCAACACCAATAAAGGCCGGAACGGCACCCGAGGGGGTCGGTCGTCAGCACCACGCCCGGCCGCCTTTGTCTCCCGAGTGGCAATGTTACACACCGCACCAGGTACTACCACCACCACCACAAACACCATAACAATCACCAACTACAATCTACACACCACCACCGTCATTATCCACTGTCAACAACATCGTAAACTATCATCATCCACTACTATTATCACCACCATTCACTACTATCATCAACGACTATCACTATACACTATTATCATCATCCACTATTATCATCATCCACCCATCTCACGAATCATCGCCGTGAAATTGGACCCGGGCCTCGCTTCACGCTTCACCTCCTGCACCGCTTGCAGCAGCAGCAGCATCATCAGCATCATCATCAGCAGCAGCAGCAGCAGCAGCATCATCATCATCAGCAGCAGCAGCAGCAGCATCATCAGCAGCAGCTGCATCAGCAGCAGCATCAGCAGCAGCATCATCAGCAGCTGCATCTGCAGCATCATCATCATCAGTAGCAGCAGCAGAAGAAGCGTAGGCAGATATATCACTGTACTCATGTCACACGTGTACTCATGTCACACGTGTACTCACTCATGTCACACGTGTACTCATCAAATGTGCTGTGGTCACTCGTGCAGCTGCAGAGGTCGCAAACGGGTTTTGATTCCTTACCCGTACCCGTACCCGGCCGCACCAGGGTCGCACACGGGTACCCGTACCCGGCCGTACCCGTACCCTACCCGTACCCGACCGGGTACGGATAGGGTACGGGTATCGGGTACCCGATTGCGACCTCTGGGATGAAGCCATGTTGCCGGCGCGGGTGGGTTAATTCTAGGAACTTGAATTGTGAGAAGAGACAAGACGTTGGGAAATGAGTGACAAACAGTTACTCACCAGTGACTCACGGCCTACCCGTACCCGTACCCGGCCGCACCAGGGTCGCAAACGGCCCACATTCGGACTGACGCCCTCTGACTTACACACTGACACTCGTGATTGACACTGACACATTGACCGACACACACTATATCACTGAGACTATATAACTATGGCACACTAACACGTTTGTATGTTGAACTCTTTTGCACCGTACGTAGCCAACCGTGCTAATCGGAGGTGCGAGGGAAGGACACGAAATTTAACACCAAAATAGTTTTAACGACATGAGTTTTCAATTTGGATGTAAACGTGCATAGCTCCAGTGCAACACGAAGACCGGCACACAATGTGTCAGTGGCACCCTCTCTCGGTGACACACTGACACAGACTCTGCAACTGACCCACTCTCCCCGTCACACGTCCCATGAGTGACACACTAACACAGACTCTGCAACTGGCCCACTCTCCCCGTCACACGTCCCATGAGTGACACACTGACACAGACTCTGCAACTGACCCACTCTCCCCGTCACACGTCCCATGAGTGACACACTGACACAGACTCTGCAACTGGCCCACTCTCCCCGTCACACGTCCCATGAGTGACACACTGCGTGACAGTCACAGACACTCTGCTCCACTCGCACACGCTGCCCGTGTGTCAGTGGCACGCCGCGCAGTACCGTGGGGATCGTCCTCGTCCTGGGTGCCACTCACGGTGCCGTCCCCCAGGATCTGGAGGTGGTGGCCCGCGCTGCGGCAGTAGAGGCGCCGCGGCTCCTTGAAGCTGCCGGGGAACACGGGCCCCGCGGGGGCCACGGGCAGCGTGCCGATGTGGCCCACCTCCATCCCGGGACGCGCCCTCCGCTCCTGATGATGATGATACTGGTGCCGAGGGTGGTGTTGCTGCTCCGAGTGGTGATGATGTTGCTACGATGACTGATATTTGCTGCTCGTTATGCTGCTGCTGATGATTATTCTGCAACGGATGTTACTGTTAATGGGATGAACCCTGCTGATTCTGTGAATGATTATGCTGCTGCTTGTTGATGATTTATGTTGCTTTCTGCTGCTGCTGCTGCTATCACTGCTGCTGATTATACTGCTGATGGTGCTGACCACACCTGCTGCTGCTGCTGCAGACTACGCTCCTTGCAGCTGCTGACCCTGCTGCTCTTGCTGCCGCCTCGAGTCGTTCGCGACTCCTGGGTCGCGCTCCGTTCGCGACTTCGCACGCAGGGGGGTGAATTGAGGTGGCTAAGAAGCAAGGGACAGACGGTCGCCCGCGTCGCCCTTTTAATCGCGGCCCCGACTCAGAGGGAAATCACTCGCGAGGTCGCCCACCGCATTCCCCAGGCGCAGTGGCAACGCCTCGCTCACTTCGAGCCTCCTCCGTGTCCAGCCTCAGCGCACGCCTCGGAGGCTCGGAGAGGGCAAGGAGGGACGGGCGTCAGGAACGCGCGGCAAGGACGGCGCCACGGGGCGGGCCCGTGACGCGCGCGCTGAGGACGCGTCACGGGCCCGTGCGCTCCTCCTCCTCCTCCACACCCCCTCTCCATCCTCCTCACTCCCTCCTCCTTCATCTCCATCCTCCTCCAAATCCTCATAGCTCCCTCCCACCTCCTCCTCATCCTCCTCGGCCCCTACCTCCATTCTCCTCCTCCCCATCCTCTTCCCTCCGTCCAACTCTCTGGATCTCAGCCAACTCCGGGTTCAGAGGCTGCTCCCAACTCTAGAGAGGGCCGAGCGAGTGCGTGAGTACCCTCTGTCCAAATGTAAACATTCACAAACAACACGCACACGCGGACACAAAGACAAAGGTCCCCCGGATAGACGGCAAACAGGCAATTGGACAAGTGCTGTTAACTAGCACACAAGAAAGCCTGTAAGGCACAAGAGGGGGTGAGTGGCAGCACCCCGCCCGGCCGCCTTTGTCTCCCCAGTGCTGATGTTTACACATCGCACTAGGTACTAATTTAATGTTGACTCGATATAAGGGAGTCGCAGAACAAGTTCAGATAATCGTCACTGGTATTGACCGTGTCCGGGAATGGAAACCGGATCGCCGGGTTCGGAGCACAAAGTGTGCTGACCGATGCGCCACCGCTCTCCATTATACTGCACACACCCACACGCCACTCGCACACACTGCACAGCAACACTACCAACACGCACACTACCAACACGCACACTACCAACACGCACACTACCAACACGCACACTACCAACACGCACACTACCAACACGCACACTACCAACACGCACACTACCAACACGCACACTACCAACACGCACACTACCAACACGCACACTACCAACACGCACACTACCAACACCCACACTACCACCACGCACACTACCACCAACAACACACTACCAACACCCACACTACCACCAACAACACTACCAACACCCACACTACCAACAACACACTACCAACACCCACACTACCAACAACACACTACCAACCCCCACACTACCAACAACACACTACCAACACCCACACTACCAACAACACACTACCAACACCCACACTACCAACCCCCACACTACCAACAACACACTACCAACACCCACACTACCAACACCCACACTACCAACACCCACACTACCAACACCCACACTACCACCAACAACACACTACCACCACCCACACTACCACCAACAAGACACTACCAACACCCACACTCCCACCAACAACACACTACCAACACCCACACTACCAACACCCACACTACCAACACCCACACTACCAACACCCACACTACCAACAAGACACTACCACCACCAACACACTACCAACACCCACACTACCAACACCCACACTACCAACACCCACACTACCAACACCCACACTACCACCACCCACACTACCACCAACAACACACTACCAACACCCACACTCCCACCAACAACACACTACCAACACCCACACTACCAACACCCACACTACCACCAACAACACACTACCAACACCCACACTACCAACACCCACACTACCACCACCAACACACTACCAACAACCACACTACCAACACCCACACTACCACCAACAACACACTACCACCACCAACACACTACCAACACCCACACTACCAACACCACACTACCAACACCCACACTACCAACAACACACTACCACCACCAACACACTACCAACACCCACACTACCAACACCCACACTACCACCAACAACACTACCAACACCCACACTACCAACACCCACACTACCAACACCCACACTACCACCACCAACACACTACCAACACCCACACTACCAACACCCACACTACCACCACCAACACACTACCACCAACAACACACTACCACCACCAACATACTACCAACACCCACACTACCACCAGCAACACACTACCACCACCAACATACTACCAACACCCACACTACCAACACCCACACTACCACCACCACACACTACCAACACCCACACTACCAACAACAACACACTACCACCCACAACACTACCAACACCCACACTACCAACACCCACACTACCCAACACCCACACTACCAACACCCACACTACCACCAACACCCACACTACCAACACCCACACTACCAACACCCACACTACCACAACACCCACACTACCAACACCCACACTACCAACAACACACTACCAACACCCACACTACCACCAACAACACACTACCAACACCCACACTACCAACACCACACTACCAACACCCACACTACCACCAACAACACACTACCACCCACAACACACTACCAACACCCACACTGCCAACACCCACACTACCACCAACACCCACACTACCAACACCCTGCACCGCACAGGACACCTCCAGCAGCCTTCACCACACGGCGCCACATCTCATCATCGAGAGGTCACCGGGTCACGCCCCCCCCCCCCACCCCTGTGGCCCCCACCCCCGCAGCTCAGAGGTCGCAACCGGGTACCCGATACCCGTACCCTACCCGATACCCGGCCGTTTGCGACCCTGGTGCGGCCGGGTACGGGTACGGGTAGGCCGTGAGTCACTGGTGAGTAACTAAATGTCACTCATTTCCCAACGTCTTGTCTCTTCTCACAATTCTAGTTCCTAGAATCAACCCACCCGCGCCTGCAACATGGCTTCATCCCAGAGGTCGCAATCAGGTACCCGATATCCGTACCCTACCCCGTACCCGGCCGGGTACGGGTACGGGGTAGGGTACGGCCGGGTACGGGTACCCGTGTGCGACCCTGGTGCGGCCGGGTACGGGTAAGGAATCAAACCCCGTTTGCGACCTCTGGCGCAGCTGGCGCTGTTGCACGGCAACTTCATCTGTGAAGAAGCGCGCAACCCGCCCCGTGGCCTCCCCACAATAGGAGCCACGTGCGTGCGTGTGAGTGGGGGGCGGTAGTGTGTGTGTGAGTGTAAGTGTGTGTGCGTGTAAGTGGGAGGGGGGGTAGTGTGTGAGTGTGCGTGTAAGTAGGGGCGGTAGTGTGTGCGTGAGAGTGGGGGGCGGTATTGTGTGTGTGTGCGTGTAAGTGGGTAGTGTGTGTGCGTGTAAGTGGGGGCGGTAGTGTGTGTGTGCGTGTGAGTTATGTATGCCGATGATTTGGTAATAGCTGCTCATTCAGAAGAGGAGTTGGAGACGCTGCTGCTGAGACTGGAAGCGTGCCACTAAGACGTGGGGCCTTACCATCAGCCCCACCAAAACTAAGCACCTGCTTGGGTATTTTGTACCATTGGACACTCCACCCCCACAACTCCCAATCGGTGATGGGGCAGTAGTGGAGAGAGTGGAGAGTGTCCCATAGCTGGGCAATGTGCTTATGACCGGCTCCAGTTTAACAGCAGAGGTCTCACTCCTAATCAGTCGAGCGGCAATATATTTTCATCGGTTGTGTAACGCTGTGTGGAAGCTACCTGGTCTGTCGCTCCGCACGAAGCTTCAGGTCTTCTCGGCCACAGTCATTCCCTCCCTTCTCTACGCTTGCGAAACGTGGACCCCCATAATGGAGCATCTTCGCCGGTTGGAAACATTTAGGCTGGCCTGCCTACGATCCATCCTGGGTTTAACCAGGCTGGATTGTGTGAGGAGCTCACAAATCCTGGAAAGATCTGGGCAAAGTCCCATCGGTGAGCTCCTCCGGCAGGCAAGGCTGCGTTGGCTGGGTCATGTAGCCCGCATGCCCAGCCACCGCATGCCTAAACAGCTTTTGTTCGGCCGGATCGAGGGGGCTAAACGGGCGCGGCACGGGCTAGAGAAGAGATCGAGTGATGTGGTACAGGAGGACGTGCAGCTGAGTGGACTTGCCGATGACTGGTACCAGCGGTGTCAAGATCGGCCTCTGTGGAGGAGGCTCGTGAAGGACGCTACTGGGCAGTTGGAGGCAGTCGCCCTCCAACAACAACGGAGGGCGGAGGAGCGGCGCTCACAACAACGAGCAGAGCGCTGGGTGGCTAAAGCACAGTAAGTTGGCACAGTAGGGGGCACAGGTGGTGCATGAGCCAGTCATCTCGGTCATCTCAGTCAGTCGACCCGTGGCACCTGGGTCTGCCCCGTGACCTCCTGCCAGCGGGCGTTCGACACTTCACGTGGCCTCAAGGTGCACATGGCCTGGCACAAGCGTCGTGGTGACGTCACCGCCACTTAGTGGCGAATGGCGGCGGTTGTTGTTGTTGCGTGTGAGTGGGGGGCGGTAGTGTGTGTGTGCGTGTAAGTGGGGGGCGGTAGTGTGTGTGAGTGAGTGGGGGGCGGTAGTGTGTGAGTGGGGGGGGGGGGTAGTGTGTGTGAGTGGGGGGGGGGGTAGCGTAGTCGTAAGGAGCTGCAGCTGGGCCTGGTGTGTCACCCCCTGGACACAGGCCCAGGGGGTGAGAACTGGTTTTGTGATTCAAGTTGATTTTGTTCACCAGGTGAGAACTCGAAAGGCCACGATAAGATTCTCATTTGCAAAAGTAACCTGGCTCACCACAACTACAAAAGCAATCGCATCGAAACAAGTACAACAAGGAAGCAAATATAAATCAGTGCGAAAACAACAACGGCGTTATTCACCAACTTGGAACAGGTGCCATTGGTGGGGGGCGGGTGGTTGTGGGAGGAGGAGAGGGAGGGGGGGACTGATGGGGACATTTTTCTCCGGGTCCGAGATCTTGGGGCAGGGGGGGGTGCCTTGGGCCTCCAGAACCCTCTCCTCCGCGCTGGGAGGTGGAGCCGGTGGGCTCCAGGAGGTGACAATGATCATGGAGTCGACAGCAGCTGCAACCCGAGCAGGAGGTGGGGGTCGGGGGGTGAGCGACGTCTGCCGCTGGTGGCGTTGAGAGGCCAGGAAGGGGCCCAGAGGTGGAGCAGGCGCCTCGCGCCATCCCCTCCTGTGCACAGGCCTGAGCTGGCGAGCCAGTGGTGGGAATTACACATTTCTATGCCGGGGATGAGTATATCCATTGGATAACAACTGTCAGTGTTTCCATATTGTTTGTACTGCTGGCGACTGGACGTCGCCCTTGCAAGAGAACGCAGCAGTGCTGCTCCATGGCTCAGTGGGTCCCTTCCATCTCTCAGCTCAACGCACTCCTCGTTGGGGGTGTACTCGGCCCGCCATTCATCCCTCTGTACAACATCGATACAATGAAATCGCCCTCGCCATAGTAATGTGGAATATCCCACCATGCGGCTGATGTGGCGTGTTAAAAAAAAAACCCACTTGCGTATTGTATGGAGGGATAGCTATGTGAGGGAGGTGAAGTGTCTGATCGTTGAGTTGAGCAGGACATCCCTTTAACTCTGGACTCAAATGTATTGCACGACTTGTCACCAATACCGGCAGTAAGAACCTCAAGTCTAGACACGGCACGTCCCAATCGCGATTCGACGTACGGTACTGTATATATTATTTCCTTCCTGGACTGGAATGGTTGTTTGGAAAGTGTTTGTAACCGGGAGAGGGATGAGGCTCGGGGAGGGGAGGAGGAACGCACGCACGTTGGAGTTGTAATCATCATTACTGGTTTTTAATCGCAGTTGCTGAGCACCGGCCAAACGGCCCATCACGTAAAGCGGCCAGAGATGTGACAGATACGCGAGAGCAGCGCGGTTCTTGATTCGAGCAAGGTTGTTGTTGTGAGAGCTTGGGGGGGGGGGGCGGGGGGGATGTGAGAGCTTGGGGGGGCGGGGGGGATGTGAGAGCTTGGGGGGGCGGAGGGGATGTGAGAGCTTGGGGGGGGGCGGGGGGGATGTGAGAGCTTGGGGGGGGGGGCGGGGGGGATGTGAGAGCTTGGGGGGGGGGCGGGGGGGATGTGAGAGGGGATTCCAAAGTGGAGCAGTGCGAGGAAAGAAACAAAGAGAGGTGCGGAGACCTTCAGTGTGGTGGTTCAGTGACTTAGTTGGTGGGTGAGTTGGTGGGTGAGTTGGTAGGTGAGTTGGTGGGTGAGTCGGTGAGTAAGTGTGCTGTTGTGACCTGCAGTGTGGTGGTCGAGTGACTTAGTTGGTGGGTGAGTTGTTGGGTGAGTTGGTGGGTGAGTCGGTGAGTAAGTGTGCTGTTGTGACCTGCAGTGTGGTGGTCGAGTGACTTAGTTGGTGGGTGAGTTGGTGGGTGAGTTGGTGGGTGAGGTGGTGGGTGAGTTGGTGAGTAAGTGTGCTGTTGTGACCTGCAGTGTGGTGGTCGAGTGACACACCGTGGATCGCTCGTCCTACGCATCAGCCGCAGTCAAGAAATGCGCACAGGGCGGACTCCTTCCCTTTGACACGAACCTCAAGAAACACCGTGGCGGGGGATGTCACGGCATAGATATGCACACAATTCGTCTCCTTCACATCTTTATTTTTACACACATCCCATCAACCACACGGCCCTTGCCGGAAGCCAGGAAAACAAGGAACTCTCCTCGCTTCCATCCCGAGTGCAGACGGCACCAGCGGCTGCCTCTGAAGCCAGCGCCTTGGGTTCGAATTAGTGCTGTCGTCTGTCCGGGTTTGACGCAAGGAGACGGGAGACGTGGCGAGATGGGGGGCCAGGGGAAACGAGAGACGCGGGGAGACACGGCGAAATTGGGGACCCGGGAAAATGGGAGACAGGGATACAGGGAGACACGAGACCCGGGGTGATGGAAGTCGTGGGGAGACACTGGAAGATGGATGACGCGGGGAGATCAGAGACGTGGGGCGACAGAAGATTTTGGGAGATGGGAGACGCTGCATCTCCCATATTTGCCATGTCTCCGACCGCCCCGTGTCTCCCCGCTCCGCCCGTCTCGCCAGTTTCCCTCCCGCATTTTCTCTGCCAACTTCCGCCGTCTCCGCGTGGTGGTGGCCATTGCGAGTCCAATTACACCCGGCGCATGGAGCCGTTCTCCTGGCGCCTAGCTCCAGAGCCAGGAGGCACGGGGGTGGAGGGGGATAATGGGAACCCTTGGTCACTATGGGGGTATGAGGGGATCCTAGCTGGTGAAGGCAGCAGGGAGAGAGTGGTTGGGAGGATGCTAGGAGATTGAAACCAGCTGAGTAAAACATCGAGTAATTATGGCGGCGATGCGGTCCAGTGGGAGCGCGTTGTTGCAGAGGTCTGTGGCTCTAATCCCAGGCAAGCCGCCCTGGTTAATAGTGTGGTGCGTATTCACCGTTTGCAAGAAAGATGCATTCCGAATGAGGAGTAATGTATTCCGTCGCCAGGTTACAAATTTGCCAAATGGAAAAAAAAAATTACACCGCAAATTACTTAACTCAATAATGCATACCAAATCATCGCCGCTGACTGCAAAAACTTGGCAGGACTCGGTCAGGCTTTCCTGGGTACCACAAGTGTGTTGCATGCAGCAGCTGACTCTGGGCTGCCAGTGAAGCCACGGGGTCTCCAGGTTGAAGACTGCCGTACAGAGGCCATGGGTCGATGATGTTCGTTCAAGTCCGAATCAATATGTAAACGACGTGACTCATTCGCATATCCATCTCCACGTACAAGACAAGAGTGTGGCTTACAGATCCCGACAGCCCACACACGTCCTCCTTCTGGGACGGCGTAATGTCAGCGGCATTGATTCAAAACAAACAAAACTCTGGACCAGTTTCGGGATTCAGTGTCTTGCCAGCAGTCAGGCTTGCTTGAACCATCCAGCAGTGGATCGGCACGAAGGCTCTGCGCGTGTTGTGCAGCTCGGTGCTGGGGTCCGCGCTGCTGCACGTGGCCTGGAGTGCAGCGCTGTGTGGGCAGCGGGGATTGGTGAATCCTGCTCATCCGGGAAACTCCCTCCCTACCCATGGGCTTCGAGGTCGCCATCTCCTGGCTTATGGCCAGGGTGCCGTGGCAGTACAGCAAGTGGGTTAATTTACAGCTGAATTCCATTTGTACGGGGATTGAGTGTTACCTCCCTCGCAATGCGTGGGTTTTCTCCGGGTGCTCCGGTTTCCTTCCATGTGTAAGACATAAATGTTGGAGTTCGACACACATCCAAATATAGGACCACAGACTTCGGGAAATTGTTGCCAGCGCCTGTTCTGACCGCCATCCCAGGCGCTCGTCTGTGGGTGCACCTCCGTGCGGACTCCGTGCGTCGTGTCACAGATGCCGCTGCAGCGTCTCGAATGCTGCAGATTGCACGAGCGCCGCCGATGAATGAAGACAAACGAACCGGACAGAAGTCAAATCTCTGGCTCAGGTCAGAGGTTAAAATGTCACCAGGTTTATTGGGTTAACGGTCAACCTCGCAGCGGGCCTGCAGGGCGCGCGACGACATCCGTGCACGCCGCAGCGTCCAGGTACACACGGGTGAATACAAGGGTGACACCCGGCTGACACCCGGATGCGACCCAGCCAGACACGGGCGAGACCCGGGTCCCTCCCATGGCGAGAGCGCTAGTCGGCCGTGCGGCGCAGGTGCGGGTAGCTGGCGAGGGTTCGCGCCACCGCGTCGTCGAGCTGCACGGGCGGGCGGTAGCCGAGGAGGCGCTTGGCGCGCGCGCAGCTGTAGTAGTGGTGTGTGGCGGCGAGCGCCACGCGCATCGGCGAGAACGTGGGCGTGAAGGCCCACACGGGGCGCAGCAGCGTGCTCAGCAGTTGCAGCAGCAGCGCCAGCACGTACACCAGCCGGTAGGGCAGGCGGTGGCGCGGCGCCGCGTAGCCGAGCCCCTCCAGGAGGCGCGACATGAAGGCCCAGAATGGCACCGGCTCATCGTTGGTGATGTGGAAGGCCTGGACCGGCCGGGGGGTGGGGAAGAAGGGCGGAGCGGGGGTCGAGAGCGAGTTCAGCGATGGGCAGCCGGGTAGCGGGGCTGCCGTCCGTGACCATCGCGTCTCTTGCGATCGCCGAGGAGGAACCAGGGACGAGCAGCAGGGCAGCAGCAGCCAAGTGGTGGAGAAGAGCCGGTACTGCAAACAATTGCTCAAGATCTGCAGTCCTCTATATATTAAGATGTTTTCAGCCAATTTACAAGTGTTTCAACAAGATTGATTATTTATTCATCGGATTTCTCCAGGATAAAGAAATGTTCTGATTCTGAACCAGGTGAGAACTCGGGAAAGAAGAAGAATTCTCATTTGCAAGAGGGACCTGGGTCACCACAACAACAAAAGCAAGAATGTAAAAACAAGTACAGCAATGAAGCAAAGAGAAATCAGAGCAAAACCAACGCATATAAATATTAAATCAGGATTGCTTGAGGGTTGCACGGGGATTGTGTGGGGATTGCGTGTGGCTGTACGGGTCCTCACCTGGCCACACACGGGCGAGCCGGGATCCAGGTGCTCTGCTGCCAGGATGTGGCCGTGCGCCACGTTCTCCACGTACGTGAAGTCCACGAGGTTGCTGCCGTCTCTGCGCCGCACGCGGTCAACGAGACCCTCGTTTGTGTCGTGGCCCACGGAGTTTTGTGTGAGAGCAGGACCCACGTCTCACAGTGAGGGGGGTCCTGGCCTGTCAACATCTGGCAGCTTACCAGCAGTGTTTCAAGATAGCCTGGCTCTGTCGAAACGAGGCCACAGTTTGTGTTGAACCAATGCTGGGACTAATGCTGGTGCACTGCAAGATGTCCATAGGCAAGTGCCCTCTCTATGTTAGACAAGGGGTCCGAGTTTTAAGAAAAGCAAAACTCACTTGAGAATCACGTGTGCGTTACTGGTGAACGGCTGTCATGGTAGTGGTGGTGGTGGCCATGGTGGCGACGTTGGCGATAGTGGTGGTGCACGTGGCGGTCGTGGTACCCGATGATGAACTTCATCTTGCCACGCCGGGCGGCGTCCACAAGTATGGGCACCAGCTGGGGGTCACGGGGCCCAAAGATCCCGTGGGGGCGGATCGCAACCGTGAGGAACCCTCGCTCGGGGCAGTTCGCAGCGAGCACGGCCTGCTCCCACGGGGAGACGCGGGGAGACGCGGGGAAGACGAGGGGTCGTGTAGGGAACGTGTGGGCGGCGTGTGGCGGACGTGGGGATATCAGCAGACAAGCTGGGTGATGGAGGGACTCGTGAGGACATGAACGGGTACTCGCGGGCGTGACGATTTCGCAAGGGGAGTGTACAGACACACACACGCACACACACACACACGCGTGTCCACACCCATGTGTCCACCCCCCTTCGTGTCCACTGCCGTGCGCCCACCCCCGCGTGCGCACCTTCTCCTGTAGGATCTTTGTCTCGGTGTAGTAGTCGATGGGTCTGCGTGCATACGGCGTCTCCTCCGTGGCATCCTTCAGGTCCACCCCCTCAAACACGACGCTCGCACTGCTCGTCAGCACCAGCCGCTGAGCACGCACACAAACAAAGGCCTCCCGTGTAGCCCACACGGACTGCTGGAGCAAGTGGTCTCGGCGAGCACCTGTGAAGGCTTGCGTGGCCAGCACCATGCCTGGCCGCGTTTGTCTCCCCATTGGTGGCGTTTACACACATTCACACACATGCACACACATTCACACACATTCACACACATGCAGCACCTAACACTTGTTTAGGGCTGAATCAGCCTAGGGGAGGCGCACAACAGGTTCAGATACTCGTCATTGATGTTTTCCATGAGCGGGAATTGAACTCGGGTCGGTGGGTATGTAGAGTGATGGCACAGAAACACACACACATGTACACACATGCACACACATGCACACACATGCACACAAACACACGTAAGACAAAGATCTCTGTATAGCCTTAACAGACTGTTCGGGGAAATGCTGTTAGCGAGACCCTATGAAGGCCAGCACGGCACACGAGGGGGTAGGTGGCCAGCACCACGCCCGGCCGCCTTTGTCTCCCACTCACACACACGCACACACGCGCACACGCACACACACATGCACGCACTAATGGGAAACGTCCGCTGTGGTCAGGAATACAAATTGGCAGGCCGCATGATTCATCATCATCCGCCACGTGCGGTGCGAGACAGGGCGCGCCCACACGCGCGTTTCACCACACGCAGGCGTGCACACATGGGACCAACACGCAGAGATAAAGACAAAGTCCTCCTATGTAGCCGTACAGACTATTCAGGCAAGTGCCATGAGCGAGCACCTGTTAAGGCCGGCACGATGCACAAGGTGGGTGGTGGGGCCAGCACCACGCTTGGCCACCTTTGTTTCACTAGTGCTGATGTTTATGCAAGCACACACGCGCACACGTGCACACACACGCGGACAGACGGACAGCGCCCACACGGACTGCGCCCAGCCCAGGGTTTAGCCGTCCCCTGTCGCCCACACCCTGCTGAGCCTGCGGTCGGCGTTAGCTCACCCTCACCACGGGCCCACTCCCGCTCACGGCCCTCGGCACTCTCTCCTCTCTCTCGCGTGGTCTTTCCACCAGACTCCACCGACTCTGTTCTGGGACCGTTTTTTTTTTACAGGTGCTGAGCACAATAGACCCAAAGACCCAAAACGGCAAGCGGTCAGTAACAAACAGCACAATCAAAGATGTGATCGACAGGAGTGTGTATGTATGTATATCGGACGCCACTGGAGCTATGCACTTTTAAGTCATCTAGATTGAAAACTCATTTATTTAGAATTGCTTTTCGTGTTTAGTTTGTTGTCCTTCCCCTGCACCTCTGATTAGTACAGTTGTCTATGTATGGTGAGAAATAAGTGCAACATGCATACATACTTCGATTGAACAAGGTTATTGAGAGCTTGGGGGAAAGAGATGATGGTGGGAAAGGGAATTCCACAGTATAGCAGTGCGAGGGAAGAAGCAGAAAGAGTGAGGTGACTTGCAATGTGGTGAGCGAGTGGGTGAGCATGTGAGTGAGTGGATGAGTGAGTGTGTTGAAGTGACCTGCAGTGTGGTGGTGTTTGAGCACAGTGTAAATGAGACCAAGCAGCCTGCGTCTCGTAGATCAAGTCCTCAACACGGGTGTCAGTGAGTGAAGTTCACGGAATCGGTCACCTTGGTAGTAGCAAAAAAAGAGTGATAAGGAGGTGACTGACCGCCAGTGAGTGGCCGAGTGACGAGTGAATCAGGGAGTGCCGAATCATCAATCGCCTGACTGTGAGTGTGTGATATAAGTCCATAGAGAATGGCTTAGAGTTCTCGTTCATTGAATACAATGGGCAGTGAGGGAGCAGCTGCCAGGAATGTGCCCCACGGCTCTCTGGACATCACTGTGTGGGCAGCTCCTTGTCGCAGGCTGTGCCATTATTCACTGGGTGACATTACCAGTAAGTATCAGGGCCAATGGACAAGCCCATCGGGCAGGGCCACAGGGCAGGGCCACAGGGCAGGGATACAGGACAGCGCCACAGGGCAGGGCTACAGGGCCCTAGGGCCGGGCAGGGCCTGGAACAGGGTTGGGCAGGGCCGGGAATGGCGGTACCTTGACACCAGCGGCCTGGCAGGCGGCGATGACAGTCTGCGTGCCCTGGCAGTTGACCCGGTAGAAGAGGTTCCGATTGTTGCTGGCTGGGCTTGGGGAGGCACAGTGGAACACCACGCTCACGCTCTGCAGCGCTGGCATCAGGTCCTGGTGACGACACGCGCACATACACACCGGCACAGCCGTTCATTCATTAACTAATAATATTTACAATCGTCATCACTATGCACAATGGTGCTCGTGCAAACTGTAGTGGAGGCAACGCTGCAGCGGCGTTTGTGACGTCATTGCTACCACCGTGGGTTGGTGGGAGATGGGGGGATTGTGTTGGGGAGGATGGGGCCATTGGGCGGTGGACACCACGACCATGGAATGGGACGACAACAAGAACAGCTGAGTGGACACTGCGCTTCCCTCGCAGATCCGTCCATCCACATGAACAGTACAGTACACTTCACACATACCATCAGCAGCGCAGCCTTCTGCCAGAATTATATATGGACAGGTAGGGGAAGGGGGTGGATTGTCTGATTATTGTCACTCACTCACTCTTTCGTTCACTCATTCAGCATCGACTCTTCCCACAAACCAGGCAAGAACCACAGAGGCTTTGTAGCCAGGACTGTTACACTCCTCCTCTGCAGAGCCGTTCGAGTCGTTGGTTAGCAGGGAGGCGGCGTGGTGGTTCAGAGGTCAGAGAGCGCTGAGCAGGCGCTGAGATCCTGGGTTCCAATCCGGGTTTCAGCCGCAAGTTGGTCAACAGTAAGTTGGTCAACAGTGATTTAAATAGAGACTCATAGACTAACAAAAAGACCCATAGACTCACACAAAGAACCATAGACTCATAGGGTGAGTGGGTGAGTGCATGGGTGAGTGATTGGGTCCGTAGGTGAGTAGGTGAGTGAGGCTCTTCTGGCATGAGCAGACCCACATAACATCATGGCTGCACGCCAGGTCCAAGCAAGAACATCTGCCGAAGTTAATAGTCCAAATATTGAATGTAGGTCCATGTCCTTGACACCAGAACCTACCATGGAGCTGACATGCCCACTGAACATCGGCTTGTCACCTGTAAGATGCGCCTGCCATTCGTCAACTGCAGTGGTGGGCATCCATATATAACCCCATCTAAACCCACAGTAGCCTGGTCTCACCTCACTGCTGATGAAAGTTGCAAGCAAAAATGTAATCATCACTTGCAACTGGGGTTGACATCGTCCCCTCTCTTCCTCCCGATGCCGAGCAGAAATGGGTGAAGTTCAGGGCTATGGCTCATGCGGCTGCTATGGCTGCACTGGGTATGGTGTTCCGGCTAGGTCACGGAAAGCGATAGGTCCACTCCCACTGTCAACAATATACCACGTCAGAGAATGAGAAGACTTACCACACGCTCGGAGGTTCTGAGAGCCGTTCGGTACTGCAAAGTTGAGCAATGCTTATGGGTTGATGAGCAGATGGAAATGTCCTCAGCAGCTCTCTATCACAAATCACTTTTAATTCCATGAAAAAAGTAACTTGCAGAGCCATGCCTATTCTGGTCCTTTAGGAAAAATGGTGATCTGATCTCCAGGACTAGGTCTGCAGGTTTGCTAAGCATTTCTGTGAGGTCTTGGGGGAGGGGAATCTCCTCAGCCCATGGGGCAAGGTGGGGTTGACCCTGCTGGGGTTACTGTTGCTCAAATATGAAGAGGAAGTAGCCACCCCTTGCGAGTGGCTGGCTGATGTGCCGCCTGGTGCGGGGAGCTTACCTCCTGGTTGCACAGGTCCCCCGTGAAGTAGACGACGCCGGAGATGGGGGCCCCCGGGCGGACATCGAACACCCCCACCACGTACCCTCGCGCCACCAGCGCCTCCACTAGGTGCTGGCCCAGAAACCCAGCCCCACCGATCACCAGGCACCGCCGCTCACCCTGCAGGCCACAAACACAAAGATCCCCCGTGAAACCTTAACAGACTGTTGGGGCAAGTGCTGTTAGCGAGAAGCATCTATGAAAGCCGGCACGGCACACGAAATGTGTGGCCAACACCTTGCCCGGCTATCTTTGTCTCACGAGTGCCAATGTTTACACATGGCGCTAGGTACTAATTTTAGGGTGGGTGTATCAAGTGGCCACCCAAGACTGGTTCAGATAATTGCCACTAGTGTTGGCCATGAACATTAATCGAACTCGAGTAGTTGAGTTTGTAGCGCAGTGTGCCAACTACTGCACCACCGCTCTTCGCACAAATGCACACCACACTTTTACGGGTTAAAACACTCACTCAACCACTCGCTCGCCCAACCACTCGCTCGCCCAACCACTCGCTCGCCCAACCACTCGCTCGCCCAACCACTCGCTCGCCCAACCACTCGCTCGCCCACCCACTCGCTCGCCCAACCACTCGCTCACCCACCCACTCGCTCACCCACCCACTCGCTCACCCACCCACTCGCTCACTCACCCACTCGCTCACTCAACCACTCGCTCACTCAACCACTCGCTCACTCACCCACTCGCTCACTCAACCACTCGCTCACTCAACCACTCGCTCACTCGCCCACTCACCCACTCGCTCACTCACCCACTCGCTCAATCACCCACTCGCTCACCCACCCACCACCCTGCGGGTCACCTCGGGTCTCTCTCTGCTTCTTCCCTCGCACTGCTGCCTCTGCCACCGTTGTCTCTTTTCCCCAAGTTCTTATAATAACCTCACTCAATTAAAGCAACGTGTTACACTCTTATCTAATGCAACTTTGATATTCTTTGGGTTTTTCGGTAAAGTAACGTAGATAGGTTCAATGAAAATAACAAAAAATAATAAACAAAACCGTTGGTGAAGATGTCGAGCGCTTGTGTTGCGATCGAAACGTCGTAGTTTTTTTTGGTTATTTTCTTTGAACCTATCTACGTGACTTTACCGAAAGATCCAAAGAATATGAATTCCTGCAGTCACGAAAGCTTTAAGTCAAGATGCAACTTTGATAGTATCTTTTTTTGCTGGCCGGTTGGCATTTAGGGCCTGTGCAGCAAGCTGACATGAAGCGTGGTCTTCACGTCTCACAGGGAAGGGGGGTCCTCACATCAACATCTGGCAGTTCACCAGCATTGCTTCAAGCAAGCTGGATTCTGCTGACAAGACACCGCATGTCTAAACCAGTACACAGTGTTCCTTGTGATGAACCAATGCTGCTGAAATTACGTACTCCCAGAAGGTCGTACGGCTGATGGGATGTGTAAAACACGACTTGTATTGTTCTTGCGTGGAGGGACGGATATGGGAAAGAGGCGTCCATTCATGCGCGGGTGTATTTTGCGCTGTGCTGGCTCGGGCAGGAGACGGTGGCTCGGCTGGAGACGGTGTCTGGCGTCGCCCCCTGTGGGTCGGGTCAGGCACCAGCAGCCTCGGCGACACTCGGAACACGCCTCGATGTCATCCGACTGCTGACGAGAGACTCCGTGTCGACGACGGCCCAGAGGTCTGCTCGTCTTGAACCAATGCTGCTGAAATGATGCACTCCCCAAAAGTCGTGCGGCTGCTGGGATGTGCAAGAGATACTTGTATTCATGTGGAGAGACGAATGCGTGAAGAAGACGTCATCTGCTAATGCATCATGAAAACTAGGGATGTTAACCAGTAACTGCTACCAGAATCGGCTACCATTCGCAGTTTCCGGTGGGATGTAACGAATTCACAGATTGGCTTGCAACAATGTACAAACCGCACTGCACACGCCTGGATCACGTGTCCTCGTCTCTGGATTCACGAAGTTCAGGCACCACACCTGTGCATGTGTGCAGGCACCGGTTCTGCTACTGGTGTGCGATTCACGCGGTTTCCGCTCATGGATCAATCACGAGTGAAACTGCCGCCTGGCAGAACACAGACACTTTATTTGCAAACAAAATTCAGTTCAAGGGGCTCCAGGAAATAACACGGCGCACGCGTGAGAGCGTGTGACACTTAGTGGGGAGTGATGGCGTATTGGTTGATGCACTGCGCTACGAACCCGGCGCCCTGAGTTAAATTCCTACTCGCGACCAATAAACAGTAGAAACTATCTGAACCGGTCCTGGGCCTCCCCTAAGTCGACTCAGCTTCAAATGAGTACATGGGTGCGGTGTGTAAACATCACCACGAGGGAGACAAAGGCGGCCAGGCGTGGTGATGGCCACCCACCCCCTCATGTGCCGTGCCGGCGTGCTTATGTGCTGCAGCACTTGCCCCAAACAATCCTTTGAGGCTATACGGAGGGATCTTTGTCCTTTCTGGCAAGCAAACAAATTCCATTACAAATCAAATGCCAACGTCCACCAGAGAACACGCGGCACTGCGAACAAGCGGGAGGCCATCGCTCCAGTGTGCGACTTTGGTCATCCAGAACAGAGCGTACAACAAATAATGACGCAGTGCCCGATCCACAACCCGAAGGAGACATCACAGCGATACACTGCGCTGCTCCTGACGCGGCTGTCTGGCTTGATCACCTGAATGTGACATCGTAGTTGTTGCTCTGCATCTACATCAGCCGTACAAAACAATAACTGCTATCGTTTACATTCTTGGTGTAGTGCCTGAAGTCTAATCGTGACGGATGGCCCGTCAAGGCTTCATTTCAACTCCACCCGGCACATCACATCCAGTATTATTCCTCTCGCTATGGCTGTCGGTAGCTGCAACTATATGCCAAATACCCTGGTCCACCAGCAACCCGTAAAATATTCAGTGAGATATTAAGCCCTAAACATACCACACCAGTCCAATAACAAGCTCAATGTCCATCAGCTGAGATGTCACGACCACACCAGATCAGATGTCATTATCTCCTTAGCTGAGATGTCATGACCTCATTGGTTGAGATCTCACAATCATTATCATCATCACCGTGACCCCATCGGCTATGGCCTACACCAGACACAACCTCCGCATCAGCCTGCAACACAAGCAGCACCACGTCCAGCGCCGCCTGCCAGGTCCCAACCTTGGCGGCCGCCCCATCGTATACGGGCCCCGTCACGCCCTCCCCTCCGCCCCCCTCCACCTCCTTCGGGCCCCCAACACCAGGAATCACGGGTCCCACTTCCCCCCTCGCTTCTACCGTGCTGACAACAGCGGCCGCCTCCCATTGAGAGCGGTAGCACCCCGTGTTGTACATGGCGATTACGAGATAGCGCCGCCACCCATCAGCCAGCGCCTGTAGCACAGCCGGGTGGTGTCGGTGGGACTCGGCACACCACCAGGCACCCCCGCCGCGACCACACTCTGGTTGGGCATCGCCCTCCGGACGCGCGTTTAATCTGCGGACCTGGCTCGCGGCGGCATCGGCCCCCGAGCCCGGGGCCGACGATTGCGCCCTGGAGGCCATGTCCTGTAGGATGCGCACGCAGTGCAGCTCGGAAACGCCGGCGCCCGGTAGAACCCGACCATCGTTTATGGCGCCACTCAGCCGACGCGCGCATGCCCAGAACCGCGATTCCATCACAGGCAGACGGCAGGGCACGCGGCCGCACAATACCACCGACTGCACCGCCGCAGTCTTCACGATCACTCTCGTGCCGCCATCGCCGCTGCGACTGGCACCAGCGCGGCGAACGGTCGGGACGGCCGCATCCAGCTCCTCGTCGATCAATTCCAGAGAAAGGGTGGCCGCGTGGGAGGCGCCGGCCTGGCATGGGTAGGCGAGTATCTTGGCGCCGCTCGCCTGGGACACGGCGCGCAGCACGGCCGACGGCACTCGAGGCAGGAAGACGATGCCGAGGTTGTTGCCGCGCTCGGCGAGCCGCGGGCAGACCTCCCCACGAGCCATCACCAACCGTGCTCGTGTGCCGCTCAGGGCCAGCGCCGTCTCCTCCAGCCACGCATCCTGCTCTTCTGCTTGCCAGGGCGACGTCGCGTCGGGTGCAGGCCGCGAGCCGGAATTCGTCGATCCCGGCTGTCGCGGCCCGTGCGGTTCGCTGGCGCCGGGATGGCTGCCCGGAGTGCTAAACCCATTTTGCTCGCGCTCCATTCCGCACCAGAACACTACCTGTCCACGCTCGAGTCCCTGAAAGCCTGGGTGACGATGGTCGGCGGTGAGGTCCCCTCCAAACAGCAGAGCGCCGAGTGGCCTTCCGCTCAGACTCCTGGCGACGGCAGCGTCAGTGGCGGGCACGCTCGTCAAGTAGCCGTCCACGACTCGGGACGCGTCCTCACTCCGCCCCGGCGTGAGCGCCGTGACGATGCGCCGGAGGTCGAACTCCGGCCGCGACGCCAAGCCGCGGCGCGCGTGTATCTGAGCGAGATACGTGTCCCAAGCCAGCCCCATCTCCCGCTCCTGGCCGTGGCTCAGCCCCCGCGCGAGTCGGCCCACTCCGCGCACCGCGGTCGGCACCTCGCTTCTCGTGCCGCTGCGCGTCGACGGCCGGCGAGGCAGAACGTGAGTCTTGGTAACGTCCTCGCTGGGAACTGGCTCGCCCGCGTTTGGACAACTGACCGTGATCTTCACCACAGGATGAACGAGTCGAGCCGTAGGCGCCACGTGGTTTGGCCAAGGCCGAGTGGAAATGCCGGCTGAGCAGTCGCCGGGGTTGAGCTGCCGCCCTGGAGTTGCTCACGCACAGAGCGGCCTGGTCCCATCGAGCGGAGCTGCCTGGGTTGGGCGCCACAGTACTTCCATCGCACGACAATCGCCCTGAATCCTCTGTCGCCAAGCTAGACCCAGCTTCTTCATCGTCATTATCGTCATCATTTTCGTCACTGTCGACGAAACGTGACGGCGCTATTGGGAAGGTCAGCATCATCACCGCTCGGGCACATTCGTCCATTGCTTCGACGGCCGTGCGGGTTACTTCGGGGAGAGGCACGGCGCTCTCCTTCACGCAGCGAGCCAGTGCCCTGGCCCACTCCCCGGCCAGCACCGCTACGCTCGTGCCACCGCAGCCGTGCCCGACCTGCTGGCCCCGCACCGCGCCCTCCAGCAGCTGGCCCGCCGGGGAGCATGCGGGGCCCAGGGTCCGCAGCAACTCGAAGCCCGAACCGACCAGGGCACACTCGGGGCCATGGCCCTCACGAACAAACTTGAGGGCCTTGACGGGCCCTAGCAGCGAGTGAAAGTGGGACGTGACGGCGAGCAGCTCGCACAGGGCCCCGCCGACGGGGGGCGATCGCAGGTCGGGTGACCTCTCGGAAGCCGGTGGCGGACCCTGGGGTTCATCGCACAGAGCACACGGGCCACTCCTGCACGCTATTCTGCGCACCCTCCCGACTTGCCATGCCGGTGCGTCCCACCCTCTCACCCAAATCAATCTAGACCCGGGTCCTGTGAACCGTCCCTGTGAATGGCTCAGGCTCTTGTCGTTAGCTCAAAATTCAACGCTGAACAATGTCGGAGAAAAACTCTGAGCTAATGGCGACGGCCTGAACAAAGACTCGATATTGGACCGCACCATGACTGCAGAGATCCTGAACAAATCGTGGAGTGTATTGTGAACCGATGCTAACTTTGCTAATTCAACCGAGCCACAGCAGCAATGAGTAGGTGAGTGGGTGAGTGAGTTGGTGAGTGAGTTGGTGGGTGAGTAGGTGGGTGATTGAAGAGTGGGTAGGTGAGTGGGCGAGTGAGTTGTGGATGAGACGAAAGAGTCAGTGTCTGGTAGACCAAATCCTCAACACGTGTGAAGGAATCAACCGGTGAAGGTCTCGGGAGAAGTAGCCGTGGTAGTTACGATAGAAGGGCGATGAAGAGGCGACTGCCCGCTAGGTGGGGAGCGAGCAACCGGAGTGATTTGGTGAGTGCTGGATCACCAATCACCCCGACTGCTTTACTCTGCATTCTGACCAATAGCGTCGTCTCTGTGTTTCTGTGTAAACCCGCGCCGTGTTGGCCAAAACAGGTGCTCGCTAACCTGCACTTGCCCCAAGAGCCTATGTGGGCTTCACAGAGAACTTTCGTCTCTGTCGTACGCGTGATCAGTGTGGGTGAGCAGGAGGGTCAGCCATGCAGCCCCCGAACTCAGAAGTTACAGCCACATGGAGACAATGGGACACGGGGACATGTATGTATGTTGGGCTTCCTTCGTACCGTACGTAGCCAACCGTGATAATCGGAGGTGCCGAGGAAGGACAACAAACTAAACACGAAAAGCAGACGTGGAGGAACATGGACAAATAGGCCCTGATACAAAAGAACATTGCAGGCAGGGAAGACACGAGTCTTCGTGTTGCCATTTCCCATATTGTTTCCACACACCACAAACCATACGTGCCATACAGTATATAGTCTACACTGTACAATCCATAGGTCTACACTGTATACTCCTGAGACTGTACACCCCAGGATAGTGTATAGTCTATACAGTGTGTACCCATGGAGATGCCGGCTTGTCTCCCTGTCATACACACACCTCGTCACACAGAAACACACTCCCTGTAACACACACACCTCGCCACACACACACACCCCGTCTCACACACACACACCTCGCCACACACACACTCCCTGTAACACACACACACCCTGTCACACACACTCCTCGTCACACACATACACCCTGTCACACACACACACCCTGTCACACACACATAACACTCCTCGTCTCACACACACCTCGTCACACACACCTCGTCACACACACACACACCCCGTCTCACACACACACACCCTGTCACACACACACACCCTGTCTCACACACACACTCCCTGTCACACTCTTCCTGTCACACACACTCCCTGTCACACACACATAACACTCCTCGTCTCACACACACACACACCTCGTCACACACACACACACCCCGTCTCACACACACACACCCTGTCACACACACACCCTGTCACACACACACTCCCTGTCTCACACACACACACCTCGTCACACACGCACACTCCCTATCACACACACACACACTCCGTCACACACACTCCTCGTCACACATACACCCTATCACACACACACTCCCTGTCACACACACGCACACTCCCTGTCATACACACGCACACTCCCTGTCTCACACACGCACACTCCCTGTCACACACACGCACACTCCCTGTCTCACATACGCACACTCCCTGTCTCACACAGGCACACTCCCTGTCACACACACGCACACTCCCTGTCACACACACGCACACTCCCTGTCTCACACAGGCACACTCCCTGTCTCACATACGCACACTCCCTGTCTCACATACGCACACTCCCTGTCACACACAGGCACACTCCCTGTCACACACACGCACACTCCCTGTCACACACACGCACACTCCCTGTCTCACACACGCACACTCCCTGTCACACACACGCACACTCCCTGTCTCACATACGCACACTCCCTGTCTCACACAGGCACACTCCCTGTCACACACACGCACACTCCCTGTCACACACACGCACACTCCCTGTCTCACACAGGCACACTCCCTGTCTCACACACGCACACTCCCTGTCTCACACACGCACACTCCCTGTCTCACACACGCACACTCCCTGTCACACACACGCACACTCCCTGTCACACACACGCACACTCCCTGTCACACACACGCACACTCCCTGTCACACACACGCACACTCCCTGTCACACACACGCACACTCCCTGTCTCACACAGGCACACTCCCTGTCTCACACACGCACACTCCCTGTCACACACACGCACACTCCCTGTCACACACACGCACACTCCCTGTCACACACACGCACACTCCCTGTCTCACACTCGCTTGGACTCACGCCGGGCCGTACCGCTCTGTTCCGTGTCGCCATGGTCCTGCGGTGACGCTCTCAGCTCCTCCCTCCCTCGCCGACTCGCGCCACCCTCGGCACTCACGCGCTCCGTGTCCCTCCTCCTCCTCCTCTCATTGCTGCCGCAGGGAGAGGGCGGAGCGGAGACGTGGGGAGATGGGAGGAGACATGGGGAGATTGGGGAGACGTGGGGAGATTGGGGAGACGTGGGGAGATGGGAGGGGCGAAGAGGAGATGGGCGGAGATGAGATGGGAGGAGAGGATTCGGGAGGGAGGACACGTGTGCTCGACACAATGCCGTATCAATGTGCATAATTCAAAACACGTTTACAGATGGATGTGAAATGAGTCAGTGGTGGACATTCCACATCCCTATGGCGGAGACCAGCCTATACATAGGACAACCACTGTTGATCTCCCCCACAAAGTGATACCCATTTTATCGACCCTGCAAAGTATAATGGGCTGAGTCAACCCCCAATCAGGATTTGAGCTCGCGACGTTCCTTCCGATGGCGAGCCGCTCACTCCACCCCAGAGCCAAGCGGCCGGAGGTCAAATCCAGATGACCTCCGTGACGTCCCAACCATGGGGGCATGTCGTGGGTGGTCATCAGCAGGCCAATGTGGCACAGCAATTTCAGTTATTGTACGTTTCTGTAACTTATCATCGGACTGTTAATATCGGTTATCAGTTTGCCACAGATACAGAAATGTCCAGCAAGTGCCAAGTAGCGTCTTCATTACTGGAACATTCCACTGGAATCGGTGACTGGTTCCTAACCAGTGAAACGGTAAGCGATTGCGAAAGCGGTTACCGGTTCACTGTTATCATTTAACTAACCTGTTTGGAATGCACTAACAGTGGCATCGCTGTGCATATGTTGCACTTGATATAGCAATCGTGCTGTGACGGTTCCACCTGAAGACGGAAGCTTGTGTTGCCTCCGAAACGTCGTAAATTGTATTTTATTTTATTTAATTTTATTAATTTTTATTTTAAATTTTTACCTACGTGACTTTACCGAAAAAAACCCTAAGAATATGAATCCTTGCAGTCACGAAAGCTTCAAATCTAGAATTAAATGTTACTCTTGGGTTCTTTCGGTAAAGTCACGTAGGTAGAAACAAAATAAATCACGACGTTTCGACAGCAATCGCGATAGCCGCGATGTCTGCTGCTGCTGCTGCCTCGCGAGTCCACGAGAGGGCGACCTCAGGCCGCACATCGCCCTCATCTCATCTCACCTCCCTCATTTCATCTCACCCTCCCTCACCTCATCTCACCCTCCCTCACCTCACCTCATCTCACCCTCCCTCACCTCATCTCACCTCACTCACCTCATCTCACCCTCCCTCACCTCATCTCATCTCACCTCCCTCACCTCGCTCCCTCACCTCCCTCACCTCATCTCATCTCACCTCATCTCACCTCCCTCACCTCGCTCCCTCACCTCATCTCACCCTCCCTCACCTCATCTCATCTCACCTCCCTCACCTCGCTCCCTCACCTCCCTCACCTCACCTCATCTCACCCTCCCTCACCTCATCTCACCCTCCCTCATCTCATCTCATCTCACCTCCCTCACCTCATCTCACCTCCCTCACCTCGCTCCCTCACCTCATCTCACCTCACCTCATCTCACCTCACCTCCCTCACCTCACCTCACCTCCCTCACCTCCCTCACCTCATCTCATCTCACCTCATCTCACCTCCCTCACCTCGCTCCCTCACCTCATCTCACCCTCCCTCACCTCATCTCATCTCACCTCCCTCACCTCGCTCCCTCACCTCCCTCACCTCACCTCATCTCACCCTCCCTCACCTCATCTCACCCTCCCTCATCTCATCTCATCTCACCTCCCTCACCTCATCTCACCTCCCTCACCTCGCTCCCTCACCTCATCTCACCTCACCTCATCTCACCTCACCTCCCTCACCTCACCTCATTTCACCTCCCTCACCTCGCTCCCTCCCTCACCTCCCTCACCACCCTCACCTCATCTCACCGCCCACACCTCACCTCCCTCACCTCATCTCACCGCCCTCACCTCCCTCACCACCCTCACCTCATCTCACCGCCCACACCTCACCTCACCTCCCTCACCACCCTCACCTCATCTCACTGCCCTCACCTCCCTCACCTCATCTCACCTCCCTCACCTCACCTCCCTGACCTCCCTCATCTTCCTAACCTCCCTCACCTCCCTCACCCTCCCCGCCCTCACCCTCCCCGCCCTCACCCCCACCTCCCTCACCCTCCCCGCCCTCACCTCACCTCCCTCACCCTCCCCGCCCTCACCTCCCTCACCTCACCTCCCTCACCTCCCTCACCTCACCTCCCTCACCCTCCCCGCCCTCACCTCCCTCACCCTCCCCGCCCTCACCTCACCTCCCTCACCTCACCTCCCTCACCCCACCTCCCTCACCCCACCTCCCTCACCCCCCTCACCCTCCCGCCCTCACCTCACCTCCCCGTCTCTTCACCTTCGTGACGCTGGTGCCACTCGCAGCAACAAAGGACCTGGATTCGATTCCCCGACTCGGGGCCTTTCTCTGCGGCGTGTGCGTGTGTGCGCGTGTGCGTGTGCGTGGGTGTGTGTGTGCGTGTGTGTGCGTGTGTGTGTGGGTGTGCGTGCGTGTGCGCGTGTGTGGGTGCGCGTGGGTGCGCGTGTGTGCGCGCGCGCGCGTGCGTGTGTAAGTGCGTGTTGCGGGCGTGTGTGCGCGTGTGTGTGGGTGTGTGTGTGCGTGTGTGTGCGTGCGTGTATGTGGGTGTGTGCGTGTGTGTGTGCGTGTGTGTGCGTGTGTGTGTATGGGTGTGTGCGTGTGCGTGTGTGTGCGTGTGGGTGTGCGGGTGTGCGTGTGGGTGCGTGTGTGTGCGTGTGTGCGTGTGGGTGCGTGTATGTGCGTGTGTGTGTGCGTGTGTGTGTGGGTGTGCGTGTGGGTGCGTGTGTGTGCGTGTGTGCGTGTGGGTGCGTGTATGTGCGTGTGTGTGTGCGTGTGCTCCTCCTGTTCTCGGCATGGGTTTCCTCTGGGTTCTCTGGTTTCCTCCCATAACTAAACCCGCACACAGCGGAACTGGCATTGGCCAACATGTCCCGATACTCACAAATTCCACCGCAAACGACTCAAATTGAGATCACGGACAGCGGCAGCAGCTACACCGCCCCCTGTTGTGACACCACCGCAGGCTGCGCCTGTGAGGGGCCGTCCATAAAAGACGTCACGCACCTGGGGGGGGGGTCAGACATTTGTGACGAGGGGGGGGGTGAGAAATGTGACATCAAAATGCGCAACTTTAAATGAATATAGACAACACGTTCTACTTAATTAACATCGGAGTGCAGCGCCACATTAAATACGCACTACAATGACAATAGTTTAAAGCGATTTGAAGCATGTTTTATATTTGGAGGGGGGGGGGGGCAGAGCTTTGTGACGTCATATTTGAGGGGGGGGGTCTGACTTTATGTGACGCCGTGTGACGAGGGGGGGGGGGCAAAAATCGTTCAAATTCGCGTGACGTCATTTATGGACGGCCCCTGAGGCAGCGGCGCCTCCCTGCGGGCCGGGCGCCCGTCCCGCGTGCACTCCGTCATAGTTAATCGTCATCGTCATTGTTAATAGTTTACAGATAAACCCGACCACGGGTATTGTTATATGCGAAACTTCATCCAGACGATGACCTCGTTGCTCCCTCTGTCGCCGCTACCGCCTAAATAACCCCGCTCCATCTCGTGATCTCTGTGCCCTATTACATCTCGTCACCCACCACACATCTCCCATACTGCACATCAGTATCGACTCCTCGCGACCCACCGCTGTTCCCCACGCCTCATCGATACCCCCCCCCCACCACCACCACCCCCACCACTCTCTCGCGCATCTCAGCCCCCCCCCCCCCCCAATCTCTCTCGCCCCTCCCTCTCATTGTGCCCCCCCCCCCCGACCGCCCCCCCCCCCCCGCAGTGCGAGGCCGTCGCTTCGCCCTCCAGCCCGCGGCTGCCGCGAGCGAGAGAAGAAGAGGAGGAGGAGGGGAGGAGGAGGCGACTCGAGGGGAGCGAAGAGGCCTCCAGCCCGGGGCGGGCCGCGGCGCCTCCCTCCGCCTCCCCACGGCCATGGGCAGCGGCGCGGCCAGAGGCGGGGCCCTGGCCGAGTGAGGGCAGCAGCGGGGCCCTGGTCACACGAGGCGGGGGGGAGAGCGAGAGGGAGCAGGGCCTTGCACAGAGGAGACAGGCGACCGGGGGCGAGCTGGGCCCCGAGGAGGCGAGCTGGGCCCCCTGCGCCAGGGCTCCGGGCCCCGGGGAGAGGAGGAGGAGGGATCCGCGCCGCCGCGATGAGATGAGGCGGAGGCGCTGCGCCTTGGCCGTGCTGCTCGTGTGCGCCGCCGCCGCCGCCTCCTACTTCTCCTGGATGCTGGCCTTCAAGCCCGCCTCGCTCGGTACTCGCACAACACACACAGTACACACAACACACACACAACGCACACACACAACACAGTGCACACACAACACACACAGTACACACAACACAGTGCACACACCACAGTGCACACACAACACAGTGCACACACACACACAGTGCACACACACAGCGCACACACAACACACTCAACACACACACAGTGCACACACAACACACACAACACACTCAACACACACACAGTGCACGGCAGTCTACACGCCGCACCAGTGTACACGGCACAAGACTGGTAAACACCGCACGTGTACACACCACGAGTACTTACCACGACAATAGCACATCGCCTGCTACCCACACCACAGTATACACCACAGTACACATACAGGACAACATGCTGTACACACCACAGTATACACCACAGTACACATACAAGACAACATGCTGTACACACCACAGTATACACCACAGTACACATACAGGACAACATGCTGTACACACCACAGTATACACCACAGTACACATACAGGACAACATGCTGTACACACCACAGTACACACCACAGTACACATACAGAGCAACATGCTGTACACACCACAGTGTACACCACAGTACACATACAGAGCAACATGCTGTACGCACCACAGTATACATACAGTACACATACAGGACAACATGCTGTACACACCACAGTATACACCACAGTACACATACAGAGCAACATGCTGTACACACCACAGTATACACCACAGTACACATACAGGACAACATGCTGTACACACCACAGTATACACCACAGTACACATACAGAGCAACATGCTGTACACACCACAGTATACACCACAGTACACATACAGAGCAACATGCTGTACACACCACAGTATACACCACAGTACACATACAGGACAACATGCTGTACACACCACAGTATACACCACAGTACACATACAGAGCAACATGCTGTACACACCACAGTATACACCACAGTACACATACAGAGCAACATGCTGTACACACCACAGTATACACCACAGTACACATACAGGACAACATGCTGTACACACCACAGTATACACCACAGTACACATACAGAGCAACATGCTGTACACACCACAGTATACACCACAGTACACATACAGAGCAACATGCTGTACACACCACAGTGTACACCACAGTACACATACAGAGCAACATGCTGTACACACCACAGTATACACCACAGTACACATACAGAGCAACATGCTGTACACACCACAGTATACACCACAGTACACATACAGAGCAACATGCTGTACACACCACAGTATACACCACAGTACACATACAGGACAACATGCTGTACACACCACAGTATACACCACAGTACACATACAGAGCAACATGCTGTACACACCACAGTATACACCACAGTACACATACAGAGCAACATGCTGTACACACCACAGTGTACACCACAGTACACATACAGAGCAACATGCTGTGCACACCACAGTACACACCACAGTACACATACAGAGCAACATGCTGTACACACCACAGTGTACACCACAGTACACATACAGAGCAACATGCTGTACACACCACAGTATACACCACAGTACACATACAGAGCAACATGCTGTGCACACCACAGTGTACACCACAGTACACATACAGAGCAACATGCTGTACACACCACAGTACACACCACAGTACACATACAGAGCAACATGCTGTACACACCACAGTGTACACCACAGTACACATACAGAGCAACATGCTGTGCACACCACAGTACACACCACAGTACACATACAGAGCAACATGCTGTGCACACCACAGTATACACCACAGTACACATACAGAGCAACATGCTGTACACATCACAGTATACACCACAGTACACATACAGGACAACATGCTGTACACACCACAGTATACACCACAGTACACATACAGAGCAACATGCTGTACACACCACAGTATACACCACAGTACACATACAGAGCAACATGCTGTGCACATCACAGTACACACCACAGTACACATACAGAGCAACATGCTGTACACACCACAGTACACACCACAGTACACACCACAGTACACACCACAGTACACATACAGAGCAACATGCTGTACACACCACAGTACACACCACAGTACACATACAGAGCAACATGCAGTACACACCACAGTACACACCACAGTACACATACAGAGCAACATGCTGTGCACACCACAGTACACACCACAGTACACATACAGAGCAACATGCAGTACACACCACAGTACACACCACAGTACACATACAGGCAACATGTCGTGCTGAGTAGATGCTGGAATGAATGTTGTGGAGGTAGAGGGCAGTGGAATCTGCAATCACTGATCTAATTTGAGATCCTGGACCCTGTATGTTTGAACATTTGCGGAGCAAAAGCCCAAAACATCAGGTGTCCAGCAGTTCAGCAGTTCCACTGCTGGATTATTTTTTCCGCCTGAGGACGACTGCTTGTGTTGCGATCGAAACGTCGTGATATATCATTTTTTTCTGTCTACGTGACTTTACCGAAAGAACCAAAGAGTATGGATTCCTGCAGTCACGAAAGCTTCAAATCCAGACGGCACTATCAAAGTTTGAATTGATAAGAGTTAACACGATTCTTTAAATGAACAAGTCTGCTAGCTTTGGAAAAGAGACAAGAGGGAATTTCAAAATTAAGTGGTGCGAGAGAAGAATCAGAATGAGAAGTGGTGTTACCTGCAGTGTCTTGTGAGTGGGTAAGTAAGTGGGTGGGTAAGTTCGTGTGTTTTGTGACCTGCAGTATGGTGGTTGAACGCTATGGATGGGATGCAACGTTCAGTCTGGTAGATCCGAGTCCTCAACATGGGTGGAGGAATCGATACATTGTCGAGGAGAGCCAGTAACTAGGAGCTGAGATTTAAGTCCGTGAAGAGACGTGGAGCTCAGGGTTACAAGGCTGGCAGATGAGCCTCACTTATCCTGTTAAAGCCACCCTCCCAGAGCCACCTGTGACATGGTGCGATGCGAGCCATGAGCTGGGATCATCGACATTACTGGAATGTAAAATGTGTGTGGATAAACATAGGGCTTTTCAAATGTGTGTTGATCAGGGTTATTATGGCATACAATTCAGTGGGGTTTTAGGCAATGTTCTTATGAGCATGTGTGGACTGTTTATTTGTATAAAACATATATGCGTCAGTTTAACACGTAGGCTTTCGCGACCAATATCCATAATATAAGTGTTTTGGGTTAGATTGCGTAAATATCAATGTTGTTAACCCCGCCAATTGGCTGTGTCGGGTGGTGGCGGGTTTAACGACATTCATATTGACGCGATCTAACCCAAAACACCCTATATTAGACATGTATGTGTATAACACATGTGAGAAAGCTGCTAAAGATTGTCCGGCATGGTGTGGGTTGGTTGGGACCTTTTTCTCGACAAGGAGCAAAGAGGAGTTAGTAAGTAAAACACATGTATATATTTTTTTATTTTAAAATATGTGGATAACAGTTCATTCTAATCTGCAACAGCCATGATCAATTCAGTGCTGGATGAAGGCCTCTGCAAGCTTTCTCTTACGATCCTGTAAAGCAACGATCCATCCAGCACCATGTATGTATGGATGTTGAACTTCTTTCGTACCATACGTAGCCAACCGTGCAAATCGGAGGTGTGTGCACCAGCACGAAGATCATGGTTATGCATTTCAAATGTGCCTTGATCAGGATTATTATTGGCCTATGTTCATCAAGGTTGTGAAACAAGTTAATTTTGTGTAATCAGGTGAGAAGTCAAGAGAGCAAAATAATTCTTATTTGCAAGAGTGACCCGAGTCACCACAATGACAAGAACAATAACGTAAAAACAAGTACTGTACACTAATGTAGCAAAGAAAAATCGTAAAAAAAGCAACCCAATATAAAACACAGAAAAAATGGAAAACTGCACAAACAAATCAATATTGATGTTCTCGTGAGCATAGGTATATTGTTTTGTTTCCATGGACTCTGTTGTGGTTCAAGGTTTATGATTTAGCAATGTGTGGTTCAGCATGGACCATGTGGTGACTGGATAGGTCCCCTCAAGACTTTTGGCAGCATCGCCTGTGGTGCCAGAAAACTGGACCTCGTGCCTGCACGTGTCGCGGTGCTCATGAATGTGCAACCACCTCCACCTCACGAGTATCTGCCGTGATAATTGTCTCGGCATGGGCGAAGGACGACTCGCTTGCCGGTCCGGTCACATAAATTAGCGCCGACCACCATGTCCCGTTGCGGCCGCTTGCGGGCTGGAGTAATTAGTTGCGTGATCACGGTGGTTTTGCAATGTACCATAACGTTTAATTCCTGTAATTGCCTTTTCGGTATGCGATTTAAATGATTCTTTTAGCAGGGCTTATAAGAGCAGCTCTGTTGAGCCGTGGTAGGAGATGGGAGTGGCAGTGACCGGTCGGCGCCAGCGGTTGTCATACCTGGGCAGAGGCGTTCTCGAGAAACCAGACCAGCAGCATGTGCCTCGTGTTTTCCTTACAAATAGAGCGGGAGAACTGCTGAGGCAGGAAAGAATATATGGGATAGTTTAACACGTAGATTATGAATATATGGGATATAAACATATATTCAGCAGCTCTCCCGCTAGATTTTCACCTGATGACGATTGCTTGTGTTGCGATCGAAACGTTGTGATATTGTTATTTTTTTTATCTACGTGGCTTTACAGAAAGACCCAAAGAATATGAATTCCTGCAGTTGTGAAAGCTTTAAGTCAAGATTTTAATGTGATCTAACCAAAAAACATATATTATGGATAATATTCAGTCGATTCTTGGGTTCAGCCACGAAGTAATGATCTGATACATTTTATGTCGTGAAACCCTCATCTACACAACGCAGCCAAATTGTCATTTATACAATGTTAAATGCAGCAATGATTATTATTATTTCAGCTCACCAGTCAGCTGAATCCGGTTTTTGCTTCGCAACCTAGACTTTACACTGTGCTAATACCACAGGTAATAATGACATAAAGGTCATTGCATGCAGCTTTGGGGTCCCGAAATTACTTGCCATCACTGGAGGCGTGTATCAGACAGGCGATTCAGCAGTCAAGCACCGGCTCACATTTCAAATGAGGCGGTTGGGGAAGTTGACGCAGCTGTTCATCCTTTTGGGGTCGATAAAATGAACACCACTTTGGGGGGGGGGGAGTGGAGTCAAAAGTGGTTGTGCTGTAGGAATGTGGCATTTCCACCACGAGCTTAGGGCTGTGAACAGCTCCTTCTGAGTGCCCATATGAAGAGGAAATAATGTTGCCGTTTGACTGAAGGAAAATTTGAGTAAATTTTTTATATTTATCTAGAGATGAACAGTCATTCCTCATAGCAAACCTAGATTTTTTTATTCGTAATTTTTCAACCATAAACTTTTCAAAAGTACATAAAAAAAGTTTCCCTGCGTGATTTATCATCCTTGTCCATGATGCCTGTGTTTAAATACAGTCGCTGAGCACAGGCCTAAAGGCCCAAAATGTCAAGCAGCTACCAACAAGCAGCACTTTCAGATCTTTAATAGGCAAAAGTTATCACGTTTCTTTAATTGAGGAAGGTTATTGAAAGAACTTGAAAAGTGAGGGAACTCCACAATGGAGCAGTGTGAGGTAGGATACAGAAAAAAGTGTAGTGATCTGCAGTGTGGTGGGTGAGTTGATTGGTGAATAATTGAGTAGGTGGGTGCGTTATTGTGACCTAAATACAACAACACCGTCTGTGTGTGTCTGGTAGACCGAGTCCTCAACACGGGTGGGGGGTATCGGTGAGTGGAGTTCACGGGAACAGTGACCTCGTTAGTAGCAAAATAAGAGTGATAATGAGGTAACTGGCCACCAGTGAGTGGGCGAGTGGGCAAGTGGGCGAGTGACGAGTGAATCAGGGAGTGCCGGGGATCCTCAATCGCCCTGACTATGTGTGTGTGTGTTATGTAAGTCAATAGAGAAGGACTTAAGAGGCCTCGTTCATTGAATACAATAGAGAGTGAGGGAGCAGCTGGCCAGGAATGTGCCCCACTGCTCTCCGGACATCACTGTATGGGCACCACTAGCAGCTCCTTGTTTCAGGTTGTGTGCTGGGCTACTGGATAGCAATATCAGTGCGTCTTCTGGCGTGGCCAAGACCACAGGGCCGGGCCGGGCAGGGCAGGGCTGGGCAGTGTGGTAGCTTCATACTGGCAGCTTGAGTCAGGAATCTAACCAATTAACTTTTTGCTGTGAGGCACGAGTGTTACAGCTGCACTACTCTGCTGCCCTATTTAAACGTGTCCTATGTGTGTACAAGGGTACATTGAGTGTTGCCATTCATTAATGAGCTGTATGTGTGCACGTGTGTATGCAACCTCACTGAACCTGAAGAGGCACAAACAATGTAATACCTACACACGCTGGGCTGGTTATATTCGGTGATTTTGTGTATCCATCAACTGCGTGAAAAAAAGAGGCATGAAACGTTCCCCCTTTGCTTCCACACGTTTTTAAATATCCGGAGCAACAAAGGTTCAGCTTGCAATTGTGAAACGCGGGAAACTTCCCAAATCTCCCCCACCCCCCTCTCTTACCACACCATCGGTACACCAAAGTCGGTTTAAGATTAGTCACTCACGTGAGAAATCTTGGCTTGAAGCTTTCGTGACTGCAGGAATTCATATTCTTTGGGTCTTTCAGTAAAGTCACGTAGATAGGTTAAAGGTAGTCTGCAGGAAGATGAACGCTTGCGTTGCGATCGAAACATCGTAGTTTTAGTTTTTTGTTATTTTATTTGAACCTATCTACGTGACTTTACCGAAAGACCCAAAGAATATGCTCCGGTGAGGTTGTGTAAAGTGTGTGTACACCCACCTCCATGATGTCTGGTTAGCATGGAGGAGTAGACCACATACCCTGTAGAGCGGCTCTTTAGTGGAGGCCCTTCCGCCAGCGGTGGGGCGTGAGCAAGCAATTGCAGGACTGCGCCTCGTCCCGTCTGAGAAACAAGAGCAAACGTGCCCGTGGTGCCATAGGCCCCCATGCAGTTTGTCGAAGGCTTGCTGGCAGGAGGTCACGGGACAGACCCAGCTGCCACGGGTTGACAGTGAACATCACATGTGGTTTCACTGCAGGTCTGTATGGTGGTATTTTATAATAATAATATTTGCATTTATAGGCCAACGATGCCTTAGCACATCAAATAATTTCATGCTTTATGTTAAACGTTTGAAGGGCACCCCCAAGTAGCAGTTGTCCTTGTGAAAGCTGTCACAAGGTGACTCGGCACCGACCTATAAGCAGGTCGTACAATTCTAGTTGAGCTTTAAATGAGATGAACGAGTGGAATGGAGTCAAGGAGCCGGTCCGCGTGAATGTTGCTTCCTGCAGGTTTTGTGGATGGATCGCCTCTCCGGGAGATGCGCTTGCTGCATGAGCGCCTGCAGGCGGCTGAGCAGCTGAGTGTGCAGCGATCGGAGGACCTCCACCGGATCTTGGCGCAAGTGTATCGTGCCGTCTACAGCAAGACGTCAACCGACAACGACTCCTGGGCGGCTCTGTCCAGTACGGATGACAGCCCCCCTCGCTCGCCCCGCTCACCCGTGCACCGCTCACCCAGGAACTGCTCACCTGGGGACTGCTAAAACGGGCACCTATGTGACAGAGAGGGTCCTTGCCTATAACTATTTGGCAATTCACCAGCATTGGTTCAAGGGAGCCTGAGTTGATGACTATTACCAGTGGTGTCAAGATGGACCTCTGGAGGAGGAGGCTTGTGAGGGAAGCTCCTGGGCAATTGGAGGCAGTCGCCCTCAGAACAACAAGCGCCGGGTGGCCACAATGCAGCAAAGTGGCACAGTGGGAAGCACAGGCTATGCTAGTCATCTCAGGCAGTCAACCCATGGCACCTGAGTTTTTCCTGTGACCTACCATCAGCAGCAAGCATTCCATACTTCACGTGACAACCTCACAGTAAATTAGCATGGCGTAGCATCGTAATGATGTCACCGCCACTTAATGGCGAATAGCGGCCGTTGTTGATGTGTGTTTGTGTTGAGGCTCTCGTGGGATCTCTGTCTTTGTGCAGACGAGACGCAACGTCTGCTGAAGGAGCTGACCCTGCACGGCAGCCTGCACGTACCCAGCATCTACCATTACCTGCCTCACCTGCGCAGCCAGCCCCACGGCCTACAGCCGCTGGTGCACGCCAGCGCCAGCCGCACTGGCGGTGAGGCCCGCCTGGCTTACCGGCGTTCACACGGCGGCATTCGCCACCACAACGTGGACATGCAAAGCCGACATGCGCGATCACGCTCGTTTACCCGGAGTTATTTTTGATGTTGCTCTATGTCATCCCTATTGAGTAATTTGAGAGTAATCTTCCGCATTGGGATATTTGGCCAATGTCAACATAAATGTGGAACACTGTAAAACCAAGAGGAAGTAGGAAGGAGACTTTCTCTGTTGCAACAAGTGGCGAAGACGCTGCCGCTGTCACCGCCCGTGGAGAGAGCTGGCCGAGAGCACACGGCGTCTTTACCGTGGCCTGTGATCCAGCGCTGTTGAGGTGGCAAGGGTTGGTGGATCACACACATGCTGTGGAACTCATACCTTGCTCACCAGGAGAAGGCGGCATAGCAAGTGGACTGTATGTATGTTGTTGTATCTTGACTTACAGCTTTCGTGACTGCAGAAATTCATATTCTTTGGGTCTTTCAGTAAAGTCACGGAGATAGAACAATAAAATAATCAAAAATAAAATGAAAATAAAGTGAATAAAAAATAATAAAAATATCACGAGGGGGAAAAGCTGCTGAGGCAGGCTGTTTAAAAGGTTTGAAATGGGTGTAGCCCAAGGGTCATAAATGAAGTGGGCGGGACTAGTGATGTTAAAGTGAGAGAGATTAGCATGTCGATGTAAACGGCGGCTGTTTTCATGGGAACCTGTTAATGTAAAATCAGAGAGTCGAAAATAACTACTAACGTCGCAAGGCAGGATGGAAACATCACAGCCAGTTATGACTTAAACTGGTTGATAATGTCCTTCCAATGATTGCTCAGTTTGTACCCATCTTCTCGGTTGAAATTGTGTCCGTGTCTATATATCTGGATGGCTTCATGAACGAATCTTTGTTGATAGCCAGTGAGTTTGCAGAGTACCTTCGTCTTAGAGAAATATATGTTGTGTGAGCCCACCGCATTAAAACAATGATCAGCCACGGCTGAGGTATTGGTCCTACCGTGTTTCAGGTCTGCCTTATGTTCACGAACACGGTCCGAGACATGTCGCTTAGTTTCCCAAATGTAACTACTGCCACAGGCACAGCTTAGTTTGTAGACGCCGGGGTATTGCATGTCAGGGATCGCATCCTTCACAGATGGGATCAGATCACGAATGTTATGTACTGTGTTAAATCGAACCTGGATGTTGTGTTTGCTCATGATTTTAGAAATATTTTGGTGATCTCTGCTACGTATGGCAAGGTGATGGTTTTGATTGGGTCCTCAGGTGGTTCTCTCCCAACGGTTGGGGTGATAGCTTTACGGATTGTGTAGTCTGAATATCCATTCTTCTTGAGTGCTTGGTGTACGTGCTCCAGTTCACTGGCTCGGTGGTGATGGTCGGAAATACAACGAGCTCTATGGTGTAGAGTTTTGATGAGGGAATTCTTCTGGGATGGATGGTGGTGGGAGTCAGGTTTTAGGTAGGCATCTGTATGGGTGGCTTTCCTGTAGACAGTGTCCCATTGAGCCATCTGGTCTCTTTTCGATTAAAACATCCAAGAATGGTTACTTTCCATCCTTTTCCACCTCCATGGTGAATTTGATGGCTGAGTGTATGGAATTGATGTGGTTGAGGAATTGGTTCAGAGCTGGTAGGGCCATGTGGCCAGATGACTAACGTGTCATCTACGTACCTCTTCCACAAGGACGGACGTAGAGTGGATGCCTGGATGGCATCTGTCTCAAAATTTTCCGTGAAAACATTGGCTACAACTGGAGATAAGGGAGAACCCATTGGGGTACCTTCAACTTTTGTAGAATGTTCCATTCCAGGTGAAGTAAGTGTTGGTGAGGCAGTGTCTCACCAGGGCCAGTACATCAGCATTCAGTCCTTGTTGGACCAAATCTTCAATGATTGCAATGGTGTCAGGCACAGGAACTTTGGTAAACAAAGAGGCTACATCGAAACTAACGAGCAAATCACCTGGAGATAGTGAGATGTCCTTAATTAGCGATACCAAGTGAGCTGAGTTAAGTACAGCTGAGGTGGTCTTACCAGTGAATGGTTGTAAGGTCTCAGACAGAAATCGGGCCAGTTTGTAGGTGTGTGAGTCAATGGTGGAGACGATAGGACGAAGTGGTGTGCCTTCTTTATGGATTTTTGGTAAGCCATACAGTCTGGGTGGTCTAGCAGCAGAGGGTTTTAAGGAAAACCGCTTGGTTGGTTCGATTAAAGATGTCGAATCGGTGATGATATTGTTGGTTTTCGTAACCAGGCGGTTGGTGGGATCTCTTGATTTTGGTATAGCTACCATCATTAAGTAGGTCCTGAATTTTGTTATTGTGTGTGGCTTTGTCCATGATGACAGTGGCATTGCCCTTGTCGGCTGAGAGGATGACGATGTCATCTCTCGTAACCAGGCGGTTGGTGGGATCTCTTGATTTTGGTATAGCTACCATCATTAAGTAGGTCCTGAATTTTGTTATTGTGTGTGGCTTTGTCCATGATGACAGTGGCATTGCCCTTGTCGGCTGAGAGGATGACGATGTCATCTCTCTTTTTTAATTGAGAAAGCTCAAAGCGCTCATCCTTACTGATGTTGCTAATAGGTGTCTTAGCGTTTTTGAGGATTGCAGCAATTTCCGATTTTGTCACGTCTGCAGGAATGTGTCCCAAACCCTTAAGGGCTACGTCGACCTGGGCAATGATATCATCAACTGGGATGTGTTTAGGGGTGACTGCGAAATTCAACCCTTTAGCTAGAACCGATTTTAGGCTGTCGGAAATTGGACTGTTACTCTGATTGATAACAATCTTGTCAACGTCTAACTTTTTAATGCGTGAATCTGGCTTCTTCTTGCAAAGTAGGTTGAACTTGTAAATCAAGTTATCTTTGCATTTAGCTGACATTGAGGCAGCTGAAGAGGCTGTCATGTTATCTACATGTTCCTAATCAGATATAAACATTTTTTCCGTCAATGTTAAGTGTGATTTCAAGAGAGTCTTGTCTAAATTGTCTAGTTCAAATCGGAGCAATCTTATTCTTTCTAGCTTTGAAGCTTTCGTGACTGCAAGGATTCATACTCTTAGGTTTTTTCGGTAAAGTCACGTAGGAAAAAAATAATAAAAAAAGAAAATATTAATAAATAGATTTTTTTTCATTTATTATTATTTTATTTTTATTATTTATTACCTACGTGACTTTACCGAAAAAACCTAAGAGTAGCAATCTTATTCTCTTTGAGATCAGGGCTAGGCCAGCCCTGAACAAGATCCGTTTAGCATTGGGAGAAGTGACAGCAGCAGATGTGAGTGTGAAGGCGATCGGTATTACCTTGGTGTTGCGGCATCTCTTCAGAAATGTGAGCGACTCGATCAGATGAGCCTTCTTGTCTCGATGTTTGTTAAAAGATCGAATAATTGTGTGGAAACACTCGCCGTAGAGGCGGTTAAATCTTGACTTAAAGCTTTCGCGACTTCTTTCGCATTGCACGAAGCCAACCTTGCGGATTGGAGGTGTGGGAATAATCGCCGTCGGTTTCCTTCGGTACGGGCATAGAGTGTTGCTCCCCTCGCTCGCGTGGAATTTCTCCGCGTGCTCCAGTTCCCTCCTATAGGAATGAACACAAAATTGGCTGAAAACATCTTAAAATAAACATCCAATGTAGCAAGACCCTCCTGGACTCATCGTCGCATTGCTGGGTAAAAAAGTAACTTATTGTTACTGGCAGTGTCCATGGTGCTGGGAGTACCCACGGTGAAACGGAAGGTGCAGAGCTACCTTATCGACACGCTCAACTCGCTCATCCACGAGCTGTCGCCCACTGAGAAGGATGACTGCATCATCGTCGTCTTCATCGGGGAGGTGAGCGATGCCCCTTGGTGCTGCACTGTAAATACCCTGGAATTGCCGTCCTCTACTGTGTGGACTATGTCGCTTTCAAAGATCTTGAAAGTACCTCTTTGATATCCACTTTGGTGGGCCCTTGTGGTTGTTACTGAGCTTGTTTTACCTTCAATAACACCGTGGCCTTAGACTAGATTGGTAAAAAAAAGGCAACATGGGCCTATTATAAAAGTGTGCAATTACGGAGGCCTATTGCCCAAAGTGTCGCCAATTATATATTTGTCTGGACTGAAAGCTTTCATGACTGCAGGAATTCATATTCTTTGGGTCTTTCGGTAAAGTCACGTAGATGGTTCAAAGAAAATAACAAAAAAACTACGACGTTTCGATCGCAGCACAAGCGGTCGTCATGAAGAGGCAAGCTGCTGAATGCAGACTGTTGTAAAGGGTGTAGTAGTCCCCGGGTCATAAACGAAGTGGGCGGGGCTAGTGATGTTAATGTGAGAAATTAGCATGTTGATGTAAGATCGATCTTACATTAATATGCAAATTTATGAACCTCTGTGTGAGAGGTGTGAATGGGCCTTCCTTGCAATTGTGCTGCTGTGTGATGGTCGCTTTCCTCTGCAGACCAACGTCCACCACGTGAGCGAGATCGTCGAGGAGCTCAAGACTGGGTGAGCTCTTGTGTTCATTTGATTTTTACTGTGGTCAGCTGATCTATGAAGACAAATATCCTCTTGTATAGCCTACACAGGCTGTTGGGGAAAGTGCTGTTTGCAAACACCTATCAAGGTCAGCATGGTGCACATTTGAAAGAGTGGTGTGGCTATCGCCATGCCCGGGAGCCTAGTTTACACACAGTACCATGTGAGCGTTTAAGGCTGAGTCGACCTCAGGGAGGCCCAGAACCGCTACCTATGTTAATTGGTCGTGAACGGGAATCGAACTCGGCTCGCCGCATTCATGTGTGGCATGCGAACCACTGCATCACCGCTCTTCATAACGGTGTATACGCGCACGCATGCACGCACGCATGCACACACGAACAAGAAACACGCACACACTGTGGTCTACATGGAGAGAGACGGTAACACGAGTTCTGCTCTGACCGCCACCACCGCTGCGTGCGATGTTCATTTCCGTGCTCGGCTGTCAGGTTTGCATACGAAATCAACTCGGGGCTCTTGGAGGTCGTGTCTCCGTCACCCAGCTACTACCCGGACCTCGGCAACCTGAGAGAGACCTTCGGCGACTCCCTGGAGAGAGTCAAGTATGACCCCGCGAGCACCAGCGCCCCGCGCTCACAGCCGGCCGCATGGAGATTCACAATCGTTATTACACTGGTTCACCCGGGAAAGCCCCACCGAGTCTCAAGACTCTTCTTCAGGAGAGTCCTGCCAAGTTTTTGTAGTCGAGGGCGATGTGTATTTTTCAGAATTGGGATGTTCTGCATGGAAATGTTCTGCATAGAAATCCATACAGAACAGGGAGAGAACATACACACATCACCCGCACACACACTCTCATTCACACTCAATTGGACAATCACACTCACACTCTGCAGAATAAGGGGAGAACACGTCCCAAAAAAAGGCACCTGAATCCGGAATTTAACCCAGGTCCTTCTTGCTGTGAGGCACAGGTGTTACCACTGTGCTACCATGGTTACTGTTTCCGTGAACTTCACTCGTTGATTCCTCCACCCATGTTGAGGGTTTGGTCAACCAGTCTGCTTCATCTCATCCACACTGTGTTCAACCACCACACTACAGGTCCCAACAGCTTATTCACGCACTCGCTCACCCACTCACCCATTCACTCACCCACTCCACTCAGTCACACACCAACTCGCCACACTACAGTTTCTCACTTATCTTTTTGTTTCTTCCCTCGCCTCGCTCCACGTTGAAATGCCCTCCTCCCATCATCAACATCATCGTCTTTTTTTCCAAGTCTCATAACCGCGCCCGCACGGCAGTGAGTGTGTTATGCAACACAAGTGCCCTCCACAAGTGTCAGCTGCTGCAGCTGCTGCTGTGAGCGGGGACTCTGATGAGAGTGGCCACTCAGTGCCCCGTGATGGGTGGGGCGGTGACGTAACCCAGCGGGTAGCATGATCGCCGCTTGTTTTGGGAGGTCCACAATTTGAGTCAGGCTGGCTGCCCTAGTTAATTCTGTGTTATGAAGTAACCATGAAATACTACGTCCCTCTGCTTTACAGTAGATTATAAAGTTACCATGACATTATTTGAATGGAGCAGACTAATTTTTACAGGGTCACGGTCCAAATTGGCCAAATATTGAAAATGACACCGTAATTTAATCAATGGGGATTGCACATAGCAGCGTCACGCCGTACGATGAAACTACTGCAGGCTTTGTCTTTGAAGCACAGCGGTGCTTCCTGCATGATAACTCTTTGCTATGAGAATGATAGTGGCCTTACCAAACGCTTTAAATAATAATCGTCATAGCTAATCCTGCACGGTAGCGGATGCAGCAGCAGTTGCTGCTGCGGCACAGAGACGCACGGTGAGCACCGCACGCATTGCCACACACGGGAAGCCTCTGTTACCGCTGGGGGCTGCGCTGGTGCATGCGGCCTGGAGTGCAGCGCTGTGCGGGCAGCAGGGGTTGGTAGATGACGCACCCGTGGGCGTCGACATTGCCATTTCCTGACTTATGGCCAGGGTGCCATGGCAGTACAGCAAGTGGTTTAATTTACAGCTGTATTCCATCTGTACGGGGATTGAGTCTGACCCCCACCCTCGCACGAGTGTGTTTTCTCCGGTACTCCAGTTTCCTTCTAGGCGTATAAACACTCGGTAATGGTGTTGACCAAACATCCCAATATAGGACCACAGAGCTTGGGCAATTTGTTGGCTCCGGTTCTCGCTGCCTTCCCACTTATTCCATGGGATTCCCGCGCCTCTCTACCCTTCTCTCTGCCTGTGAGAGTCAATTGTCGCTGGGGACAGCGTTACCCTCAACGATTCACCTCGTTGTTCGGTGATTGTTCTGTGCCAGGCCGCACGACCACCCTCACGTGCGAGCTCAGCCGTCCGTCTCTGTTCTTGCCTGCAGATGGAGAACGAAGCAAAACCTGGACTACTGCTACCTGATGATGTACGCTCAGTCCCGTGGCCACTACTACCTGCAGGTATGCACCGCGGGGAATTGCGGCGTTTCGGGGAGAGGAATCGCCTACGTGCCGACGGCGCCTACGTGCCTTTGATGTTTGCTCGGTGTTTCCAGCTCCGGTTAAAGCCACTCGACGGCCTCCAGCGCCACCCAGAGCACGCAACGCGCACAACACACACCGGCACAGCCCTGCCTCGTCTTTCTCCGTTTCCCTGATTGTCTCTCCGCGTTTTTTTATTCTCGGAGAGCAGCACCGCATCCCGCGGTGAGCACGTTGCAGCACAGCGCTGAACTCAATCAGCACTCATCTGTGTTAGGTTATTAGTGCTTGATGGTGATAAACTGTTTCACTTCTTTCTTAACGACTCTTTTAATTGAGATGTTTTAAGAATTAAATTGGATCCAGTACCACGGGTGCCAGTGCTACTGCGCTAGGCCCTGATCGGACTGCTCGCCTCCTGCACGCCTCTCTCCCTCCGCTCACAAACCGCATTATACCCATCTGAGCCCCATTTAAGCTCAGCCCTGCTAAGCTTGCCAGATCTGTCATGATCGGATGAGTTCAGGGTGATGTAGTCACCGTACGGTCCCTGCCATAGGAGCGTGGAATGTCCACCCCCAGTGGTGGACGTGAGTGCTGCCCAATGCTCGCTTTGAGTGGTGAGACACCGCCATCATGAGTGTGCCGCTGTCCCAAGCAGTGCTGATGATAATTAATGAGAGCCAGTTGCGTTTCATGGAGCCGCTCTGCTCCATGCCGGGGCATCTCGAAACGCTTCACACGCAATAAGCGATTTCCATCATCGCATCTTATTTCAACACATTTGATAGGGCATTTGAGTCTGCCAGTAGTGGGCGGTGATTGTGAACGCCACATGTGACTAGGGGTTGTCCGGGGGGCCCTGCGGCGCCCTTCACAACCATTGACGGCCTCTGGCCAGGAAAGTCACAAAAAAATTGCACACGAACGACGCATTCACGCAAGCACCCCATGCTCCGTTTTGAAGTTTTAAAATGAAACATCTTTGAATTGTATTATGTTTTGAATTAGATAATTGTATTTCTTCATTAAAAGCTTGTCATTTTACATCTGGAAGACTTAATTGAAATAGACATTTCGTGTGAATTTTCTCTCGTCGTTAAGTAGATGGCCTTGCTGGGGGTTCGGTTCGATGCGGAATTTGGCGAATGTGGCAAAGTTAGACCGTGATGCTTGCACATGGTGATCTACTCATGTTGCCTTGCTACAGCTGGAGGATGACATCATGGCCCGGCCCAACTACTTCAGCCTCATTAAGAAGTTTGCTGAGCAGCAGTCACTGGAGGACTGGATGATCCTGGAGTTCTCCCAGCTGGGATTCATCGGTGAGATTCGGTTATAATCTAGGGCTTTAGGCCACACCACACTCGGGCTGCATCACACCCAGGCCACATCACACTTGAGCCACACCACACCCAGGCCACACCACACAGTAGTCGGAAGCACAGGTGGTGCATCTGTCAGGTCATCTCACTCATTCAACCTACAGCTTCTGGGTCTGTCCCGTGACCTCCTGCCTGCAATCCTTCCATACTTCACTCGATGGCCTCAAAGTGCACCTAGCCTGGCACATGATCCGCGGTGACATTCACTTCGTCACACATTGTTTGTGTACCCTCAACTGTGTCTCTCCACCCACGTGCCTCTCCCCCCCTTTCAGGGAAACTGTTCAAATCGTCGGACGTGAACATGCTGGTGGAGTTCATCCTGATGTTCTACAGGGACAAGCCCATCGACTGGTTACTCGACCACATCCTCTGGGTCAAGGTCTGCAATCCCGAGAAGGATGCGGTGAGTTTAGCACTGAAACAATTAATCGACAAAGCTGGTGCTGCAGCACACGTTCCATGTGCTGCAGAGTGTATGTGAGTGAATGACAGTGTAACAATATGGGGGAGCGGTAGTGTAGAGGTTCGCGCGCTGCACTACGAACCTGCCCACCCACGTTCGATTCTCGCTCACGGCCGACACCAGTGACGATTATCTGAACCAGTCCTGGGCCTTCCCTAGGTCGACTCGGCCTGAAATGAGTACCTGGTCTGGGTGTGTAAACATCGCCATTGGGGAGACAAATGCGGCTGGGCGTGGTACTATTTTGTTTGAGCAGGTGAGAACTCAAAACGGGACAAGGATTGAGTCTCACTCGTATGAGGGACTTGGTTCACCACATTGACAAAAGCAATCGTGTAAAAACAAGTACAGCAATGATGCAAATAGAACTCAGAGCAAACCCAATCATATATAAATCAGAGCAAACACAACTGCGTCACTTAACAATGTATGACTCGATGCAGTGTCATTGTTGTAACACGCACTACATAAGTATGACCACGTAGGGGCAGCAAGAGATCACCTGCAGGAATATCTCGTGGTCACTCGATCTGAGCTGGGTATGGGTCCTTGAGCCCAGTGGCCCTAACCTGTCTTCTGGATGCTGCCCAGAGAGACGATGCTTTCCTTGGAGCATTGTCTCTGTAGATCAAAAGTACGCGTGATAGCAAGGCCTCAATGGAAGCTCTCCACGAAAGTTCGGGGAGGTGTGCTGAGCTAGGAGCCCCATGTACTGGCTGATAGTTCCGTGTGCTGGGCTGGTGATTTTGTGTGCTGGGCTGGTGGTCCCGTGTGCTGGGCTGGTGGTCTCACACACTGAGGACTGCTGGCGGTGTGGCCGTGCTGCATTCCCTACAGAAACACTGCCAGCGGCAGAAGGGGAACCTGCGTCTGCGCTTCAAGCCGTCGCTGTTCCAGCACGTGGGCCACCACTCCTCGCTGGCCGGCAAGGTGCAAAAGCTCACGGTGAGTCTGCCAGCCTGCTCACCGGGCAAGCCACCAGAAACACTCCATATGTTCATCAGAATCAATGTGGCCTTAAAATGTAAATAATAGGCCGGTATTCAAGCCCTTTTGTCAATCCACTGCTGGATGAAGGCCTCCCCACGCCATGGGATCATTTGACCATACTTCACCACGCTGGTCAGTGTGGGTTGTTGAAAGCGGGTAACATAGACGATGGAACAGAGCGTAGCACAATGGATTCTGTCGCCGCCAATGCAGCCCCACAACGTTCATCCGGCAGTGGCGTGAGTGGGCAATTGCAGGGCTTCACCTTTACCTTCGTTTATTGTGTGCTGGATTCCCATTGCAGGATCGTGACTTTGGGAAGCCTCAGCTGCACAAGTCATACCCGAACCCGGGTGGGGAGGTGAGCACCAGCCTCAAGGTGTACCAGCACCACTCGCTCGACAAGGCATACCAAGGCCTCGACTTCTTCTGGGCCCTCACGCCCGTCGCCGGGGACTACATGCTCTTCAGGTTCAGCCAGCCCGAGAAGATCAGCAGGTGCGGCTGTCGGCCTGCGTCCTGATGGCCGTAACGATGCACCCCCCCTCCCCCGGTCTCAATATGTATGTAAGGGCACCCCCAGTGGCAGCTGTCTCTGAGGGTATAAGGTTACTTAGCACCTGACCTGCTATCAGACATTGGTCTGTTAATCTACCCACTTGTTTTCCTGTCAGACTTATGCAGGCCAGAAGATGGCAACCTGCAGAGCTTGGATAGTTGTTGGTAGCGCGGGGTTCTCTCCGCACGGTTGCTGCTTTCCCGCTTGTCTGGTTCCTCCCCGGTGATCGTGAGAGTGGCGATTGCATGAACGACGATGACAACAACGCTCTCGATAGAGCTGCACACTATCAGAGACCCATAGACTCATAGAGTTCTATAAAGATCCATGGAAATCCCTAGACACTGGTAAAGACCCAGAGACCCACGTATAAAGACTCACTAATTGGGTGATAACATCTTAATATAAGATCACAGAGTTTGGCTAATTGTTGGTAGTGCTGGGTCACAGCATGGCTGGCTTAACGCTTGTTTGTGGTTCCTCAGCAATTTTGAGAAATTCGATTTTCAAGAATGATGACATCACTCCGTACACAACTAAACATGATGATTATTTTGATTGCATAATGAGGCCACGGTTTGCTGTGGTGGTGAATGACGCAGAGCCGCCGGGTGTCCCGTTGCCCCCCTGTGAGCAGGTACCTGTTCAGGAGTGGGAACATCGAGCACCCAGGAGACAAGCTCCACAACACCACGGTGGAGGTGCTGCTCGCACAGGTGACCAGGCTGCCCTGCAACTCACACTCCCCAGACACACACACGCGCATTCACTCGTAATACGATGACAATAACCTAGCAGACGCTATGCCTCCATCACATATCTGTCCCTCCACATGAAAAATATACTTTTTTACACATCTCATCAGCCAAACACGACCCTCTGGTAGTGCACAATATCAGCTGCATTGAAACAACACCAGCAAATCTCCTGACTGGTTTTGATACGAGCGGCTGACACGAGTGAGGGTGGTCGGATGGACTGTGATGACACAGGGAAAGGAGACCGGGCAGGAGGCATTGCAGGACATCAAGGACAAGATTCCTGGCCTTCAGTTCACAGATGATGGTTATTTGAGGATAGGTGAGTAGTGCATCTTCCCACATCTCAGATTAGCATGGTTTGCTACATACGGTGCGAAGGAAGTTCAACATACATACGTGCAGCAGTTCATCTTGTGTGGCTTTGTATTATCCTCCCGCTCGTTTACCGAGGAAAGCGTCGCCTAGTCACACAAATCTTTTGCAAGCGAGTCCTGCCAGGTTTTCTGCAGTAGGGGCGATATTGCTCCTGTGTGTCATCCCAATTGAGTAATTTTCAGGCTATTTTTTAGTGTGCAACACATGCCACGTGTGTGGAAAGTGAACGTGCTGCATCGCAAGCACATTGCTTGCTCACCCCACTACTGGTAGAAGGGCATCCACTGCAGTGAACTTTAGAGTGGTATGTGGCCTATTCTTCCACGTTGACATGTTGAAAGAGGTGGGCGAACCCACACTTTAATCCACCACGCACCCTGCCGAACATAGACTAACTGCGGCGTACCTATTTATACTCCTGGATAGACAGGTGACCTCTGGATTAAACATACGGTGTGCTGCTGATCATTACACTACCACGTTGGTGCTTGTGTTGTGGTTATTGCAAACATGATGCCTTGTATAAAGGTGTCAGTTTTTGTACCAGTTTAAAGGGTAAAAACCTACTACTATATTTTGCCACTGGTAAAGGAGGTCTCATAGTGTAAATGCTTACCCCGAGCTCTCAATACTCTGATAGTGCACTGTTTTTGAGTTGTACGCCTTTTGGCGTCACCTGGTCCAACACCAATGGAGACTAGGCTCTAAGAAAAGCTGTCTCGGGTGTGGACCAATCAACTTCAAGGACAGTGCATATCATTATCATTATCAGAGTTGTTTATTTTTGTTTGCATTTTGACTGCTTGTGTTGTGGTTATTGCAAACATGATGCCTTGTATAAAGGTGTCAGTTTTTGTACCAGTTTAAAGGGTAAAAACCTACTACTATACCACGTTGGTGGCAACTGTCTATGTTTGGTGAGAAAACGCCACGACTGAGCGTACGTAATGGGGTGGAGAGTGGCCACGGTGGCCTCTGGTGAGAAGCCACATAGGGTGAGTGACCGTGCTGCTCATGTCGAGGTGTGCAGGAGCGTTTGTAAACGGCGTGGCCGAGGCGACGGTGGGCCCCGCGCTGGGTCCCGTGCGAGCCATGCGTCTCTGCATGCTCTCCGACTCCCCCGTGTGGGTCATCCTCAGTGAGGTGGGTGCGTGCATGCAAGACAAAAGTCCCCTGTGGAGCCTACACAGGCTGTTGAGGCAAGGGCTGTGAGCGAGCGGCACCTATCTGAAGACCAGCGATGTTCACACACCACACGAGTTACTCGTTTGAGGCTGAGTCGACCTAGGGGGACCCAGGACTGGTTCAAATAATCGTCACTGGTGGTGGCCGTGAGCAGGAATGAAACTCGGGTTGCCAGGTTCGTAGCGCAGCGCGTAACTACTACACTACCGCTCCCCACACACACGCGCGCGCGTCCATAGGTACACAAACACGCGCTTGCAGCAGACACACACAACTTTCAAAGTGCATACGGCAGTAAACGACTCGAATAATAAACCAATGCTGCGCGAAGAACGCCTTAGACTTGCAACACATTTGTATTTCACTTTAGCCACGATCAGCAGGCACACTGGGTCACATGACAGATGTGACGTCACAGCTCACTTGCCCTGCACAATATATGCATTATTGCCCCCCCCCCCCCCCCCCCCCCCAAAAAAAAACAAAAGTGTATTTTTATAATTTTTGCATGGTGTACAGTCTGGAAAGTACCCACATGGAAAATTTCAAGTTTGTTGCATGACGGGAAGTACGCTAAACATTTTGAACAGACACACATAATCACAAATTTCCCTTGTATATATAGATGTGCGAACACACAGATCGCCCTTCTACACATGAGTGTCGCGTGTAATTTGCTCATAAAACGTGTTTGTAGAGATTCTCCCCACCTCTCTATCCCTCCCCCTCGCCTTCCTACCTCCTCCTCGGGCCAGCGGTAACACGTTCGCTGCTTGTTGCAGAGCTTCGTGGTTTGAATCTGACAGGCTGCCCTGGTTATGGCTGCAGTGGTGCATTAACCATGACATACTCGGTGCTGTTCTCTTCGCTCACAAGCGGGCATTAAAGGTCCCGTGAGGTTATTCGAAACGAGAAGGCCGTTGTGTGCCGGCGTCATGGTCCAAATTTTACTAATTTGAAAATGAGACGGCAAATTTACTCTTACAAATAGCAACATTCTTGAAGACTTTGCAGGATCTTCCCGACAAAGTCGAGGCTCGGTGAGGATTTCCTGGGCAAAGAAGCATAGTGATCAGTTTAACACGTAGGCTTTCGCGACCAATAACATCCATAATACAGGTTTTTTTGGGTGAGATTGCGTAAATATATGTGTAGTTAAGCCCGCCACCACCCGGCACAGTCAGTTAGTAAGGTTTGTCACTTAAACAAGCTCTCCAACACACCAGTATGCTGTACAAGTAACGAATAAGCATAGGAATAAAAATAATGTTATTAAAGATCGGAATTATGCAAGTCTCTTGCCGCGTGTAAAATGCTCCGAGTCGCCTCGGCGTGAGGAGGATAGCTCCATCAAACACCGCTCGCTGCAATAATGACACGCCCTGTCTGTGCCCACCCACTGTGCTCCCACAGATTCAGATTGAGAGGCGGATGACGGGGGGTGGGGTGTGAGCCGTGCAGAGGGAGACGGGTTCGGTGCCAAAGAAAAGCTGCGACTTGGACACAGTCTACGGCAGTCCTGCCCTTCGGCCATCGCCAGGGCGGGCTCCTTGTGCCGCCCGCCCCGGCGCGCCTCACAGATGTATATTTTATTGTGTCGATTACCGTGGGTGGCTTGGGTGCTGGGTAACATTATTTATTTAACAAATGAGACCGAATTTGCCACCTATCGCATTCTCAGGCTGGGTTATGATTTAGGGTCATGCTTTGTCTTGTTGGGATGACACGTCGCGTTCCTGGTGTCCACGTCGTCTTCCCTGGGATCCACGTCGTGTTCCTGGGGTCACATGGCATGTGATTGGGAGTTGCGTGCCTGCATTGTCTGCACAAGTTGCAAGGCCTACCCCAGGCCAGCCTTTGTCTGCCGCCTGCCCTTCTCATCAGAGCTGTGTGATTTTATATCTGAACTAGGGTTGTTAAACAATAACCGGTAACCGTTATCAGAACCGGTTGCCAGTTCCGGAACTGGTAACCTATTGCAGTGGAACGTTTGTGATGAACGCGCGGATTGGCTCGCGTGAGCATAAAAACAGCATGGCGCAGGCCTAAGTCACCGCGTGATCCATGTGTTCTCGATTCTCAGTTAAAGGTGCAGCCCTGCAGTTGCTTACTCAAGCCACTGGTGGCAGAATGGCCTCCACGAGAGAGCTCTGAAGAGGGCATTTGGTCTCGCTTGTACCATTGTTTTAATTGCCATGCCCGGAGATGAAATCGAATCGGTGACCTCTGTATGGCGTGCCCAGTGCGCTGCTCGCCATCACTCCGCTGTGGCAGCTACACTTGTCTCAGCTAAAATGATGGAACTCTCCCCTTTGTATCTGTAGACGTTTCTGTCCATGCGGCAAACTGGTAAATAACCGGTTTTATATTTCATGTGGTTACCGATTATGCGGAAAACCCGATTTTAACTGCGCTTGTGCGAGAGTGCTCCACGAGTCTGCCGATCCTGTGCGATGCAGTCGCTGGGTTTATGCAACAAAGAATGTGGCCGGGACGCCGCTGCTGCTGCTGCCTCTGCCGATCGTGGGTTTTGTACCGAATAATGCCGACTCTCTCCGTAGGGACGGGGCGTTTGTACCGTTTCACTTTTAATAACAAGACGTGTGTCATTTTAAAACTCCGCACGTGGACGTGTTTAATTCAATTGCCATCATTTCAAGAAGTAAATATGTGTAAAGAATGACGGCAAAATAATAGTTTTTGTGTCCCAGCGCCACTGCCAAGGACCGGTGCGTGTGCTCTCACAGCGATGTTTTATTAAACATGGAGAGTTTGAAGCGAGTCGTGTTTTGTGACTGAGTTGGTGCCCGTGGCGCGGTTTGACCTCGCTGGTAATATGCCGAGTGTGAATAACTCGCGCTGCTGGTAGATCGCAGGAGGTGGTACGTGACCATAGCGATACGTTTACTGGATGTGGTGTGCTGGGTGCAGAATTTTCTGGGTTCCTGAATCGGCTGAAATGAAACCCTGGATGTTGCTGAGATGACCTACTGCGTTGCACATTCACTTGAAGACAATGCAGAGTATGAAAATGGATCTCGCATTAGTCTGGTTATGGAAGCCAGGTTTAGATTATGAAGCCGTGTTCAATGGGAATTTATCTGAACTGCATCTCAAAAGTACTGTCGTTTTAAGTTGATTTAGTTTAATCAGGTTAGAACTCAATAGGAAGTATGAGTCATTTGCAATCATATAGAAACTTAAGTACTGTAAAATGAAGCTGATATAAATCAAAGAAAAAACAATCACGCTACAGAAGAAAACCAAAAGCAGAGCACACGTCAATTTTAAATAACATTTGTTTCCAGTCATGAGTTGGTTAGGTCAAATAACTTTAAAAGGCCCGTGTTTAGTTCAGTACCAGATGCTTACATTCCTTTAACACTTATAAACACTCGTTCGTTGCATTAAAACATCTGATTATAAACACAAGGAAAGACCCTCCTGAAAAATGGTGCAGACTTGAGGCTTTCCTGGGTTAGAGCATAACTATAAAATATATTCACTCGAGTCACCCGTAGTCACTCGTACACCTCCACGAGTGACATTGTCCCGAGTGTGTTATTAAAGTTGTGCGTGAGAAACGCCATCAACCGCCTTGGTCAAGCCACTGCTGGATGGAGGCCTCCGAGCCATCTCCACCTCTCATAATCTTGCGATGCAACAATCCGCCCAGCACCTGCACCAACCGATGTCATCGCCGCTCCATCTCCGCAGTCGACGTGCCGCCAAACTGTGCTGAGCGGTGCGATGAAGCGTGGTCCCCCCCCCCCCACCTGATCACACTTGGAAGCGCCTCCTCTCACCTGACTCCACCTACTCACCTGGGCCCCGATGCTTCCCTGGAAAAGGGACGTGAGGTGTAAGGGGCCGCCCATAAATGACGTCACGCACTTAGGGGGAGGGTCAGACCTTTGTGACAAGGGGGGGTGAGAAATGTGACGTCACATGAAAATGTGCAAATTTAAATATAAACAACACGTTCTACTTTATTAAATATAATTGTTATAACAACACTAATTTTGATCAATTTTCATTATTAACTATTTGATTATTTCAATTTACTAAGGTCACCTTTTATTTATTCCATGAAGGAGCATTTTGCTTCTCCATCGATGAATGAAGAAGCATAAATGTAGTTATTCAACATTTTTATTTTAATGATGATTCTACCAGGTCTTTCCATTCTGTGGAATGAATACGTGGTTGTTATAATTGTACTCTCCATTTTGCTTCATTTTACTACAAAGTTTCAAGTATTTTTTTATAGTTATAATTACTTTTAATATACGATAATTATAAGATAATTTCAATATAATATTCTGAACATCTGTAGTTTTAGTTAGACGATGAATATGCTCAAGTGAATGTTATGCTAAATTTAAGCTTTCCAACGCCTCCTTTTTAATAAATGTTTTCGCCACATTAAATATGCACTACAATGACGATAGTTTAAAGCGATTTGAAGCATGTTTTATTTTAAAAGTGGAAATATGGGGGCAGAGCTTTGTGACGTCATATTTGAGGGGGGTCTGACTTTTTGTGACCCCGTGTGACGAGGGGGGGGTCAAAAATCGTCCAAAGTCGCGTGACGTCATTTATGGGCGGCCCCTGAGGGGAGGTGATATGTTGGCAACAATCGCACGTGGACCTTGCACGCTTCTGTCTCTCGGCCCATTGGCCCCTCCCCCCCGACCGCGGCGACGGAGGAGGAAGCGCCTCTAGCGGCCGCGCTGGGGCCGCGCTGGGGGCCGCACTCCACGCCGAGTTAGTGTCGCGAGGGGACCCGGCAGAGCGGCGAGAGAGACGAGGGAGCACAGGAGGAGGAGGAGGGAGCAGAGGAGGAGGGAGCGTGACGCAGGACCATGGTGGTCACCGTGGACATTAGGCGAACCTACAAGTACCCGTTCGAGAAGGTCGTGGATGTTTATCTCAACAAGGTGCGTGGGGTGGGGTGGGGGGTGAATGGGAGGCCCTGGCCCCTCGTGCTGCAGGGGGAGATCGCGGCCTGCGCTGCCTCCATCTCTAAGCTTCCCCGCAGCGCGGCTGCCCGCGGAGGCCCTCGGCCGAGGCGGACTCCGCGCCCGCCTCCCTGGGGCCGGCCGGGGCCTCCCGCGTGGGCGGCGAGGCCGAGAGCGGAGACGCGGAGCTCGGCAGAGGGCGCAGTGAGACGGGGAGAGACGGAGAGGGGAGACGAGGGGGGACTGAGACGATGGGAGAGGGCAAACACGGGGCAGGCGCGGGGTAGAATGAGGAAGTGGGAGACGAGGTGGCGCGCGTGTGACCATTGCTCCCCACGCCGCTCTCTGCAGCTTGCTTCAGCAACCCAGAGACGGCACGCGGCATGGGAGGGTAGAACACTCAGAGCTCCGCACAGATGGATTCAAACCAAATGCTGCTGCACTGCCACGACACCTGCTATTCGCAGCCATCAATCCGAGAACTCCGCAGGCCCGGCTCTGCTCGGCTGCTGCTTCTTTCTCCCGAGACTGGTGCACGTCAGTGGCATTGTGTCTCCATGCTTGATGCGTCTTGCCGAGAAAGAGACGGCGATTCACAAGGGCCGGGCCTCGGCTGTAAGGGCCCTGCAAGAACGCAGGGGAGGCCAGTGGCCATCTCCTCCCCACGCCCACCAGCTCACCACCACATCCTCTGTAGCTCTCGCTGGCTGCGTGAACAGCTCCGGGGGAACGTGGCAATTGGTCCACTTGCTGTACTGCCTTCTGGCGAGCCAGGGCAGTAGATGGCTCGTCCTCGTCACCCACGGGTTCACGGGCGTGGTGCCACACCGGTAGTGAACGTCCAGCTTGTCCCCTCTGATGGCCCCGACTTCCCCGTGCTCTTGTTCACAGTACCCGACCCCCAAGGAGAAGATGGTCATCGGCATCAAGACGGTGGAGGAGCGCCAAGGTGAGCCGAGCTCCTGCCACGTGTAAAAGAAAGATGCCCCGTGCAGCATCAGGGTGCAGTGAGGCACGCGGTGTTGTGTCTCTGGGGACCGTGTTGTGTGGAGTGTCCAAGTCCACGCGATGGGGCCCATGAGCTTGGCCGATGCCGACGACTGCGCTCGCTCGCGTGAATGGCGAGGGCGCCCCGTCACGATGAGGCCACGGCGCAGTTTCACGGCGCACTGCGGGATGCGGCAGCAGCAGCGGCGTCTCTAGCGGCACGGCGAGAGTCAACCTCGCGGCGGCCTCTCCCCGTCCCCGCCGCGGCCTCTCCCCGTCCCCGCCGCGGCCTCTCCCCGTCCCCGCCGCGGCCCCTCCCCGTCCCCGCCGCGGCCTCTCCCCGTCCCCGCCGCGGCCTCTCCCCGTCCCCGCCGCGGCCTCTCTCCGGCGAGCAGCTCCGCGTGATGCGAGTGGACATTCCCCGCCGGCCTCCTCGCCCCTGTTGGGCCGCACCGGCACTGCCACGCAGGGGGCCCCTGACGCCTGTCAGCCGCGCTTAACGCAGCGGAGGGGAGGAGGGGGCGGGGGGTGGCCTCCTGCTGCTGCTGCTGCTGCGAGGGGCACGACGTTTCACTGTTTCAATCCGCGCGGCCACCCAGGTTAACGCCACTGTGAGCCAGCCGGCTGGGGAGGCTGGGAGGCTGGTGGGACTGGTGGACTGGGAGGCGAGGGTTCGGTAACACGTGGACCGGCTGGCCCGTGGAGTGGCTGCCGAACCATTAGCCACCAGAGGGCCTGGAGCTCGCGGGCCCTCACGCGGGCCCTCACGCGGGCCCTCACGTGGGCCCTCACGCGGGCCCTCACGCGGGCCTGGAGCTCGCGGGCCCTCATGCGGGCCCAGGGCCCCACCGCCCCCCCCGGCTCGCCGTCCCTCGGCTGGTTGCTAGGCGACCGTCAGAAAGGATTTGAAGTGGTAATGACTGTGATGAATCCATGGATAAACATTTTAATTTGGTTGCGAATGGCCTGGCTGAATGCATACACACACTGTGTATGTAAGAGTGTCTGTGTGTGTTTGGGGAGCAGAAGTGTAGCGGTTCGTGTGCTGCGCTATGAACACGGCGACCCGAGTTCGATTCCCGCTCACGGCTAATACCACTGACGATTTTAGGAAATGGTCCTGGACCCCCCCTAAGTCGACCCAGCCTCAAATGAGTACCTGATGTGATGTGTAAACATCGCCACTCGGGAGACAAAGGTGGCCGGGCTTAGTGCTGGCCACCCACCCCCTCGTGTGAAGTGCTGGCCTTCATAGGTGCTCGCTTACAGCCCTTGCCCCAAAAGTATGTTAAGGCTTTCCGGGCGATCTTTGTCTTGTGTGTATGTGAGTGTATCTCTGTGTGTAATGCAAGCGACCCAGTGACCCCATCACGTCGCTGTGGGAAGAGGAGCGCATCATTTGCTGATCTGTTTTGTTATTTACATTCCCCCCCAACGCCGCTCGTGATTATTCTGTGTCTTGTATAATTTTGCATCAAACTTGGGCCCCCCTCTAACAGAGGGGGTGGGTCTTGCCGAAAACACATCTTGCAGCTCACCAGCATTCATTCACGCAAGCCTGACTCTGCTGATGAAACCGGTCCAGGGTTTTGCTTCTATTGAACCAAATGCTGCTGAAGAAATTCACTCCCGTCAGGTGACCCATGCGGCCAATTGGGCAGGGCCCTCCCCAGGCTGAGGCGAGGGGCATGGCCGTGGTTGGCAGGGTGGCACCTGGCAGCAGCGCCACGGGCCCCGCTGCCTGGGAGTGACCGAGAGCCACGTGGGCCTCTGGCAGGTGTTAATCTGCGTGCATGACAGATGCCTCCTGCGGGCACTGCCAACGTCCGTGCTGGACGAACAGCTGAGCGGCGCGGCCGCACCTGTGGCCCGCACCCTCGTCTCTGTAATCGCAACGTCCGTGACTCCATTGCGTCCTGAATTTTGCCGTCTCGAATGTCGAGCAATGTCTCAACGAGGAGGCGGCGAGTCGCCGCTGCTCATCTGAGCCACATGGCGGCATCGGTGCTCATCTCCTGCTCGCATCCCTGCAGAGTCTGTGGTGAAAAGTCCGCATCCCTGTAATGGGGGCGAATCTATCCATAGAACAACCGCTGTTAATTTCCCCACAACTGGGTCCCCATTTTATCGAACCCAGAGGAAGAATGGGCTGAGTCAACCTCCCACCAGGATTTTAAGTGGTAACCTTTAGATTGCGAGCCACTTACACCATCGGTGAGCCCCGGCCATAGCACCGATGGCTGCTGCTGCTGCTGCAGCTGCAGCTGCACAGAGAACCCCGTTGACTGAAGCTGGAACCCTGCTACTGGCACATCTCGGGTGCAGCACCCATTTGCTACCTCATGCACCTGGTAGTGGATAAGCAGTCGGGGCGAGTTATGATCCAGCACTCCTAATTACATTCACTCACTCAGGAGTTGTCACTCACCTCCTTATCTCTCTTCTATCGCTAATACTACCATGGTTACTGTTCCCGTGAACTCCACTCGTTGGTTTCTCCACCCATGTTGTGAACTCGGTTCAACCAGACACTGGCCGCTGTGATCAACCACCACACTGCAGGTCACAACCATGCACCCACTCGCTCACTCACCACACTGCCGGTCGCCTCATTTCTCTTTCTGCTTTTTCCCTCGCAGTGCTCTGCTCTGCAATTCCCTTTCCCATCATCGTCTCGTTTCCCAAAGCTATTACAATCATCAACTTGCTGAACTCATACAGCCGCTTGTTACTGGTCGTTTGCCATGTCGGGCCTTGGGCCGATTGTGTTCGGCGCCTTTTGTGACGTTGCCGATCTTCTTGCCGGGTGGAGGGTACCCGGTGGAGCGCGTTCCGAGTCGGGGCGGCGATGGCCGCGTACGCCGCAGCTTTTCACCGGGGCGGTGATGCGACCCAGCGGTCGCACGCTTCCCATGCGTTGCAGAGGTTCACGGTTTTAATGCGGCAGGCCGCCCTGGTTAATACTGCGGGGAGTGTATTAACTGAAACACTACTACTATCACGCCGTCTGCTCCGCTCACAGTGGTAAAATTACGAGCGACTCAATTGAGATCACAGACAGCAGCAACACCCCCCCTGCTGTGACACCACTGCAGGCTGCGCCTGTGAGACAGCGGCGCCTCCTTGTGACGATTGCTCAAGATCCTTTTGCTGGAGGGCTTTGCCAAGGAAGTGATGTTACTGTCATGTGTGGCCAATACCGTTTCCACTGTGTGTGGTTGTTTAGCTATGGGAGGAAACAAGGGAACCCAGGTGAATCCCATGCAGAACAGTGGGAAAACGTACAAACTCTGCTCACATACACACTCTTGCACTACACAAAAGGAGCAAACGTACAAACTCTCCACAGAAAGGAGACCAAGCCGGGAATCGGTGGGGCTTCTTGCTCGAGGCACGAGTGTTACGACTGCGCTGCCGCCATTACCAGATCAATGGCGGCTGTGACGGCGCCCCGTACCGTGTGGCTTCTCGTCGTCCCCGCAGGATTCCCCTGAATGCTCCTCGCTCCTCGCTCCTCGCTCCCTCGCTCCTCGCTCCCTCGCTCCCTCGCTCCCTCGCTCCCCGCTCCCTCGCTCCCTCGCTCCCTCGCTCCCCGCTCTCTCGCTCCCTCGCTCCCTCGCTCCCTCGCTCCCACGCTCCCTCGCTCCCTCGCTCCCTCGCTCCTCGCTCCTCGCTCCCTCGCTCCCCGCTCCCTCGCTCCCTCGCTCCCTCGCTCCTCGCTCCTCGCTCCCTCGCTCCCCTCGCTCCCCGCTCCCTCGCTCCCTCGCTCCCTTGCTCCCCGCTCCCTCGCTCCCTCGCTCCCTCGCTCCCTCGCTCCCCGCCCCTCGCTCCTCGCTCCCTCGCTCCCTCGCTCCCTCGCTCCCTCGCTCCCTCGCTCCTCGCTCCTCGCTCCCTCGCTCTCTCGCTCCCTCGCTCCCTCGCTCCTCGCTCCACGCTCCTCGCTCCTAGCTCACTCGCTCCTCGCTCTTCGCTCCCTCACTCCCCGCTCCCTCGCTCCCTCGCTCCCCGCTCCCTCGCTCCCTCGCTCCCTCGCTCCTCGCTCCCTCGCTCCCGGCTCCCTCGCTCCCTCGCTCCTCGCTCCCCGTTCCCTCGCTCCCTCGCTCCCTCGCTCCCTCGCTCCCTCGCTCCCTCGCTCCCTCGCTCCCTCGCTCCCTCGCTCCCTCGCTCCCTCGCTCCCTCGCTCCCCGCTCCCTCGCTCCCTCGCTCCCTCGCTCCCTCGCTCCCTCGCTCCCATCGCTCCCTCGCTCCTCGCTCCCTCGCTCCCTCGCTCCCTCGCTCCCTCGCTCCCTCGCTTCCCTCGCTCCCTCGCTCCCTCGCTCCCTCGCTCCCTCGCTCCCTCGCTCCCTCGCTCCCTCGCTCCCTCGCTCCCTCGCTCCCTCGCTCCCTCGCTCCCTCGCTCCCTCGCTCCCCGCTCCCTCGCTCCCTCGCTCCCTCGCTCCCTCGCTCCCTCGCTCCCCGCTCCCGCTCCCTCGCTCCCCGCTCCCGCTCCCCGCTCCCCGCTCCCCGCTCCCTCGCTCCCTCGCTCCCCGCTCCCCGCTCCCTCGCTCCCCGCTCCCCGCTCCCTCGCTCCCTCGCTCCCCGCTCCCCGCTCCCTCGCTCCCCGCTCCCCGCTCCCTCGCTCCCCGCTCCCCGCTCCCTCGCTCCCTCGCTCCCTCGCTCCCTCGCTCCCTCGCTCCCTCGCTCCCCGCTCCCTCGCTCCCTCGCTCCCCGCTCCCCACTGCCAGGTTCCCTCCCGCTCCATCGCTCCCTCGCTCCCTCGCTCCCTCGCTCCCCGTTCCCCGTTCCCTCGCTCCCCGCTCCCCACTGCCAGGTTCCCTCCCGCTCCCTCGCTCCCCGTTCCCCACTGCCAGGTTCCCTCCCGCTCCCTCGCTCCCCGTTCCCCACTGCCAGGTTCCCTCCCGCTCCCTCGCTCCCCGTTCCCCGTTCCCCACTGCCAGCTTCCCTCCCGCTCCTCGCTCCTCGCTCCCTCGCTCCTCGTTCCCCACTGCCAGGTTCCCTCCCGCTCCCTCGCTCCCTCGCTCCCTCGTTCCCTCGCTCCCCGTTCCCTCGCTCCTCGCTCCCTCGCTCCCCGTTCCCCGTTCCCTCGCTCCCCGCTCCCCACTGCCAGGTTCCCTCCCGCTCCCTCGCTCCCCGTTCCCCACTGCCAGGTTCCCTCCCGCTCCCTCGCTCCCCGTTCCCCACTGCCAGGTTCCCTCCCGCTCCCTCGCTCCCCGTTCCCCGTTCCCCACTGCCAGCTTCCCTCCCGCTCCTCGCTCCCTCGCTCCCCGTTCCCCGTTCCCCACTGCCAGGTTCCCTCCCGCTCCTCGCTCACCGCTCCCCACTGCCAGGTTCCCTCCCGCTCCTCGCTCACCGCTCCCCACCGCCAGGTTCCCTCCCGCTCCTCGCTCCCCGTTCCCCGTTCCCCACTGCCAGGTTCCCTCCCGCTCCTCGCTCACCGTTCCCCACTGCCAGGTTCCCTCCCGCTCCCTCGCTCCCCGTTCCCCACTGCCAGGTTCCCTCCCGCTCCTCGCTCCCCGTTCCCCACTGCCAGGTTCCCTCCCGCTCCTCGCTCACCGCTCCCCACTGCCAGGTTCCCTCCCGCTCCTCGCTCACCGCTCCCCACTGCCAGGTTCCCTCCCGCTCCTCGCTCCCCGTTCCCCGTTCCCCACTGCCAGGTTCTCTCCCGCTCCTCGCTCACCATTCCCCACTGCCAGGTTCCCTCCCGCTCCCTCGCTCCCCGTTCCCCACTGCCAGGTTCCCTCCCGCTCCTCCGCTCCCCGTTCCCCACTGCCAGGTTCCCTCCGCTCCTCGCTCCCCGTTCCCCACTGCCAGGTTCCCTCCCGCTCCTCGCTCCCCGTTCCCCCGTTCCCCACTGCCAGGTTCCCTCCCGCTCCTCGCTCACCGATTCCCCGCTGCCAGGTTCCCTCCCGCTCCCATCGCTCCCCGTTCCCCACTGCCAGGGTCCCTCCCGCTCCTCGCATCACCCGTTCCCCACTTGCCAGGTTCCCTCCCGCTCCTCGCTCTCCCCGTTCCCCGTTCCCCACTGCCAGGTTCCCTCCCGCTCCTCGCTCACGCGTGTCCCCACTGACAGGTTCCCTCTCCCCGCTCCCAGTCGCTCCCCGTTCCCCACTGCCAGGTTCCCTCCCGCTCCTCGCATCCCCGGTTCCCACTGGCCAGGTTCCCTCCCGCTCCTCGCTCCCCCGTTCCCCACTGCCAGGTTCCCTCCGCTCCTCGCTCCCGTTCCCCCACTGCAGTTCCCTCCAGCTCTCGCTCGAACCGTTCCCCCGTCCTGGTTCCCTCCCGCTCCTCGCTCACCGTTCCCCACTGCCAGGTTCCCTCCCGCTCCCTCGCTCCCCGTTCCCCACTGCCAGGTTCCCTCCCACTCCTCGCTCCCCGTTCCCCACTGCCAGGTTCCCTCCCGCTCCTCGCTCACCGTTCCCCACTGCCAGGTTCCCTCCCGCTCCTCGCTCCCCGTTCCCCACTGCCAGGTTCCCTCCCGCTCCTCGCTCCCCGTTCCCCGTTCCCCACTGCCAGGTTCCCTCCCGCTCCTCGCTCACCGTTCCCCACTGCCAGGTTCCCTCCCGCTCCTCGCTCACCGCTCCCCACTTCCGGGCTCCCCCGTCCCGTCCCCCCCGCGTGTCCCTGTGGGCCCCTGTGTTGCTGCGGTATTTTTAGGCCCCGTGAGCTCGCGAGGGCCCTGGAGCCGCGTGTGATCGACCGCGCGCCGCGTTGCTCGGCAGCGCCGGTGCCGACGAGCGTGAATGCCGCGCTTATTGATCCCACGCGTCGTACTGATGAGGCCCTCCCTAGATGCGGGGTTCGCCACCAGCGCCTGGCCGGCGCTGGTGATCTGCGTGGCACGAGTGCTGCACGCCGGCCGTGTTGACTGGCATCTTACCCACCACGCTTTGTTCAAACTACCTGTACGGCCAGTGGGAGTGAGTTATCGCTCGTGACAAACGGCTATCGCTCAAGTCGCTGTTGTTGGTGGCCACAGAAATGAATGGGGATCGCGACACCTCAGGTGGTACCGACGAGTCGGACACCTGGGCCAGGTGCATGAAGAGACCCCGCTCGCTCCGCGAGGAGACCGCGACGTCGAGTGATGTTCCTCGTGCGACGCTCATGTGCAGCGCACGAAGCAATGTCGTGGCCCTGTCGATGAGACGCTAAATGTCGAAACCAGTCCAGCGTTTGTGTTTAACTGGCACCGCTGAGCCTAGCAGAAGGGTGCATGTGGAGTGACAGATATGGGACGGGTGGACAAGCGTTCCGCTGTATTTGTTCTTCACAGCGACGCACGCGAGCGTTTGGTGTTGAGCGACAACGGAGATGGTTCTCTTTCATAGTTTCGTTCTGTTTGTGCACTGGTTTTGATTTCTTTCATAGCAAGGTTGCTTCCGCTGTGGTTTCTCATTGCTTCATTGCTGTCGTTGTTCCTCCGCCATTGCTCGAGTCGTTGTGGTGACCCAGGCCCCTCCTGCGAGTGATCCTCGCCGTGCGCTCTCGAGTTCTCAGTTCAGCAAAACAAACTATCAGACACGCAACACACGCGTGACGACGACACGGGGACACACACTTTACATGTATCACCATACAGTTTGCGCAGTGGATATCAGAGACAAAGATCCCCCGTATACCCTTAACAGACTGTAGGGACAAGTGCTGTCAGCGAGCACCTATGAAGGCCAGAATGGCACACAAGGGGGTGGGTGACCAGCACCACGCCTGGCGGCCTTTGTCTCCCTAGTGGCGATATTTACATACCGCACCAGGTACTTACTTAAAGCTGAGTTGACCTACACACTCACTCACACGTATCCGAGCAGTGTTCTGATTTGCCTACGTTTCCCAGCAGATGGCTTGACCGGCGTCATTTACCGGCGCAAGATCGCCACCTGTGCCAACGTGCTGCCCCGGTTTCTGCGGCAGGTGAGGGTTTCGTGCGAGCTCACCACTGACTTCACGGCTCATCACAACGTCATTACACGTGTGTCGTGCCTTCACTCACTGATTAGTCTCATCCACCACGCTGTCGAATCACCACACTGCAGGTCATAACAACACACTCACCCACTCACTACACTGCAGGTCACAACAACACTCACCCACTCACCACACTGCAGGTCACAACAACACTCACTCACCACACTGCAGGTCACAACAACACTCACCCACTCACTCACCACACTGCAGGTCACAACAACACTCACTCACCCACTCACCACACTGCAGGTCACATCAACATACTCATGCACTCACCCACTCACCACACTGCAGATCACCTCACTTCTCGCTCTGCTTTTTCACTGCCACTGCTCCACTCTGGATTTCCCTCACCCATCAATGTCTCTTCCCCCCCCCCAAGCTCTTACAACGATAACACCCTATCCAAATTCAAGCAATGCGCTCCACTTAGCAATATCCTGCGTGATGCTGGTGCTCTTTGTTGCTGGCCACTTGACGTTTCGGGCCTTTGGGCCGACTGCTCCACAACTGTAATAGAAAAAAAAACGCAAACCGTTTGACTTTCCCAGAAGCGCAAACATCAGCAGTCGATGCCCGCGGCGATTCCTCGGCTGGGGTCTTGACCCCTTGTGCGTGGAGGGAAAGAGGCTTCCTGGGGCTGTCAGCGCTGCGGTGTTGCTTACTCAGTCGTTGAGCACGCAGTAGGACCAAATGCCCAAAACGTCAAGCGGCCAGCGACAAACGGCACCATCCAAGCTAGCGCTGGCGGCGGTGACGGTGCCGCCGTTAGCGCGCCGCTCTCCGAGTGGTGGGCAGTGGCCGTGGGCGCTCGGTGCCTGGCGATGAAACCCGACCCGAGTTCTCCTGCGGCATTCATCGGCAGAAACGGGGCGCGCGCCCAACCTGGAGGCTCTTGCACCGGGATATAACAAACTTTGTTTAAAAAGAGTTTAACTTGCGGGCTATTTCACCTGGATATACCCTTGTGACAGAACATCGCGGTGTCCCAGGGGGTCCCACACAGAGGGAGCGGTGGGCTTGTGGGAGGAAACCGGAGTGCCCGGAGAAAACTATCCCCCACCCTGGCTTGATACTATTCACACCCAGAATGTGTTTCCACACCTGGCACACCACATCCAGTATAGCTCTGGCTATCTCCGTGACTACTCGTCAGATGCCACCTATGCCAGACTGCCACCCCACCACCTGTGCATTCCAAGTTTTGCATGAATGGATTCACGAACCCACATTCTGTACTGCCATCTCCTGGCCACCTCGCAGCCCAGTGTGGATTCAGACCTCTACATTGTCCACACACCCTCGCGGCCTCCACAGTGTTTGTGTGTTTGGCGTCGCGCGCTGACATGCACACAGTGCGCACTCACGCACGCAGGGCGCACAAGCTGTGCGCACACACAGCGCGCACACAGTACACACGCAGACAATGGTTGCAACAGACTTAAGGCCCCGATCATTACCCCGCCATCACGCGCATCGATTTCTTTAAAGCCTCCGTCTGTATCGACCGCACCCTGTGGATTGTGGGGGGAGTCTCTGGGTTCACCCACTCCTCCGCTTCCCCCTCGTCTCAGGCTGCAGGAGGGGATGACCCCCCTCCTCCCTGGAAGGAGAGATGCGTGTGTGCGCTGTGTGTGCATTCATGCGCACACGTGCACACTAGCACCGCACTAACCTGCATACACATGCACTCACGCTCGCACGTGCACGCAGGCACCAAACTATCTATTAATCTACACACACGTACACCGATACACGCACACACGTACACCGATACACGCATGCACATATAAATACGGACACACCCACATGGCCCAACCCTTAATGACTTGCACAAAGACAGCTCCTCGCTATCGCCTTAACGGGCCGTTTGCGAGCATCTATCCAGGCTGGCACGGCACACGAGGGGGTGGGTGGCCAGCACCATGCCTGGCTGGCTTTGTCTCCCCAGTGAAGATGTTTACACATTGCACCAGGTACTCATTTGAGGCTGAGTCGACTTAGGGGAGGCCCAGGACAGGTTCAGATAATATAATCACCACCGTTGTTGGCCATGACCGGGAATCGATCTCGAGTCGCCGAGTTCGTAGTGCAACATGTTAACCGCTACCCTACCGCTCCCCGCACCGACACACTGACACGCGCACACATACATATACACACGAGCAGTAACGCAATTCCAAACTGCCCCAGCCCTTAGTGACGCACATGCACGCACGCGCACGCACGCGTGCCTGAATCAAATTCAGCATTTTTGTGAATAATGCTAAACCCAGCACAAACCAGAAGGATTTCGCGATGCAAGCTGCAGACACACCGATGTGACGAGGTTTTGGTGAGTGATTTGATGGGTGTGTGTGTAGGTGGGCGAGTGAGTGTTTGTATGTATGTTGGAGTTTTTGCACCGTACGTAGCCAACCGTGCTAATTGTAGGTGTTAGTGAAAGAGCGGGTGGGTAAGGGAGTTGGTGAGTGGGCTAGTGAGTGAGTGGATGGGTATGCGAGTGGATGAGTAGATATAACATAATACAAAGCTGTGACACTCACAAACGGTAGGTGGGCACTACTCCATTCATGTCTTGGATGTGACCAGCACATGCATGTACAATGCTCTTAGCCTTGTCGAGACCACCAACTCAAGAAGATGAACATATGGCTGTTTCATTGTTAGTTGAGCGCAGGTCGCATGTGGTGAGGTCAAGTATGGGTACACCCACCTCTTCAAAAACACCCGGTCGGTATAGAAGCCGAGACACCCTGTGGAGCTCCCAACGGTGGAGGCCCTTTCACCAACAGGGGCGTGAGTGAGCATTTGCTGCACGACGGACGCCTTTACCTTGTAACTGAAAAACGAGGGCACATTTACCATGCGGTGACTGAGGCCTGCGCTGTGAGGTTTGTACTTTCTCGCGAGCACATTCATGCGTTCGTCATTCACATCCCACTGGAATCTTCTTCTGGTTATTATCTTTCGTAACCGGTAACTCGTTACGATACCGGTTACCGGTGAAGAACACTAGTTCCTGATTCATGATGGCCGTTTGGGTTCTGCCACATAGTGATCTGACCAAATCTGTACCACTAGGAACCCTCCACAACCTGGCACGGCTCCACAGTACATTGTCACGTGGTGTACCCACGACAGTCCGCGGTGGCTCGCGGTGGCTTGCGGCAACTCGCGGCAACTCGCGGCAGCCCACGTTAAAACTGCTTTTTGTGTTTTGTTTGTTCTTCCCCTGCACCTCCGATTAGCTCACTTGGCTACGTACGGTGCCAAAGAAGTTCAGCATACACAGGCGGTGGCCCACGGTGGCCACTGGTATGACGTGTGGGCGGTGCCTGGCAGCTGCGTTAGCCGCTCGCACAGCGCGCGGCTCGCAGGCCGTAGTGGGACATCCCCATTACGCACGCGGCAGCCGCATTAAATATGCAGCATTTCTGTCGGTGCCTTCCGCCACACACATGCCCGGCAACTGGGCGGGAGCGGCGTTTGTGTCTGTATGCGTGTGCACGCCTCCAGTCATAACACCTTGCTCTGTCCCATGATTTCCTGCCAGCAGTGAGCTTTCCACACTTCACCCGATTTCCTAAAAGTGCACCTAGCCTGGCACAAAGCACCGTGGCGGTTAGTCACTGCGTTAGGAACCTGGCGACCTGAATTTAATTCCTGTCAATTTGTGGTGAGTGACGGCTACATGAGGGGATGTGCGTGTGCGAGCCCGTGTGACTATGTGTGTCTGTGTGGAGTGCAGTAGTTAACGCACGGCACTACAAACACAGTGAGCCGAGTTTGAATTCCACTCCCAGTCAAGATCGTTGGTGATTATCTGAACCGATCCTGGGCCTCCCGTAGGTTGGTTCAGCCTTAAATGAGTACCTGCTGCGGTGTACAAAACATCTGCACTGGGGAGACCAAGGCGGGCGGGGCATGGTGATGGCCGCACCACCCTCTCGTGCGCCGTGCTAGCGCTCGCCAACAGGATTCGCCCCAACAGTCTGCCTAGCTACGTGGGTGAGCTTTGTGTGCGCATGTGCAGCTGGGTGCGCTGCAGGTGGACAACGTGCGCCTGGAGGAGGAGTCGTGGCTGGACGTGCAGAGGAGAGTGCTGGACGTGCAGAGCCGCTGCCTCACCTGGACACACCTGGCCACCATGCACGAGCAGGCGACGCTGCACCCGAGCCCACGCAACCCCACCTGGTACGGCATCCTGCACCCGGACCCCGGACCCTGTACCGGCACCCTGCGCCATACAGCAGAACCCAACACCGAGCACCATTACCCAGCGCACAGCAGCAGCAACACCCAGCACCCTCGGTGAGGGGAGCAGGTGGCGGTGGGTGCCGTGGGTTTTCTTGTCTCCGCTCACGGGAAGTCGGTTCAGACCTGAGAGAGGGATGGAAGGGATGGGAGGGCCTTGTAAAGGATGGATATGTTTGGAGGGATGGGAGGGATGAGAGGGGTGTGTAAATGCGTTCCACTTTGGACCAAATGAATAACAATTTAAAATATGGATGCAGCGTTAAGAAATGTATTGGGGCATCAACATGAACGGAGCGAGGCCGCTCGACGCGTGGAGATGCACCACGGCATAACGGGCCAGCGCAGACGCAGCTCCCGAGTGATCCGAGCTGACGTCTCTCAACCTGCCGGGCATGGGAGGGAGGGTCGGAGTCGGGGGCGAGCATGGGATAGGGAGGGTGGGTGTTCGTGGGGGTGACCGTGGACATGGCTGTGACGCAGGATTTTTTTGGATATCATTTAACCAGGAAACCCACACCGAGTCTCAATACATGTTTTCTGGAGGATCCTGCTACATTGTGATATGTTTCCACCACCAATGACGTTGTGTGTGTGTTTAGCTGTGGGAGGGACCCGGAGAACCCAGAGGGAACCCATGTGAAGGACAGCTGTGTGCAGGGCAGTGTATGTGGGCACTCGTGATGTCTGTGAGCTGAATCTCCATGGGGGGCCAGCCCCCCCCCCGACCCCCCCTCCCCGTGATCCCACTCCCCGTTGGCCCCCTCCCCACGGTCTCCTTACCTGCAAGCAATTGCGCAAGCTCCTAAATATAGCCTCGTGTCCCGTGGGAATTGGCCCAGTTCAGTCAAGATGCCACCACCACCGCCACCAAAGACAGATCCCCCATATAGCCTTCACAGCCTGTTGAGGCAAGTGCTGTTAGAGAGCACCTATGAAGGTTGGCATGGCACATGAAGGGTGGGTGTCCAGCACCATGCCCGGCCACCTTTGTCTCCCCAGTGGCGATGCGTACATATCGCACCAGGTACCCATTTGAGGCTGAGTCGACCTAGAAGAGACCCAGAACCGATTCAAGTAATCGTCCGTGGGCGGATATCAAATCCGCGTTGCTGGGTTCGTAGTGCAGTACATTAACCGCTGTGTTGCCACTCCCCATGAGAAATCCATAATCACTGCGCTAGAACCGGAATTTAAATTCAGCCGCGTCTGTCCTGCAAATGATTCCACACCAAGCACACCACATTCAATATGCCTCTTGCTAAGGCTGTGGCTGCTCCTGGTAGTCACCAACTCCGGGCTACTAGCCCGGGTCACGTTTACACCACCCGCCGTTGGGGGATGCCGAGCCGCGCGTGATGCACGCGGACAACGCACCCATGAGTCCTCCAAGACAATCCCACCACGCCCCCACCCACCACGCCCCCACCACGCTCCCACCACGCTCCCACCACGCCCGCACCACGGTCCCACCATGCCATGGTCGCACCACGCTCCCACATAAATTTATCCTGCACGGTATCCATGCCGCAGGACTTGCGTAAACGGTGGTGTAACGTGTGGCCGCTCAGCACTGGCAGCGCCCCGCGCCACACACAGCGCCCGGCAGCGGCCTCGGTCGCTGATGACGCTCGTGCCGCGTTATAACCACATGGGTGATGGAACACGTGGGGGGTGCAGGGCGGTTGTGCGGTGGTGACACTTGTGCCTCACAACAAGAAAGGGCCGGGGTTCGATTCCCAACTCTGTGGAATCTGTATATCCTCCCTCTGTGTTGCATGGACCTCCTTTAGGTTCTCCAGTTTCCTCCTCCCATAGTTAAACCCACACTCAGAGACACACAGTGTAACTGGTAGTGGCCAAAACATTCCCAATTCTGAAAACATTAGCTGCACATTACTCGAATGAGAAGCGCAATATCGGCCCCCGCTATGAAAACGTGGCAGGACCCTCCTTAAAGAGAGGCTCGACACTCTGCGAGGCTTTCCTGGGTTGACGAGCGTCGTGATAATGAATAATAAATAACAGCTATCAAGAAACGTGGCGTCCGTGCTGCGTCGTGGCGCCATCGATGGGCAGCAGCCGCCCCAGTTGCTGCTCAGATTTACTGCTCCGTGGACGCACCATGAATCTCAGCTGAACACGCACAATAACCGCACACGCGCGCACTTCATCACCCCGCGGCACCGCCGCCGCCGCCGCCATCGGCGGGAGCCGGGAGCGCGCGACGGCCCCGCGGGGCCGCTCTGCGACGCGCGCCTTAATTAACTCGCGTTGATTAAAATGGAAATTGATTAAACCGGGCACATTGCGAGGTTACGCAATTGTGCAGTGACGTGGCACAACTGTGGCACGCAAAGTGGGTGAGAGGCGTGGTGAGTCAGAGGGCTGGTGAGATTGTGGGTGGCTGGGGTGTTGGGTGAGAGGGGTGGTGGGTAAGAGGAGAGGTGGGTGTGTAGGGTGGTGGATGAGTGGGCTAGTTGTGGTGTCCGTGCACGTGACTTGCAGCACCACACCTATCACCAACCTCAAAGATCCGATCTCTGTCCCCCAAGAAAATAGTTTGCAGGTTTGCTGAGCATGTCTCCTTGGACTTGAGGGAGAGGAAACCCCTCGGCTCAAACAACATCATGGGGCAAGGTCGGGCTGACCCTGCTGGTGCTTGTTATGCCTCAACTATTGGAGGAAGTCGCCACCCCCTGCACGTGGTTGGCGGATGTGCCATCTGTTAAGGAAGTACGAACAGCCATCTGGAACTTGAGACCAGGTCAAGCGCCGGGGAGAGAAGACCCCTCAAGCAAACTGCTTATGGAGGAGTGACATTTGTGTGCAGACTGCCCTTTGTGATATCATTACACAGGACGGGTTCCGCAGGATTGGAAGGATGCCCTGGTGGTCCCAATTACAAAAAAAATGGGGACCACACTGATTGCAACACCTGCTCCGTGTGATGCTGGGAAAAGTCCTGGCAGGGTTTATTCAACAATGCTGAGGAGAGGCTTGCGGAGCCCCAATCACACTGGCGGAGCCAGTGGGGGGGTGGGGTGAAACGTGCCCCCCCAATGATTCGATCGAAATCCCTAATTTAGTTCGGATCATTGTGGTTTATTAGTAATAAATCGGCATTTTGCGACCCCCACTGCCACTGTGTAGCATGTCATTACGTGCCAGGGACTCTTGAGATGTTAGGACAATAGTCTGAGTCCATAATTGGCAATAAGTAACGGCAAAGCAGTTATAAGTGACTCGCAGAATTGTGCGCAGTTGCGTATACAGTACACGACTTCCCTGAAGGCAAACACCTTCAGCGAGCGCGATGCCGATCACACGCGGTTCGAATTCGACCCTCGATCGATGGCTATGCCATCGCCGCACACGCGTCGAATAAAAAGCAAGGGATAAGCCCTTACTTACTAACAACTATCATTTTTCATTGCTGGAGGGGTTACCCCCTCTACCTGAAAATCCTGGCTCCGCCATTGCCCAATCAGATTTCAGATCAGGGCGGTTCTGCACGTATGCCATTTTCCCTGTACGTCTGCTAGAGCAGAGGTGTAGGGAATTTCAAAAAGACCTACATCTCTACTTTATTGCCTTGGTCAAGGCCTATGATATCAACAGGCCAGAGTCGTGGGTTATTCTTCATGATTTCGGAGTTCCAGACCCTCTGCTTACAATTAGTAGGGACCTTCATGATGATGGACAGGCCTGGATAAAGCTGCCTGGCCGGGAGTCGGAGCCATTACCTGTTCACTTCAGGGTGCGACAGGGATGTCCTCTCGCCGCACTACACTGACATCTTCTTCGACCACGTAGCTCGAGAAGCGTTTCATGGCTGTACCGGAGGAATTTCCATCTGGTACAGATACAATGGGAGGCTGATCAATGCTCGGGTGCGGTCAAGGGATGGCTCCCTGCTGGTCAACCATGTTATGTACTGTATGTAGATGATCTGGTGATATTTATATCATCGAATGCTCCCCTCCCACTCCCCATTAGTGATGAGGCAGTTGTGGAAAGAGTGGAGTAGTTTCCGTTCCTGGGCAGTGTGCTTATGAACAGCTCCGAATCAGTCGAGCAGCCTTCTCTTTTCATCAGCTGCATACCTCTATATGGAAGCTACCTGGTCTATTGCTTCATACGAAGCTCTACATCTTCTTGGCCACAGTCATGACCTCCGTTCTCGTTGCTTGCAAAAGTAGAGCCCTCCAAACTAACATCTTCTCCGGTTAGAAAATTCAGGTTGGCCTGCCTATGATCCATCTTAGCTTTAACCAGATTGGATTGTGAGGATCTCACAAATCATTGAGTGGGCAGGTGTGTGAGTGAGCTGTTGGGTGAGTGGGCTGATGCGTGGGCTGCTGAGTTGGAGAGTGGGCTGCTGAGTTGGAGAGTGGGCTGGTGGGTGAGTGGGCTGGTGGGTTGGTGAGTGGGCTGGTGGGTTGGTGAGTGAGTTGGTGGGTGGGCGAGTGGGCTGGTGGGTTGGTGAGTGGGCTGGTGGGTTGGTGAGTGGGCTGGTGGGTTGGTGAGTGAGCTGGTGGGTTGGTGAGTGAGCTGGTGGGTGAGTGGGCTGGTGGGTTGGTGAGCTGGTGGGTGGGCGAGTGGGCTGGTGGGTGAGCAAGAAGCCCAGTGGCCCCGGAGCCCAGGGGCTGTTCATTTGATGTTGAATAATGGAAACTGCTGCAGTTTTAATGTGGGGCTCCGTATGACTGAGCTGAAGGAGCCATATGTATAATGCATCCCGCGCTGCTCAGGAAGCAGAATTTGTTTTCTCCTGAAAGTGCTGCTCAAGGCAATGGGGGTTTCAATGAGCCGTGCGCAGATGGGGGAGGTCTTACACCCAGGACGGAGGGAGGCAGCTCCTATACGGACACGCCCTGCATGAGCCGCTGTAATGAGAGCGAGCTGTGTGATCGGGCCGCCCTCCTTTACGCCGGGCATCTCGACGTGCTCGGCACGCGATGATAAGTGACCTGCGTCGCATCTCCTTTCAATGCATTTAACGGGGCACCCCCTGTGTCAGCTGTCTCTGTGTGGCACAAGGTGGCTCGGCACCTGGCCTGCGAGTGGGCATAAATCTGCCAGTTGTGAGTGATGATTGCTGCTGTGTGCAGTTCCAATTGAGTAAAGGCTTCATTTTCTCAAATGACTGCGAAAGAGGTGGCACGTAGTGGCGAACGTGCCACCGCTGGGCCATGTTCTGTCCTATTGACTAAAATTCGGCTTCTTTACGGTCAGGCGACTCTGCATGTTGGGGTTATGTTCGGGCCGTTCCCCGCTGCAGCGTGATACAGGGTGATGCACTGCTAGCGGCAGGTCTCCGCGTGCGACTCTCTTGATTGCGCGATGAATCCATGGGTCTCGCGATCGTGCACCTGGGATGTGATTGGGATGGAAGGGCACAAGGAGTCTGTGTCAGGAGGGGCGCTCGTCTCGTTTCGTGTTGAGTGACGCCCAACCACCGCTCCTTTGGCCCGGTCGTAACGGCCGTCCTCTCTGCGCTCTGACAGCGCGCGCATTTGGTTTGGCTGGGTTTAGCCGTGCCGGGACAGGGGGAGAACATACTCACTGCATCCAAAGAGGTACCAGAGTCGGCAATCGAGCCCAAGGCTTTCTCGTTGCGGGGCAGGAGTGCTGCCGCTGCTGTGCCCTGCCGCCCGAGAACGTCTGAGGGTTATGCAGCTGCCCGCTATGAGCAGTGGGACGATGGCCTGGGGCAGCAGCAAGTGGCGTAGTCTGCGTGGCTCGTTAGGACGTCGTAAAGCGCAGATTGTTAGAGCCGTGTTCAGCAAGTGCAGGCTTCCCCCACGGGGCCTGGACCGGGAACAGCTGCCCCGGCAAAGGCTGCGTCATCATCGTCGTCGTCATTATCGGAGGCGGCTGGAAGAGCGAGGCTCCCTCGCCTCACGCCCCTTCTCTCGACTTACCTTGAGTGATTATTTTATCTGCACAACTCTTAAGGGTGTGTGCGCATGTGGCGAACTGGTTAGCGCACTGCACTACGAACGCAGACAACCCAAGTTAAATTCTCGCTTGTGGCCAACATCCATGACGAATATCTGAACCGAATGGGCCTCCCCTGTGTCGACTCAGCCTCAAATGAGTGCTTGGCTGCTTGGGGTGTATGCACATCACCACTGCTGAGACGAAGGTGTCGGGCATGGTGTTGACCACGCCACTTTCATGTGCTCGCTCGCATCACTTCCTCAACACTGTGCGGTGGCTACAGAGGGGACACCCTTTTTCTTGTTTGTGTGTGCAGGACAGAGTTTGTACAGCACGGCACGGTGGCGGTGACCGGCCTGGGCTCACTGGGGCGACTTGTGGAGATGTTCGCTCACACATTCCTGAGCCAGGGCGCCAAGCGGGTCAGTGAGCGCGTGTGTGAGTGTGAGTCTGTGTGGACGTTCTAAAGATTTGATGGTAGTGGTGGTGGCGGTGGTGATGGTGATGGCGGTGGTGGCCGCGACCTGCTGGCATCCCTCGACACTAGCACAAGCACCATGGTGACGTCCCCACCATGTAGAGGTGAATAGCGGTTGTTGTTGGTGGCGGTCGTAGTGGTGGCAGCACCGCACACTGACTCGCGGTTATCACCGCTTATGCATGGTGCTCCGTTCGGCTCTACCGCGTTAAATCGCCTTCGCTGTCATCCTCGCTGCAGAGAGGGGGAGGCGGGGAGGCGGGGGTGGGACGCTAACGTGGAACGTGCGCTCCAGCGACACTGCCCATTGTTTCTAGATGAATGGGGTCGGCTGTGGAAGGACAAAGACAAAGGTCCCTCGTGTAACCCAGACAGGCTCTTGGGACAAATCTCGTTAGCGAGCGCCTATGAAAGCCGCCGGCAGGCCGTTCAAATTGGTGGCATGGGCATGCACACACACGTGGATAGATACACATACACACGTGCACACAGACAGACACACGCATAAACGCACGGACACACACAAGGACACACACGCATGGCCATATGCACACGCGCACATGCAGACACATCGACATATGCACACACGGACACGCAAACATGCACGGACACACGCAACGAGTGAGTGGCGGCGCGGCAAGCCGGAGCCAGGGCAGCATCAAGAGACGCAGGCGCCGGTGTGCGGCCTCCCCAGAGCCCTGCCCTGGCCCCCAGTGTGAAACAATGAGTGTTGGAGGGTGAGGGGAGGGGGCGTTAATGGACGAGCGAGCGCCGTTACCCGGCCATGGCACAAGCAGAGTGGGGGGGCAGCACCGATGTGCCCCACCCCCGGCCTGCCCCCACCGTGGCCATGTACGGCGGAGCCGCGCGCTGGTGCGTTGACACGTACGGCCGTGGTGCTTCTCGCGATCCAGCACGAGTAGCGAATTACAGAGTTGTGCATCGAACTAGGACCCACGTCTAGCAGATTCCCATAAACATCTTGCCGTTCACCAGCAATGGTTCCAGCAACCCTCGCTGCTGATGATATGCTGATGATTGAACCTTTTGCTTGTGTTCAACCAATGCTGCTGACAAGAGGCACTCCCAGAAGGAAGGCCGTGTGGCTGATGCGATGGGGTAGAGTATTGTTCTTGTGGAGGGGCGGCTGTGGGAAGGAGGAGGAGGCGGAGGAGGCGCGTCGCCTGCTCGTGTATTGTTCTGCCCCACGGGGGCCGCACGGCTTCATCAGCGCGCTGCGTGGGGGCGCCACTTGAAATGGCGGCAGGTGGGTGGGCGTGGGGGTCGGGCTCGGGGGTGGGGGGCGTTTAAACAGCTGACAGATGCTCGCCATTAGCGCGCTTGACCGAGGCCACGTGGTTGCAGGGAGGCAGCCGACGGTCGAGCCGAGCGTGGTGTGAGCTCGTCTCGTGTGGCCTGTGAAGAGCGATGTAGCCATTGTTTTTGCTTTGTCTGCACGCGCACACTCACAAGCATGTGTACAGCACCTACACTCATGTACGCATGTGCGCATACCCACGCCCTCTGTGAATTCTCTACGCGAATTTCCGTGAGCACCAATTGAAGCGACTCTTCCCTCGACTCCCCCGGGTCTCCGCTACCAATACGGGGTCCGCTCGTCGTGGTGGTGTTTGCTTCGTTCCCTGTGGACCCAATACCACCACCACTGCCACCACCACCGTCGCTACTGCCACCGTCACTATCACCACCATCATCACAGTCGCTGCCACCGCCACCACAATTGTTACCGCCCACATTGACACACGTGCCCGGCAGCGGTAGCCGATCACGGTCGCGCAATGGCACGGCGGGGAAACCTGTGGCTCAGAAGTGACCACAAATTATTTCCACTCGGCTTCATGAGGCTGTGGGCGAGCATACAGGTGGCTGAGGCTGCGGCTGAGCGTGCAGGAGAACGGCACTAATTGGGCTGGCGAGTGCTGGACGGACACGGAGAGACCTTCGGCGCCAATTTACCGTCGATCACAAATTGGCATCGCGCTTGTAGTTGCAGTTTTTCTGTCACCATAAGAGGCCTCTGTCCCACGGGAGGGGGCGCCACTGGCTGGGGGAAAGGGGGTCCCTTGAGACCCCCTCGAGGGTTGCGTTTCCCGTGTGGGCGGTGCCGCTGCGCGTGTGCGGCGGCCACCGTGGGCTTGGGAGTGGAAGCAATGGCCAAGCCGTCGGGCCCACCCCGTGAGAAAGAGAGAGCGAGCAGACGAGCGGGCGCCCACAGAAAAGCAACCGCGTCCCAGAAGTAACGGGTCGGCGTGTACGGCGCCATGGGTCGCGACACGGCTCGCTCGTCGGGGTGCGATGCGTGAACTGCGCCTGGCGCGGCCTTGTCCTGGGCGTCGTGTCGGCTGCGTCGAGGCAGAGATCTGCAACGCATTGTGCCGTATTCCGTGTGCGAGCGTGCGAGTCGGTGTGTGCCTCTGTGCGTCATCACAGGTGACCCACAGCACCTGGGTCTGACCTGTGACCTGCCTCTAGCGAGCCTTTCACACTTAACGTGATGGCCTCAAAGCGTACCTAGCCTGGCACAAGCACTACGGTGATGTCCGCCATCACTTCTCATGGCGAATGCCGGTTGTTGTGCATGTGCCTGGCCGTGCGATAGCCTTGAAAGCAGTGGCGCAGAGGTTGGCACACTGCGCTATGAACCTGGCGACCCGAGTTCGATTCCAACACCGGTCACGATATCTGAACCGGTCCTGGGTTCTTGGTGTGGTGTGTAATAAACACCAGCACTGGGAGACAAAGGTGGCTGGGCACTGCACTAGCTAACTCACCCTTTTGAGCACAGTGCCGCCCCTCTTAAGGTGCTCTCGTCGCTGTGCACGTGTGCAGAGTGTACGCATCATGGACGGCTTGCTGGAGGAGCGCTACGGCTGCCCTGCACCTTGACACCACTGTGCGGGGCACGTGGAGCCACGTGTTACCAGGTGGAGCCAGGTGGAGCCGCGTGGTGTGACGTGGTGCCAGGTGCAGCCGTGTCGTGCCGCGTGGAGCCACGTGATGCCACGTGGTGCCAGGTGGAGCCGCGTGGTGTGACGTGGTGCCAGGTGCAGCCGTGTCGTGCCGCGTGGAGCCACGTGATGCCACGTGGTGCCAGGTGGAGCCGCGTGGTGTGACGTGGTGCCAGGTGCAGCCGTGTGGTGCCGCGTGGAGCCACGTGGTGCCAGGTGGAGCCAGGTGGAGCCGCGTGGTGCTAGGTGGAACCAGGTGGTGCTGCTGCATGGACCCACGTGGAGCTTGCAGGATATTTCAGTGGACGCTGCAGCCACACAGTTCCGTGTGCGAGATGCGCTTATCAAATCAGCAGGGACACGGACTTGTCATCAGCCTCCATGCCGCAGGAGCCCCGGGGGAGGTTCACACCAAGCTACCGCAGTCTCGTCTATATCCGTTTGATCGTCGTCATCATTTCAGCGTCGCCACCATTCGTGATGTCCACCTCTGGACATCACCTCGGGGGGCTGGTGTGATCAGCGCCACTCCTGGCCGCCTTTGTCTCCCCAGTGCTGATGTTTCCACACCGTGCACCAGGTACTCGTTTAAGGATGAGTCGACCTAGGGGAGGCCCAGGCCCTGTTCAGATATTCGCTGTCATCGACAGTGAGCAGGAGTTGTACTCGGGTGGCTGAGTTCGTAGCGGAGTGCGGTAACCACTACACCATTGTTCCCATCACATACATGAGCACACACACAGGTACACACATATACACACACCACCCACACAAGTGGTTAGCATACTGCGCTACTTACACGGCCACCGGAGTTTTAATCCCACTCACAGCCAACATCGGTGACAATTATCTGAACAAATCCTACTCGGCCTCAAAGGAGTACCAGGGGTTGTGTAAACATCAGAATGGGGCAGACAAAGACGTGCGCGCACACATACAGATATGTACACACACGCGTGCACACACACAGATATGTACACACACGCGTACACACACACAGATATGTACACACACGCGTGCACACACACAGATATGTACACACACGCGTGCACACACACAGATATGTACACACACGCGTGCACACACACAGATATGTACACACACGCGTGCACACACACAGATATGTACACACACGCGTGCACACACACAGATATGTACACACACGCGTGCACACACACAGATATGTACACACACGCGTGCACACACACAGATATGTACACACACGCGTGCACACACACAGATATGTACACACACGCGTGCACACACACAGATATGTACACACACGCGTGCACACAGGAATCCCGGTGATGTGTGGAGGCGGCTGTGAAGTGCGCAGCGCTGCCGCTGCGCACCTTGTGTTTGGATAGCGACTTCTCAGCGTTGCGCGAGTTGTCTTTCGTTGCGGGGGATGTGTAATGAAGTGGTCTTTTAAACATGACGAATAAACGCAGTTATTTTATCCAAAACTCATGGGACTGGCTTTGTCACGAACCTGTGCCTCCTTACAAACTCGTCCTCCTTAATAGAGTCTCTGAATCGGTGAGTTCTAGATCATTCATCTGAGACCAGTAGCTACAGTAGTTTTACATTACATTTAATTATCAGTCCTAATCGCATTAATCGTGCACCTCGCCATGGCAATGTGGAATTGGGAAATGCTTTGAGTCATGTTCACCTCTTAGCAAAGAGCGGAAATCCACCTCCCCGGCGATCTGCCGGTGAGAGTTGATGCGAGTTCACCAAAAACGTGGCCACAAATGAACACGAACCAACACGGTCTGGGGTGTGTGGCCTTTAGTAAAAACTCGGATATTACACCACGTGGTACACATGATGAGCGGTGGATACAAAGCGGGGCTCGTATATCCGTCGAGAGAACACCATCACGATCTGCACACTCGCACCCAGACGCCAGCAGGCACACGACGATCACAACTGGCACCAATGATGAAGTTGATGATCCATCACTCCGGCCACTCGCCTGCTCACTGGCAGTCGGTCGCCTCCTTGTCAATCTGTCTCGACTGCTACTACCACGATTACTGTCGCGGTGAACTACACGCGTTGATTCCTCCAGCCATGTTGGGGACTCGGTCAACCAGACGCCGTGTCCTCTCATCCATCGCGCTGCGTTCAACCAACACCACACTCCAGGTCACAACACTCGCCCCCCGCCACACTGCAGGGGCACCTCACGACTCTTTGTGCTTGTTCCTTCCTACTACCGCTCCACTCCGGAATTCACTCTCCCATCGTCTCTTCCCCCAAGCTCTCACAGATAACCCTGCTCAATTCAAGGTAAACGCGTTACACTCTTGCCAATCACAGTTTTGATAGTGCTGCTTGTTGCTGGCCTCTTGACGTTTTTGGCCGTTGTGCCCAGCAGCTGTTTTTACAAAAATCGAACTCACACCCTCACCATGACCGCGAGCCCAGACCGCGCCTCACAGACACGAGCCACTTTATTTGTCCCAAACTCAAGAGTCGGGGGCCAGGTCCAGGCCGCGTGGAATGCGCGTTAAAGTGCTTCACTCATTCACAAGGGATCCGTGGACGGTGATCAACACACACACGTGTACACACACACACACACACGTGTACACGCCCACAAAAAAGACAAAGGTCCCCCTATAATCTATAACAGGCGGCTGGGGCAAGTGCTGTTAGCGAGCACCTAAAAATAGCCGGCACGGCACGCGAGGCAGTGGGTGACCAGGGCCACGCATGGCCGCCTTTGTCGCCCCATTGGTAATGTATACACGTCACTCCGGGTACTCATTTAAGGCTGAGTTGACCTAGGGGAGGTTAAGACTGGTTCACATATTCGCTGCCACTAATTTTGGGCGTGTGTGAAAATCGAACTTTGGATGCCGTGTTCATAGCACTGTGCCACCGCTCCCCAAACACGTGCACATGTGCACACGTACTCACAGGTGTGTACACACACGTACACACTCGCGTGCATTAGGACGCCGGAGTGGGTGAGAAGTGGTGAAAGAGTGTTGAGTGAGGATTGTTGAGGAGTGGTGACCGTTAGCCACTGCGGGTGGCCACTTGGAATGTTCGAACGCTCCCCACGGAGAGGCTGCCACTCTATCAGGAGCTGGATTGGAACCGCCTGGATCACTGAAACAGATAGTCCAGTGGGTTGGATCTGGCTCCAGTCACGATGTGGGATAGACAGTCCTCCACTCGGAGCAGGAAACTGGCAAACAGGGGGGGGGGTAGCTTTTCTTTTGAACAAAATAATGAAGTGGGTGTGGAAGTGTAGCAGTGAGGTGTAGAAAGCGGAGTCCCAGGCTACTGTGAGCTAGCCTCCCCTTAGACGGGAAGTGAGGAATGCTGGTAGGTGGCTTCCACTCCCACTGGAGATGAGTACAGGCATACAAGCAACGCTACTGAGTCATTTGCCTTCTGACCTCCTGTCCCAGGTGCTGGCTTTCGTGGCCCCTCGGCATAGAGGCATTCTGTTTGGTGACTTTAATGCCCAAATGTGTTATGAGGCAGGCACCTGAGCTGGAGTGATTGGAAGGCATTGACCAGATCAGTTCAATAACAACAGTAAGATGCTGTTCGACTTTTGTGCAGCCCATGGACTTGTAATCACCAACATACTGTTCCAGAATCGGTATTTCCACACATTATAGACTCACTCCAGATCCAAAGAAGAACATCTGCTGGACTATGTAGTGATGGAACAGCGGATGTGGGCCCATGTCCTTGACGACACCTGGACCTACCGTTGAGCTGATCTGCCCATTGACTATCGGCTTGGCATGTGTAAGATGCGCCTGTCATTCATCTACTGTGGTGGTGGGCGTCCACCTAGTGCCCCATTTAAACCCACAATCGCCTGGTCTTGACTCACTGCTGATGAAAGCTATAAGAATTGTATAATTACTTGCAGCTCAGGTTGACCCCCATCCTGTTGCCAAGGTGAAATGGGTGATGTTCAGGACTGTGGCTCATGCAGCTGATATGGCTGCACTGGGTACCTGGCTGACAGAGGAGGTGTTCTGGCTAGTTGATAGTGATAGGCCCACTCCCCCCATCTGTAACCCATGTCAGAAAATGATGTGGCTTAGCACAACCTTCACTTGGAGCTGTGCATCACTACAAGTGATGGTTGCAGGTTGCTGAGGAAATTGAAAATGCCTCAGTAGCTCGTGATCAGAATTCACTTTTTTAAATCCATCAATAAAGTAACTTGCAGCACCACACCTATTATTATCATCCTTAAGGGATAGAATGGTGATACGATCTCCGACCCCCAGTTTGCAGATTTGCTGAGCATTTCTGAGGTTTTTGGGGAGGAAAAATCATTCAACCCGACATTATGATCGGGCAAGGTGAGGATGACCCTGCTGGGGCTGCCTTACCTCATAAAGTGGAAGTAGCCACTCCCTGTGAGTGGCTGCCTGACGTGCCATCTGTTGAGGAAGTACAAAGAGTGATGCAGAGTCTGAGACCAGGAAAAGACCCAAAAATGATCTCCCAAGCGAACTGTTGAGGGAGGGTGGAAATTGTGTGCAGGCTGCCCTATACGATATTGTTATAACTGTCTGGACCATATGACGGGTTCTGCGAGATTGAAGGATGACCTGCTCGTCCCCGCATTGATTGTAACAACTACTGGGACATCTCCCTCAGTGTGTGTAGAAAGGTCTTGTCAAGGATTATTCAATATTGCCTTGCCAGGCACTCTGAGCAAAGCCTTGCGAAGCCCCAATGTCGTTGCAGAACTACTGCTGAACCTGTAACGTGACAAAAAGAGGTGGGGCCTTACCATCAGGCTCATAATAACAAAGCACCTGCCTCGGTATTTTGTGTCATCAAACACTCCACCCTTTCAACTCCCCATGAACGATGGCGCAGTTGTAGAGAGAGTGAATGAGTCCCCATGCCTGGGCAGTGTGCTTATGACGAGTTTTGTATTGGTAGCAAAGGTCTCACTCCAAATCTGTCGAACATAATGCTATTTTCATCGGCTCTGTAACGTTGTGTGGAAGCTTCCAGACCTGTCGCTCCATACGAAGCTTAAGGTATTCTTTTCTATGCTTACAAAACCTTGACCCCCTCTGAAGAAACATCTACACCAGCATGAAGCATTCAGGCTGGCGTGCCTATGATCCATGCTGGGTTTAACCAGACAGGATTGTGTGAGGACCTCACGGATTCTTGAGAGATCTAGACAAAGTTCAATCGTTGAGCTTTTATGGCATGTGAGGCTGCCTTGGTTGGGTCATATAGCCCACATGCCCAGCTACTGCATGCCCAAGCAGTTTCTGTTTGGCCGGATAGAGGGGGCTAAACGGGCACGGGATGGGATAGAGAAGAAGTAGCCTGATGCGGGATAGGAGGATTTGGAGCTGATCGGATGTGCCAAAGCCTCAATGGAGGAGGCTCGTGAACGACACGACTGGGTAGTTGGAGGCAGTTGCCTTCCAACAACAGCGGTGGGCAGAGGAGCGACGTTCTTAAACAGTGGAATGCCAGGTGGCTAAAACGCAGCGAGGTGGTTCAGTAGGGAGCACAGATGGTGCATCTGTTAGTCGCCTAAGTCAGTCAATCCATGGCACCTGGAATTGTCCCGTGACTTCCTGTCAGCGAGTCTTCAACACTTCACGTGGCCTCAAAGTGCACCTAGCTTGGCACAAGCGATATAATGACATCACCACCACTCAGTGTCGAATGGCAGCTGTTCTTGTTGGAGTGAGTGAGGAGAAGTGGTAAGGAGTGGTGTGCTGTAAAGAGGGTGGTGAGGAATACGTGAGGAGTCTGGCTCTATTCACCCACGTTCCCCTTTCTCTTGTCACACGCAGAGTTTGGGGAGGTGACTGGGAGCAGTGAGGCCAGAACGTCGGGTGTGAATTGTGAGTGAGGTGTGTGGTGGTCTGGGTGAGATGTTTAGTGGTTTTATCTGTGTGGTGATGAGTGAGATGCGAGATGTGTGGTGGTTTGAGCGAGTTGTGATTGAGGTGTGAGTGAGGCACGTTGTGTGAAGTGGGCTGTTTGTGACGTGTGTGGTGCGAGTATGTGCGGGACACTGTGCGTCACTTAAGCCCTCGCAGTGGCGAGTCCAGTGCTGGGTTCACACGGGATCCCCTACTCAGTCGGGATCACACACAGCAGCGACCATCTCCCCCTACTGCGAAAACATGGCAAGACACCCTTGAAAAAGAGTCATGAGACTTAGCGAGGCTCTCCTGGGTAAACAAGTACGACCACAACTGCCGAGTGAACTCTGCTGGATGCGTTCTCAAACTCAGTGTGACGGGTATGCAGAATGTTGGGGGGGGGGCGGGTGAAATGGTCGGGATTGGGCTGTTCAATACTCCCCCACCCCCGGCTTGTGGGCCCTGATGCATTTGCACGACTGCACCCTCCACAGCCACGTCACTGGGCCTAAAGTCATATATTGGTCTCCATATAAGTCTATATAGTTCTCTATGTTGAGTCTGTGGGTCTCTATGCGAGTCCGTGGATCTCCATGTAAATCTATGGGCTTCCATATAAGTCCAATACTGTACTTGAAGCTCAATATGCTCACGTTACTCCGCGTCATGAGTTAAGCCACGCTGTGCGAACCCAGTCTTAACAGCCGACACTCGCCATTAAGTGGTGGCGACGTCACCACAGTGCTTGTGACGTCACCACAGTGCTTGTGAGGGGCGAGGTGAACTTTGACGCCATCACGTGAAGTGTGGAAGGCTCGCTGCTTGCAGGTTACGGAAACAGACCAAGCTGTTATGGGCTGGCAGATACTGCCCACTGTGCCACCCCAGTCTGGTAACAACAGCAGCAGCAGCAGCAGCAGGAATGCCCTGAATCTGGGACGGTCTCACTGAGTCCCATTGAAGCCCCCCCCACTCCCACTACTTGCCGGGCTTTCCTGGCTTCGAGATGTGTGATCCCCTGGTCCGTGAGGACATCATTTCATGTGTGTGAGAAGCCAGAGTGCCCGGAGAAACCCCACAAATGCGAGGGGGAAACACGCTCACGAACCCTGCAGCACTGGCTGGGGCGTGTGCGCAAACCCAGGTCTTATGATGGCTCAGTAGTGGACCAGGGATGTTCACCCTGCAGGTAAAGACGGCCAGGATTGTCCACCTTTCAGGGAGAGGGGAATCCCAAGGTGTTTGCAAGAGGTTTCCTGCAGGGTGGGCAGGTAGAGAGGATCGTGATTGTCCACACTGTAAGCAGAGGGAATGCTAAGTGTGGGAGACACGATGTCACGCAGAGTACACGTGGCGAGAGTAAAGAGGGCGTCATTACGAGGTCGTCATCATGCCCTGCCTAGCGGCTGGGTTGTGCTTAGAGTTGCCACCTGTCCAGGAACTGGCGCCTGTGATCGAGTGGCAGGAATTGATGTGTACCGAAATCCGGTGGTTAAACTTTATTTCAGGATACTACGCAGTTCTGGAAGGCCTTGGCTGACTCACAGATGTGGTCTGGGCTTGCTGAATGGAGAAGGTGGCATCCCGAGCTATTGTGCTGCTATTCGTGTGCTTAATTCACGCGGAGGAGCCGTGTCCTCAGGGTTCTTTGTGCAGTGCTAACCCTCCAGCTGGAGTGGGCTGTGTTGCTCATCGGGGGTCGGGAGGTGGGGGGGGGGCATATCGCGCATGGCAGGGAAGCGGGGGCACCCGGCAGGTGAATCAGATGGCGCCTCCGTGGTCTCCTCTCCCCCTGGGGTTTGCAGCCCGGCTCCACTCTTGTTCCAGCTCCACGCGTTTTAGAGCCACGTGTCCCCGTGCGCTGAGGGTCTGGGTGGCTGCACAAGGTGCACACATCCCATGAACTGCACGCGTGGAGCCTGCCTGAGTCCACCTGAATTATTGTTCCAGTCGTGGTGAGACAGAGGCGTTGGTGGTGGTGAGGGGCAGAGTTGCCCTTGTGCTTAAGATGCCGTGGATGAGGATGAGGAGGTGAGTGACAAAGAGATGACGGTGCAACACAGTGAGGGGTGGCACCATTCCCTCTTTTCCGACCTCGACTCGGAACGGATCTCTTACCGGGAGGGTGTTATAGGGGGTGGGTGAGACCAGACAAGACTATTCACCGTGGTGGTAGTGGTGGTGGTGACGGGGGGGACGTCTGGGGGGACGCTGGAGAGGAGGAGGGAGTGTTGAAGGGGGGGTCCAGGATGAGGATTGGCAGGCTAGTGGGGGTTGCCACCGCCGTCACACCCCGTGTTTGTGCAGAAGATCAGCCTGCCAGGCGCGCGTCTTCACGGAGAAGCGCTTGGGGATGCGCAGCCTACGCACGTCAGCCACGCACTTGTGCAGCTGCTCGGCCAGCGCATCCATCTCGTTGGCCCCGATCCCGGCGGAGCCGTCGACGCCCAGCGCGTCCGTCAGGGTCTCGGGGCGGTCGCTGTTCCGACGTTTCTTGCCTCCCCCTCCTCCTCCTCCTCCTCCGCCGGCACCGCCGCAGCCGGGTCCTCCGGCCCCTCCGCCCAGGCCCTTGCCCTCCCGGCCGCCCTCCCGTCGCGCGGGCCGCTGCAGGGTGAGGGTCTCCGGGCGGCTCGGGTTGGCCGTGTGGGGCGGCGCGGGCAGCGGGGACGCGTGGCCCTCAGACTGGCTGTCGCAGCTGGAGGTGGAGCCCTCCTCGGTGGAGCCGCTGTCCGAGTCCTTCTCCTCAGCGCCGTCCGCGTCGCGCTCCACCTCCACGCGGCGCCGCGGGGCGAGCGGAGCATCCCGCGGCCTCGCGGCCGGTGCCGAGGACGAACCACCTAGAGAGTGGGGGGGATGCGAGGATGGCGACACGGGGATATAGACACGGGACAGGGACGCTGGAGCTCGCACCTCGTAGTGGCTGTGGGCGTACCGCCTGCGAGTTGGAGTGATTCGTGCGGTGTGAGTGTTCGTAATGGAGGCTGTCGTTAACGTCTGCACCGTGCCGGGCGGGAGAGTTGTGGCTGTCGCCGGGAGGGAGTTGTGGCGGCCCGGGGCTCTGCCATGGGAAAGCGGTGCCCACAACAAACTGGGGTGGCTACAATGAGGGCTCGTTCAAGAGTTGCCGCATATACCGTATATACATTCCTTCTGACACACTGAGTGTGCTCGTCTCTGTAACTGCGGGACGGAGGCAGGTGCAGCAGCCACGGTGGTGGTGGAGTGGTCAGCAGCGCACGGGGCTCTCCAGCCAGACGGTGCCACTTCAATTCCACCGGTTGGCACGGCAGGGGAAGTAGTGGGACGAGTTTCTTAAATATCCCCCACTTCTGTCCACCCAGCACAATAAAACAGTCGATCAACAAGTCGCATGTTGTGTTTAGTTTGCTGTCCTTCCCTCGCACTTCCGATTACCATGGTTGGCTACGTACGGTGCGAAAGAAGTTCAACATACAAACATAAAGTGTGGGTAGGCCATAAAGTGTGGGTACGCCCACTTTATCCATGGCAGCTGGTAGTGATGTGGGCGAGCAATTGCGGGCTGCGCCTTTACCTTGTAACTGAGAAACGAGGGCAAATGATGTAACACGCGGTGCCGTTTGTACGTTCGTGCGTCCCAATCAGTGCGTGACTAAAATGTAACTGATTTTCGGAGCTGTAAATGGATTCTGACAACCCTGCAAAGAACCCGAGGAGGTCACTGTGTGGGCTATGACTGCGTGGGAGGGGGCGGTTGCTCCCGGGGGTCCCAAGTAATCTCCGTGGGGGGCCCCGCGCGTCCCAGGACATCTCCGTGCGTCCCCTGGCCCATCTGGGCGCGATTGGCGGCTCCCGTCCCCGCCGCTGGCGCTGCGAGATAATTGCTGACTATTCATTGCCTTAAGTGCACCACCTCAATTACCATTATCAGCGGCGGCCGCTGTTCCTCCTCACACGGCCCCTGCCAATCACGAGCCCCCCCCCCCCCACTCCGTATCCCCCGCTTGCCCCCCATAGCCCCTGCCAATCACGACGCCCCCAACCCCCGCCCCCCACCAACCCCACCCTGTATCCGCCCCTACCCTTGCCCCCCCCCACCGCATCCCTTTCTCCCCCTTATCCACCACTCCGCAACGGTAGCCAGAATAAGCGCCTCGCGACCGCTCCCCTTCACAACCATCACCATCACCACCATCACCACCATTACAGCCTTCACAACCATCACCATCGCAGCCATCACCACCATCACCATCACAGCCATCACCATCACCACCATCACAACCATCACCATCATTACAGCCTTCACAACCATCACCGCCATCACCACCATCACCACCATCACAGCCATCACCATCACCACCATCACAGCCATCACCACCATCACAGTCATCACCACCATCACCACCATCAACACCATCACAGCCATCACCACCATCACCACCACAGCCATCACAACCATCACCACCACAGCCATCACAACCATCACCACCACAGCCATCACAACCATCACCACCATCACCACCATCATCACCATCACCACTACCATCACCACCATCACAGCCACCACCACCATCACCACCATCACAGCCATCACAGCCATCACCACCACCACCACCATCACAGCCATCACCACCATCACCACCATCACCACCATCGCAGCCATCACCACCATCACCACCATCATCACAGCCATCACCACCATCACAGCCATCACCACCATCACCACCATCACAGCCATCACCACCATCACCACCATCACAGCCATTACAGCCATCACCACCATCACCACCATCACAGCCATCACCACCATCACCACCATCACAGCCATCACCACCATCACCACCATCACCGACATCACCACCATCACCACTATCACAACCATCACCACCATCACCACCATCACTCCCATCACCGCAATTCTTACAATAACTGCCATGACTGTAATCACTACCATCACTTCCATTACAACCAAGCATCATGATCACCGCCATCACCATCACAGCCATCACCACCATACATCCATCACTATGACAGCCATGACCACCATCACTGCCAGCACCACCGTCATGATCACAGTCATCAAAATCGCCACCATCGCAATAAACACCACTCCCACCAATACAGGCGTCATTACCATCACCACCATCACCATGCCGACCATCACCAGCACTCCTCTCAATTTGTATCTCCTCGTGCCCTCCGCCCCTACCCGCAGGGTCACGGGGTAGGGGTCACGAGCCCCGTGGTCAGCGCTCGACGCACGGAGCGGTGGCGGAGCGGTTAGGCGCGCTGCGCTATGAACCCAGAGACCCGAGGTCGATTCCCGCTCAAGACCAATAAGAGTGATGATTATGTGAACCGTTTTGTGGGCATCCCCTAGGTCGACTCGGCCTTAAACGAGTACTCTGCGCGGTGTGTAAACATCAGCACTGGGGAGACAAAGGCGGATGGGCGTGGTGTTAGCCACCCACCCCACGTGTGCCGTGCGACCTTCATAGGTGCTCGCTAACAGCACTTGCCGCAACAGTCTGCTGAAGGCTGTAGGGGAGATCTTTGTGTTTTTGTGGGGGAGCTTGCTACGGGTGATTTGGATGTGGCTGACCGCGCTGTGGACGAGTTTACTCAAGATCAGTGCGATAGGGAAGTGTGCTGTATGCGAGTGCTGTGGGTGAGCGCGATGTGGATAAGCGCGATGTTGGCAATGTCCTGTGGATGAGCACACTGTGGGTGAGCGCACTGTGTGTGAGAGTGCTTTGGATGAGTGGGCTGCGGGTGGATCGCCGCTACTCACGGAAGAACACGAACTCGGTGTAGCTGCTCCACACCTTGTCCTCGTTGTGGCCGCTCGGCTGGCCGCTCACACCGCTGCCGTGCGACGCCACGAGCGAGAAGCCGGCCTCTGCCAGGGCGTCGAAGGCCTGCTCCGGCGACGCGTGCGCCAGCGTGAGCCGCGACGAGTACCTCCCGGGGGGGGCTCGCTCCACCTCGCGGCTGCGCTCCAGGAGGGCGTCCCCGAACACGGCGCGCACCAGGGCGCTGCGGCCGCACGCCGAGATGCGCGCCGCCCTGCGAAATCTCCCATCGACACCTCCACCTCCACCACCGCCTCCTCCTCCTCCTCCACCCTCCCTGCCCGGGAAGCTGTAGTGGCCCCTGCAGGCCAGGGTGATGTAGCCGGGGCTGGCGCTCTCACGGCCGGGCGCCTCGGACACCTCGCTGCCTTCGCTGTTCAGGGAGCTGGCCTTGGCCGGGCGAGGGGTCAGGGCCTTCACCAACTCGGGCAGCTGGAAGAACTCAGCCTCGCGGCGCAGGCGGGCCCGCTCGGGGAAGTGGTCGGGCAGCACCAGCTGCTGGTCACGCAGGAAGTCCAGCACGTATCGGAAGAGGAACCCGTCCCGGTCGATGAAATAGCGGCCGCGCGCGTCGCGCACCACATCCGCGGTCGCCCCCGACGCGGCCGCCGCTGTCGGCCCCGCGGGGGCCGCTCCCGTGGCGGCCCCCGCGGCTGAGAAGCTCCGCCACAGCACGGAGTGGGCCACGCTGGTCAGGGTGCTGCGCCGCGTCACGTAGATCTGTCCGCCCACGTTGAGCTCCACCACCTCGGTGTAGAGCGGCTCCCCGCCGTTCGTTTGCGGCTGGGAGCCGGTTAGGCCATCCAGAAGCGCCATTGCCACCGCCTCCCCGCTCCCTGCAAAGGTGCGGCCGTCTCCCCCTCCTCCTCGTTCCTCCTCCTCCTCCTCGTTCCTCCTGGTGGACTCCGTCAGCTCGAGAGTACAGGGCGCACGCCTCCCAGAGAGACCCGCACCGCCAGCCGGGGTGACGTCTGCATGGACGCGATAGACGGGGTAGCGCAGGGCGATCTGGCGACGCAGGGCGCTCCGGGATTTGCAGGGCGCTCCGGGGGGTGCAAGAAGACGTAGCGGTTGCAGGGCGCTGCGGGGGGTGCGCGGGCGAAATGCGGAATGATGAGGATAATGACGCGGAGCGACGATTATGCCGGGAATTCCTGGGCGCTCCCAAATGCAGCAGGGCGGTCTTGGATTGCGGGGCGATGGGGCTACGCGGGGCGCTGCCGCCGCGGGGTGCGGGAGAGGCAGAGTCCGTGCGGGCGGCGGCGGCGATGCGCGGCGATGGAGGCGCGGCAGGGAGCGGCGGCGGCGCGTGACGAGAGAGACGGGAGAGAGAGAGACGAGAGAGGGAGACGGGAGAGGGAGACGGGAGAGGGAGAGGCGAGAGGGAGAGGCGAGAGAGAGACGGGAGAGGGAGACGGGAGAGAGAGAGACGGGAGAGGGAGACGGGAGAGGGAGACGGGAGAGGCGAGAGAGGGAGACGGGAGAGGGGCGCGTGACGACACGAGGAGGAGCGGCGGAGGCGGCGGCGACGGCGCCTCCTCCTCTCGCGCACGCCGAGAGCTGCTGCTGCTCGACTGCGTTGTGTGTGTGTGTGTACTGCGTGTACTGTGTGTGTACTGCGTGTGCGTGTACTGCGTGTGTGTGTACTGCGTGTACTGTGTGTGTGTGTACTGTGTGTGTGTACTGCGTGTGTGTGTACTGCGTGTGTGTGTACTGCGTGTACTGTGTGTGTGTGTACTGTGTGTGTGTACTGCGTGTGTGTGTACTGCGTGTGCGTGTACTGCGTGTGTGTGTACTGCATGTGTGTGTACTGCGTGTGTGTACTGCATGTGTGTGTACTGCGTGTGTTTGTACTGCGTGTGTGTGTGTACTGCGTGTACTGTGTGTGTGTACTGCGTGTGTGTGTACTGCGTGTGTGTACTGCATGTGTGTGTACTGCGTGTACTGTGTGTGTGTGTACTGCGTGTACTGTGTGTGTGTACTGTGTGTGTGTACTGCGTGTATGTGTGTACTGCGTGTGTGTGTACTGCGTGTGTGTGTACTGCGTGTGTGTGTGTACTGCGTGTGTGTGTACTGCATGTGTGTGTATTGCGTGTACTGTGTGTGTGTACTGCGTGTGTGTGTACTGCGTGTGTGTACTGCATGTGTGTGTACTGCGTGTACTGTGTGTGTGTACTGCGTGTACTGTGTGTGTGTACTGTGTGTGTGTACTGCGTGTATGTGTGTACTGCGTGTGTGTGTACTGCGTGTGTGTGTGTGTGTACTGCGTGTACTGTGTGTGTGTACTGCGTGTACTGTGTGTGTGTACTGTGTGTGTGTACTGCGTGTGTGTGTACTGCGTGTATGTGTGTACTGCGTGTGTGTGTACTGCGTGTGTGTGTGTACTGCGTGTGTGTGTACTGCATGTGTGTGTACTGCGTGTACTGTGTGTGTGTACTGCGTGTGTGTGTGTACTGCGTGTGTGTACTCTGTGCGTGTGTGTAATGTGTGGATCATGTGTATGCATTGTGTGTACTATGTGCATTTTTGTACTCTGTGTACTGCGTGCGTGCTGGGGTTCCATGCAATTTGTGTACGGTGTGTACTGCGTGTGCATGAAGGGCTCGTGCTGGGTGTGTGCTATTTGCTATTTGAGTGTGAAAATGATCATCTGTAGCTCACCGAGCCAGTGGTTACGTGTACGTCAGGCTTGTTAACGCTTAGCTAACGACTTAATTGCTTCCTATCTGACAGCGCAGGTAAATACAGTAATCATAATCACGCCCCTGTGGTTTCATTGTACAAACATAACAATGATAATGCTTAATGCCTCACTAAGTCTCAGGACTCATTTTGAGGAGGGGATATTTGGCCAAAAATCCCAATCTGCACGTGAGGGTTGGCTTCTCGTGGGAGGAGACGAGAGAACCCGGAGAGAGCCGACTGCCGATGTGAGGGGTGACAAAACCTCTCACAGAGAGACTCAAACATCCATTGCTGCACTGCCACCTACTGGCGACCTTGCAGCCGATACCTGCATCGTGTACTACCATCGCACGATCACGGCCAATGTGTAATGTGTACACGACCTGTGTGCACTTTGTGTACACGCCGTGCACTGCGTGTGTACACGTCCCTTATAGTCTCTGTACTCAATTCCTGTGTAATGCATGTGGGCATCCTGTGTGTACCGCACACGTCCTGCGTGTACTGCATGTGTACACGTCGTGCACTGCGTGTGTACACGTGATGCATGCACTTCACGTGCGCTGGTAATGCACTCCTAGTAAACATGGAACGTTGGGCCAACCACATGCCAATGTTGGTTCAACGTTGGCACGCTTCCTGGGCTGCATGTGAATCCGTCCTGTGTGTACTGCCTTTGTACTGCATGTGTACATGACGTGTGTACTGCCTGTGTACTGCATGTGTACACCACGTGTGCACTGCCTGTGTACACGTCCTGTGTGTACTGCCTGTGTACACGACGCGTGTACTGCATGTGTACACCACGTGTGTACTGCCTGTGTACTGCATGTGTACACGTCTGTGTGTACTCATTGTGTACACCACGCGAAAGCCCATGTACCCCCAGAAGCTTTCAGTCTTATGAGATGATCCTTGGGACGACTGCCTTTCGAAGCCCAGCGCGTGGACCACTGACCAGGCAGAGTTAGGATGCGACACACAGACGGAGTTAGTGTTAAGGTCACTCCAATGGTTTCATGTAGTGCATTGGAAGTCAGTGATCATTTTCGTAAAAAAGCGTGATCTCATTGACATATACTGTATGTTGCTTCACGTAAACTTTAGTTTTACACTTCCCATCAGTCGTATGGCCTTCTGGGATTGATTACATGTCAGCAAAATTGGTTCAATGTAAGTGTAGGGATATCTCCGACGTCTCTAGAACTCACTGCACAAGCAAACTGGACCGGCTCAGACAGACAGCCCTTCGTTAGCAGAGTCCGTCTCGCTGGTGAACTGTCAGATGTTTACAGGCAAACCCCTTCTATTAGATATGGATCCCTAGTTCGGCACTAAACTATAAAATATACTTTACTCGCGTTAAAATCGGTGTCGTTGTGAATAGAAATAAACAATAATCAGTTGTGATCTCTGAAGTTGCCACAACGGCTCCTCTACGCTTGCACCATCAGTAGAACAACAACCACGAGCTGCCTTGAACAGGGCCACAGCGGGGCCCTGCTGCCCTCTCGATTGTATCGTCTCTGACTCTCTGTCAGTTGTAGCAGAATACTGCGCAGTGTACACGCATACCATCTGCCTCCTCCACGTATAACATATCCCTCCATATGAAAAATATGAAATTATTTTTACACATGCCATCAGCTCCACGGCCTTCTGTGCGTGCATCGTCTCGGCAGCATTGGCGAAGCCACGGGCAACAGTGGACCGGCTTGGAGATGTTTGGGTCTCGACGCACATCTTGTGTTGTGCATCGGTCTCGCGTCGAACCAGGACCCATATATCTCACAGACAGGGCCCTTGCTGTAACATATGGCAGTCCACCAATATTGATGATGAGACACCTAATGTCAAACCCGGTCCAGAGTATTGATTGCATTGAAGCAATACTGCTGATGCGACACACTGCCAGAAGGTGGGCGTGTGTGACTGATGGGATGTGTAAGATAAAATAGTTGTTTTCATGTGGAAGGACATACATGTGACGGAGAAATGTATTTATTTACGATACTGATCACTGACTATTCAACGCGCTCGGTGAAGCCAGTGGAGTTGACCATAACCCCGTCTCCGTCTGTGTATGCACCATACGTTGGAACTTCTTTCGCACCGTACGTAGCGAACCACACTCATCGTAGGTGCGGGGAACGGACAACAAACTCCTGTACACACAAAGAGCAGCTCTACAGAAATTAGTTTTCAATCTAAACCGGTGAGTCGAACCCTAGCGGTGCATGGCCATTCGTCGAGGCGCTGGGCTGTGAAGGTCACAGGGGTCCCAAGAATTCTGAAGCAGGCGGACATCGTCCGCTGTGTCGGTGTTGCTGCCGCTGCTGTTCGTGGTCTCGGCAGCGCCGAGGCGCGCGGTGACCTCGCGCGGTGACCTCGAGCGGTGACCTCGAGTGGTGACCTTGTGACCTCGAGCGGTGACCTTGCGCGGTGACCTCGCGCGGTGACCTCGCGCGGTGACATCGAGTGGTGACCTCGAGCGGTGACCTCGAGTGGTGACCTTGTGACTTTGAGCGGTGACCTCGCGCGGTGACCTCGCGCGGTGACCTCGCGCAGTGACCTCGAGTGGTGACCTTGTGACCTCGAGCGGTGACCTCGAGCGGTGACCTCGCGCGGTGACCTCGCGCAGTGACCTCGAGTGGTGACCTTGTGACCTCGAGCGGTGACCTCGAGCGGTGACCTCGCGCGGTGACCTCGCGACCGCTGGGGGCGCCGTTCCCGGCCCGGGCTCCGGGGCGGATCCGCGCTGCGAGGTGACGTCAACATCCGCCAAGGTTTTAAACAAATCCGGCCTTGATTTATTATTAGTATTATTATGGTGGCAAATGTGAGGGAAACGAGGGTCTCGGGTTTTTGTTGTGGCCGTAATGAACTTTAATCGCCGGTTTTGTGAAACATTTTAGATGTTGAGATGTCGCGTGACCCCTGACCCTGTAACGGGCGCCTTATTCAAAATGGCCGGGCGGGGTTGGGTTGCGGCGGCGGCGGCGGCCGCGAACATCGCAACTCGTTAAGCGGCGCTCACTCGCAACCAGTGAACCCCTCCACTCACCAGTGAACCCACCAATTCATAATTAACTACCTCGTCACGGAGCTCTTCGCCGGCGATAGCGAGGATGGGGACTCCGGCCATGGGAGACAGAATCGAGGTGACGAGGGCTCTGAGGGGAGTGGGGGAGACGAGGGGAGACGAGGAGGGAGATGGGGGAAGAGGGTAGAGGACGGGAAACGGGACGAGACGATGAGTGGGCACGAGTGGTGAGGAGGCGAGAGGGGGTTGTGTTGTTGTGTTGCCGCTCTGTGGTCGCCACCTTCATCGCTGCTGGCTCACATCACTTTGCCCCAATTGTGTGCGTGGGCTCCGCGTGATCTGTGTGGATATGTGGACCCGTGTGTGCTTCTGGGATGTCTCGGAGTGTCTATATATGTGGAGTGGACTAACGTATACAGTATACTGTATGTGCATGTTTATCTGTGGGTATAGCTGGTGTTTACGTGCGCATTTTGTATATGTGTGTGTGCGTCTTTATCCGTGTACAATAATTCAGTATGTATATGTGGATCTGTGTGTATATCTGCGTTGTTTTTTTCTGTGTCCGAGTGTGTAATGTGAGTGTCTATATCTGTGCATGAACAACTGCGTGTCTTCGTGTATGTTTCAATGTGTATATTATATTCGTGTGTATGTAGCCGTATATGTATATCTGTTTATTTCTGTGTGTGTGTTCCTGTGTCTGCAGGATTACCAGGTCCTGCAGCTACTGGGGAAGGGGGCCTTTGCCTGCGTGTACCGGGCGCGCTCCGTGAGCTCCCTCATCGAGGTCGCCATCAAGATGGTGAGACAGGGAGACGGATGCACTGAGACACAGAGACACCAGAGATACATGGAGATACACACACACACGGTCGTCTTCTTCTTGTGTGTTTATCTCATCTCGCATATGCTATGGCCCGTTCTCTGGCCCTGGCGAGGTCCTCCACATTATGCGGCTCCTCTACGAGTCAACAGGCAGATAGATGCTCGATGGTCTTCACCAGTCACATGCGTCAGGGTCGTTAAAGTAGCTCCACTTCCACATGTTGAGACACATGGTCCTATCGGGACGCACGAGGACACACAGACATGCTCCCTGTTGTTGCAGTCTGTTTTCCAGCTAAGACAGATTATGCTATTGTGTGTTCTCAGATTGACAAAAAGGCGATGAAGAAGGCCGGCATGCTGAAGAGGGTCCGGAATGAGGTGGAGATCCACTGTCAGCTCAAGCACCCTTCAGTTCTTGAGGTGCCCACACCTCTCACAATACATTGTGGATATACATATCATCTGAATATAACTGCATCTCAAGAAGATGTACCGGTGACATGGCCCATCGGTAGCACGTTCGCCGCTTGATGCAGAGGTTCGCGGTTCGAGTCTCTCAAACTGTAGACATATTAACTCGGATTCAAAGTGAGCGTCATTCAAAAACGAGTAGGCCATTATGTGCTGTGGGGTCATGGTTTGAAAAAAAAATACTCGCAAATAACTTGCTTGGGAAACATAGCAGCATTACCCTGTCCTGTGGAAATGTTGGCAGGACCCTCCTGAAAAAGAGTCTTGAGACTCAGGATTTCCTGGGTAAAGAATAATACTGGAGGGACAGAGTTGCTATAATACAAGCTCACGCATGCTTCATGCGTTCGTGTCAAAGCTTGGAAGCACTTTATAGGGTTGATTCTTCATGAGGACATTCATCATATGTCATTTTAAAATCAATGATTTAGTTCGTAACTGTTCATGTGGCCTTAACAAGGACGTTGTGTGTGTTGCCGCTTTGTCCAGTTGTACACGTGCTTTGAGGACCAAAACTATGTGTACCTGGTGCTGGAGATGTGCCACAAGGGGGAAGTAGGACGCTATCTCAAGGCCAAGGGAGGAACGCCTTTCTCCGAAGAGCAAGGTGAGGCTCATCCACAGGTCTAACTTGACCTCACTGCCTTCACCAACCCGCATACTGACCAGCCTAGTGAAGTACAGACAAATAACCAGCATGCCCCCTCTAGACGTGGAGATGCTGTTATCCAGCAATTGATTGACAAAACGGTTGTACCGTGACTTAGACTGCAATTGCTTGCTCGCTCATGCCACGGCTGGGGGAAGGGCCTCTACGAGAGGGAGATATAGGGGTATTTGGTCTTATTTTTTTACTTTTACCAGACGTGCTGATTGACAGTTGATCGACAGGTCGTGGTTGGTAGGTTAACATATAGGTACATTCGCCTCTTCCTATGTGTCTAGTCAGTATGAAAGCGTAAACCAAATTATCTCGAGTTCACTGTAGTGGAGGTCCTTCTGCAGTAGTGTGAACTTGTAACGATATGAATCAGTGGTTGACTGGCAAGTTTGTGGACACTTAATTCAATCAATCTTTACTTTGTGGCAATATCGCCCTCAATAAAGTAGGCCTTGAGTTGTCAATAAATAGTTGTCTTAATCGAGTTATCCCATTTGCTTAGTGCGCCACTTCATGAAGCAGACGGTGCACGGGATGCTGTACCTGCACTCCCACGGAATCCTCCACCGGGACCTCACGCTTTCCAACCTCCTACTCACGGCCGACATGAACATCAAGATTGCCGACTTTGGTCTCGCTGCTCAGCTACGGCTCCCGGAGGAAAAGCACTTCACCATGTGCGGCACACCCAATTACATCTCCCCGGAAATTGCAACCCGCGGGGCACACGGGTTGGAGTCGGATGTCTGGTCGCTCGGGTGCATGCTGTACACCATGCTGGTATGTGTGAGTGTATAACTACAGATATGTAAAAAATCTGGTTGTTAGAACCAGTTTGTTTTGCATTCCTGTAATTGCATGAATAAAACTGGTAAAATATCTTTCCACACAATCTATCAGTAAACGTAACATTTTCACGTTTTTAAGCGGGAATATAAGGGACCTGCCACAGTGGAATAATGGTCGGCACACTGGACTTGCCATCCAGAGGTCGCCCGTTTGATTCAGTTTTGGGGCTAGGCAGTTGCAACCAGGATGCAAGTTTCTTAAATTCCCCAATCTCCACCGAGAAGTATACATGTTTACACCACCCTAAGTTGATCGCCAGGCAACTTGTGGTGGGGTAAAGTGTGGCTATGCCCACCTTGATGATGTCTGGTCAGCATGGGATAAGCGACCAATTAATAGTGACAACTTGTATCGTGCCATAACATGGGTTAAGCCATTGCAAGGGCACTGACATTATCTCTAGGGCTCTCTGTAGGCCCTTCTGGTAGCCGTGACGTGAGCAAGCAACTGCAGTGCTGCAACCTTTACCTTTTAACTGAGAAAGAAAGGCAAATTATGTACCACACAATGACTTTGGCTGCTGTGCCGTTTGTACTTTGCGAGTGCCAATTGATGCCCTCATTACTCGCGTTCCAATGTAAACTATTTCTGACTTTCAGAACTGGTGATTATTATTAAAATGGTCACTGGTTTACCGGCTATCGTTTAACAACCCAAAAAAATTCAAATATGGATAACTTAACATTTAATACATCTGGTTTGGCCACAATTATCGAGCTGAATGTCATTAAGACGCTCCGCCACCGACATGTGCCAATTATTGTTTCAGCTCACTGGTAAATTTGAAAAAAAATTCTCAACACCAAATTTACCAAATTGTAGGTTTTGTTTGAAACAACATCAAGCATCAAGACAAGATCCAAGAAGTAAAAATTATTATAAGGAAGTCAAAATAACCACGTGATGTGGATGGTTGGGTTTTTGTTTGTTTGGACAGGTGGGGCGGCCGCCGTTTGACACGGACGCGATTGGCACAACGCTAAACCGCGTGGTACTGGGAGAGTACAGCGAGCCGATGCACCTCTCCAAGCCGGCGCGCTCCCTCATCCACCAGCTGCTCCAGAAGAACCCAGTGGACCGGCTTGGTTTGGCCTGCGTGCTTGACCACCCCTTCATGACATTGCGTGGTGGCGGTAGTAGAATGACCACAGAACGCGGAGTGATCCGCTCGCATCCAATGCCGGTGAGCAGTATTTCCTCCACTGCTGTGTCATACAGAGGCTTTTGTGCTTGTGTCACACGTTATTATTATTCACCTTTACTCCTTGTTTACTCAGGAAGGCCTCTCGTTGCTCCTGTCATTGCCTTTTCCGAGATTCAGGCTCAATATTAGATAATTTTACACATTTTATTATGATACTTGTTTACCCAGGAAAGCCTCACTGAGCTTTAATACTTTTTCCGGAGGGTCCGGCTAGCATTTTGCAGGAGGGCTTGATGATTGTTATGCGTTTCCCAATTATGGAATTCTTGGATAATTTTTCAATTTGTGCAAATGTGGACCATGTCTAGTCAGCTGCTGAGCCACCTGCCTGGATATTGTTTAAAACCATAAATACAAATCTTGGAATGTCTTGTGTTACCAGATTATCACATTAATGTTGTGCTCTGTTTAGTCCCAAGGAGTGGAGGTCTCGATGGACAGTGGCAACACCACCATGTCTACTGCAGCAGTAACCGTAGAGAGATCCCGGTCCGGCGCACGTTTGGTGAGTGGTAGCAGAGAAACATCTACCCAGGCCTCACAGTCTGCGACCAGCTTCGGATTTGATGACGCGTTCCGCAGTACCTGCACCAGTGGGTTGGGTGGAGTGGAGGGCAGCGCGTGTCGCTCGGAGACGTCCTGCCGGAGCGAGAGAGACCGTAACGGCGACCACAGCACTCGCACCGGCAGTCGACCGGGACATACCAATGCACGGAGCACTAACAGCGGCATCAGCACGAATATGCGGAGGGGAACCGATGACCGCCGAGCAAAGACAGATGCACAGTGCCCAAGCCACACTGGAGCCCGCGAGCCCGGCATCACAGCCAGCACAGAGAGCCAGCGTTGCGCTCAGAAGTTTGTGCAACATGGCCTGGGCTCGGCGCGCGCCGGTACCGCACCCCGAGCGGAGACTGAACAGCCAAGTGGCTCGCGGCACGAAGAGCGCGCTAACGTGTGTGGGAGTTTGGTGGGGCGGAACACATCCTCTTCTCACTCCGCCCTCTGCACCAGGTACCCTGAGGACTTCCTCAGACACGCAAATGCATTGAGCACGGGCATCGGCATGAATGTACGGAGGGGACTTTAGAATAAATCTTTATTTAGACTTGAGGAATCTGATGAGCTATGAAGCTGTTTCAGCCAGGAAAGCCTCGCTGAGGCTCAAGACTCTTTTGCAGGAGGGTCCTGTGAGGTTTTTCCCGTAGGAGGCAATGATTGCTATGTGTTTTACAATTAGGTAATTTGCGGTGTTGTTTTAAAAACTTGCACATTTTGACCATGGCGAGTCACTCAACTGCTTTGCCACCCGGCCAGATATTGTTTCAAACCATAATCACACGTATTGTTTGGGTCTTTCGGTAAAGTCACGTAGATAGAACAATCAAATAAAAATGAAAATAAAGTGAATAAAAAATCACGACGTTTCGATCGCAACACATGCAATCGTCATCAGGAGAAAAAAGAGAGGGAAAGCTGCTGAGGCAGGCTGTTTTAAAAGTTTGAAATGGGTGTAGCCCAAGGGTCATAAACGAAGTGGGTGGGTCTAGTGATATTAAAGTGAGAGAGATTAGCATGGCAATGTAAGAGATTAGCATGTCGATGTAAACGGCCGCTATGTTCGTGGGAACCTGTTAATGTAAAATCAGGAGTCGAAAATAACTGCTAACATCGGAAGGTAGGATGGAAACATCACCGCCAGTTATGACTTCAACTGGTTAATAATGTCCTTCCAATGATTGCTCAGTTTGTACCCATCTTCTCGGTTGAAAGTGTGTCTGTGTCTATATATCTGGATGGCTTCATGAACGAATCTTTGTTGATAGCCAGTGGGTTTGCAGAGTACCTTCGTCTTGGAGAAATCAATTTCGTGTGAGACCACCGCATTAAAACAATGATCAGCCAAGGCTGAGGTATTGGTCCTTCTGTTTTTCAGATCTGCCTTGTGTTCCCCAATGTAACTACTGCCGCAGGCACAGCTTAGTTTGTAGACGCCGGGGTATTGCATGTGAGGGATCACATCCTTAACAAATGGGATCAGATCGCGAATTGTATGCACTGTGTTAAATCGAACCTGGATCTTGTGTTTGCTCATGATTTTGGGAATCTTTTTGGTGACCCCTGCTATGTATGGCAAGGTGATGGTTTTGATTGGATCCTCAGATGGTTCTTTCCCAATGGTTGGGGTGATAGCTTTACGGATTGTGTAGTCTGAATATCCATTCATCTTGAGGGCTTGGTGTACGTGTTACAGTTCACTGGCTAGGTGGTGATGGTCGGAAATACAACGAGCTCTGATGTAGAGTTTTGATGACGGAATTCTTCTGGGATGGATGGTGGTAGGAGTCAGGTTTTAGGTAGGCATCCATATGGGTGGCTTTCCTGTAGACAGTGTCCCATTGAGCCAGCTGGTCTCTTTTCGATTAAAACTTCCAAGAATGGTAACTTGCCATCCTTTTCCACCTCCATGGTGAATTAGATGGCTTGGGTGTATGGAATTGATGTGGTTGAGGAATTGGTTCAGAGCTCGTCGGCCATGTGGCCAGATGACTAACGTGTCATCTACGTACCTCTTCCACAAGGCCGGATGTAGAGTGGATGCCTGGATGGCATCTGTCTCAAATTTTTCCATGAAAACATTGGCTACAACTGGAGATAAGGGAGAACCCATTGGGGTACCTTGTTTGTAGAATGTTCCATTCCAGGTGAAGTAAGTGTTGGTGAGTCAGTGTCTCACCAGGGCTGGTACATCAGCATTCAGTCCTTGTTGGAGCAAATCTTCAATGATTGCAATGGTGTCAGGCACAGGAACTTTGGTAAACAAAGATACTTCATCGAAACTAACAAGAAAATCACCTGGAGATAGTGAAATGTCCTTAATTAACGATAACAAGTGAGCTGAGTTAAGTATGGCTGAGGTGGTCTTACCAGTGAATGGTTGTAAGGTCTCAGAGAGAAATCGGGCCAGTGACTTACCGAAAGACCAAAAGATTATGAATTCCTGCAGTCACGAAAGCTTTAAGTCAAGATTCATAATCAAACGTTTTATTTTTATTAATTTAAAATGTTTCACCTGGAAAATCTTGGAGATGGGGAACATCTCATTACAAGGATGTCCAGGGCAGATATTGACAGCATGACACGTGATAACACATGTACAGTAAACACACAAACTCGCATGTATCATGTGACTGTTACAGTTAGGCTAGCTTGAAAACACGTCAAGCTGATAGCAGCTAACAGTACTATCAAAGTTGTGATGGCTAGAGAGATAACACGTCTTTTTTTATTTGAGCGAGGTTATATTAAAAGAGCTTGGGAAAAGAGATGACCAGAAGAATAATGGGAAGGGAAGCAAATCAGTGCGAGGGAAGAAGGATAAAGAGAAGTGTTGTGATCTGCAGTGTGATGAGGTGGGTCGGTGCGTGAGTGAGTGTGTTGTTATGACCTGCAGTGTGGTGGTTTAACAATTTGGATTAGATGAAAAAATGTCTGGTAGACAGTCCTCATGGTTGCAGGGATCAATGAGTGAAGCTTTTTGTGCTTAAATGTGTGTGTTTCTGCATATTTACTAAGTGTTTATAAGGATGCACGGCTGGTATAATGTCTTTGACAGGGAATGTCACCAGTCACTCATGTCAGACAGAGTGGATGGGGATCGCCTGTGGAACAACAACGCCTGCTTGGATCTAGGTGAGTTATGGCTTCACATGTTCTAAGTCTCATCAGAAGTCGTAGAGTCACATTCTTCATCTTGTGAAATCTTAAAAAATATTTTTAATCCAGCCAGGAGGCTCGAACAGTAGAGCGAGCGGCTCAGTCAGAACTGTTGTGTGTTAATATCCTGGTTTGGGGCGTTACTTGGTCCATCGACTCTCTACAGTTGATACAATGAGTACCATTTTGTGGGGAAGACCATCGTGGTTGTTTTATGGATAGACTAAGGGCTGTAAGCATGGGATGAGCACCACCTGAATGCTCATTTGAGCAGGAAATTACTTTAACTTTAATTACAAAAAATGAAAAGTACATCAACAGCCCCTTTTGGCACTCCACAGCTGGATGAGGGCTTCCCCAAACCCTGCAAGTTGTTGGGGTTTTTTTAACATACTTCAGAGCACTCATCAGTGCGGGTTGGTGAAGGTGTTGAGAATAGAAATTGGAGCTTAGTACAGGACAACAATTGATTTTACAGCACTTCCTTCTGGTGACATTATTATTCTGCTGCAGCTTATAACACCTGTTGCATGTGTGTTGGTCACCCATCCAAGCACTCTCCAGGCTCAAACCTTGCTTGGCTTCCAGGATTTGAGGAGATGGGACACGTTCTGGTTGTGTAAAGTAAAAAAACTATTCCATAGAATAATTATTTACATCATTGTGGAGAATTTAAAATAAAATTTTACACATTCCATCAGCCACACAGCCTTCTAGGAGTGTATAATTCCAATGGCATATTTTCAGCACAAGCAAAATCAACCAGTTTGAACCTTCTTGGTCTCATCAGCAGTCAGGCTTGCTTGAATTATTTCATTAATTGGTAATTGATTCATTGATATGGGATTTTGCAGCCTTTATTCACAGTAGATTTTTGGGTTTGGCCACATAGTGATTTTATTAAATTATATTAGAAAACCCAACATGGCCAAACAATTAAAATTGTCACGTGTACAAGCATTGAATGCGCCAGTTGTTACTGTTTCAGCTCATCAGTAATTTCAAGAACAATTCTCACAAACCAAATTTAGCAATGTAAGCATTGTTCTTGAACTTCCCAGCGTGATAACACAATAATAACACTGGTCTACAGCCAAAATGCTTCCGAAATAAATGTAGTCCAACTTTACTTACTCTGGGTCACTGATAATGAAAAGGATGCTTAAAATTATTGATTGGTTCTAGTTTTCAAGATATGCTGCTGGGTCAGTATATACGACCCTTGACTTGAGAATGGCGGAGGATAAGTGAGTTATAAAGGGAAGGGATCTCAATTTAAACCAGAAATGACTAAATACATCTTTGACTCGATCTATGAATACATCTATGGCTGGGTTTGGACTGTACTTGCTTTTTGAGCAAAACAATGAATGATGCAATTTTAACCTGGTATTGCATCATACATGATATGAATTGCTACATGTTATTCCTAGAAGTCATGGATGATGCAATCATAACTAGGCTTACATCCCTCTGCTGAACAAATTTCCCTATATCAGCTTTAGAAATCATACAGTGTCGTGCTCTTATATTTGACGGTGTTTGATTTCGCAAAGGGACACATTTCTGTTTAGCCAAAATTGGAGATCAAGACAAGATGTGGGCTCCGCACATATGCTGCAACACTTGTGCAACAAATCTTAACCAGTGGTTGAATAGGAAAAGTAAATCTATGCCTTTTGCAGTGCCAATGATTTGGAGAGAGCCAACAGATCATATCAGCAATTGCTACTTCTACATGGTGCCTCCACTTGGGAAAGGTGTGTCAAAGAAGAAAAAGTGGACTGTGCATTATCCAAACATTCCATCACCTATGCGCCCAGTACCCCACGGAGAAGGACTGCCGGTTCCTGATGCACCAGAATCTTTCTCACTTGAGTCAAATGAGGAAGAGGATGAAACTTCTGGTCCTGAACCATCAAGGTCACATGACTCAGATTTTCTCCCCTACCTCCTCCTCTGAACCACAAGGTGAACTTAAAGACCTTGTCAGGAATTTGGAACTACCCAAGAGTAAGGCAGAGCTGTTGGGCTCCAAACTGCAGCAGTGGAATCTCCTGGCAAGTGATGTTAGGGTTTCCATGTTCTGTGATCGTCAAAAGGATCTTGTCCCATTCTTCTTAGCTTGCAACAACATCGATGGTGTGATGGCAGCCCTCAACATCGTTCATGATCCAGATGAATGGAGACTGTTCATTGATTAATCGAAGATGAGTCTTGAAGCTGTTTTGCTGCATAATGGCAATGTATTGCCATCAATTCCAGTTGGTCATGCAGTCCACATGAAGAAAACCTATGTCAACATGAAACAACTTTTGAGGTGCATAAACTATGGCCAACATCAATGGCAGCTTTGTGGCGATTTGAAGGTTGTTGCTATCTTGCTTCGTCTGCAGACTGGATACACAAAGTACTGCTGTTTTCTCTGGGAATGGGATAGTCGTGCGAGAGATTCCAACTACATCAAGATAGATTGGCCACTCGGACAGTCATTTGAGCCTGGGAGGAAAAGTGTTCAGCATCCACCACTTGTTGAATCAAGGAAGATTTTGTTATCACCCTTACACATCAAGCTGGGTCTGATGAAAAACTTTGTCAAAGCCATGGACAAAACACAAGCAACTTTCCAGTACCTCCGTGGAAAATTTCCAAGGTTAAGTGAAGCTAAGATAAAAGGTGTCTTTGTTGGTAGTCAGATTCGTGAACTCCGTCGAGAGGATCCATTTGACAGTGCACTGCATGGCAAGGAAAAGACGGCATGGAACGCCTTCCAGTTGCAACAAATTTTCTCGGAAACAACAAGGCAGACAACTACAGGGAGTTGGTGGAAAACCTACTCAAGGCATACAAAAGCCTTGGTTGCAACACATCACTAAAGATATTTTTTTGCACTCTCATCTAGATTTTTTCCCACCGAACTGTGGAGCAGTGAGCGACGAGCATGGCAAGCCATTTCACAAGGACATTGCAACAATGGAAAAACTATCAGGGCAAATGGAGCCCATCAATGGTTGCAGACTATTGCTGGACAGTGACAAGAGATGCTCCATTTAATGAATACAAGAGACAAGCCAAGAAGCGCCGAGTAGACACTGAATAAGGACTAAACTATGTACTTATAGTTTTTTGTCTTTTGTTTCATAATAATTTTATTTATATAACCCTTTTGCTGATTTTTGAAGTGTTACATGAACAGGACAAGTGACGTTATCATGTAAAGCAACCATAAACACATGAAAAGACCCAGGTTTACAATTTATGCATAAAACTCTACTATCTACACAATATACATAGACGTAAAATGTTAAAACTAAAATATCTTGGGAACAGTAGCCAATCGGTTGTTTTAATTGTCATATTTGAATTCAACACATCAAAATCCATGTTAAACAGCATATTTCATCTCTGAAGCAGACGACGTCTAAAAAATTGTAGAACAGTGTAATTGGCACATTCAAATCTTGTTTAGGTGGAAATTTTATTTGTTTGGCAGTGTTGGATAGTGGTGGGTCTCATTAGACAATTTTGGGCAGATCATTACATGTTCTAACGCAGAGATCAGTTATGAATTAATGTATCGGATGATTAATTAATCACATTGTAGTGTTAGTTTTGTGTGGGTACCCACTAACCGTTCACGTGGCTTTTCAGGCCGCATAGCAGACAAGGCGCTGTGTGAGAAGCACAGCTCACAGTGTGGCTGCCAAGGCCCCGACGTGGCGGGGGAGGCCCATGGGCCCAGGGGGGGATGCCAAACCACGGCGGCCTCCCGGGACCACAGGGAGGATGGCAGGGAAGGACGGCGGGAGGGAGTGGCACCTGCGCTGCCCAGCCACAGCGGCAGGCCGTTCACAGTGGCATCATGCGGTAGTGGCGGTGGGACCGGTGATGGAGGTGATGCTTTGCAAGGAACGAATCGCTCGTCTGTGTTTGTGGGCTGCGCTGCTACCCCATTGAGTGGCACTGCTGGTGGTAGAGCTGGTTGTGGTGTGGCCTCCCAGCCGCACTGCCATGGAGCCACAGATCCCCGTCACTACCCTCCGGCAAGGGGACTCATTAAGAAGCAAGCAGACGGTCGGTGTGGACAAGGGGTTGAGAGACGTGCGGACACGCAGGAGATGCAGGCGCACTGGCCCTCGGACGATGTCATGCCGAAAGATGGCAGTGCAGGGCGTAACGTTATTAGCCACGTGACGTCGCTTCTCAACAGCATCCGCCTGCGGCCAATTCGGCAGCTCACGAAGAACGCGGTGGTGAGTTGGTGGACTCGCCATAGCTGACAGCATTATACATACAGTGTGGTAGTCACATGGCATGCAAGTCATAAAACTAAACCCTTTCTGTGAGTGATAAGAAAACCCCTCCTCATAATAATATAATGCTTGCAGATGGGAGACAATTTAAAAATCCAAGTTGGATATATGTACAGTAAAACCTTGGATTGCGAGTAACTTGGTCTGCGAGTGTTTTGCAAGACGAGCAAATTTTTAAATAAATATTAATTTGATAAACGAGCGAGGTCTTGCAATACGAGTAGTACGTATACGCTTTGTCTGCTGAACGTCACGTGATCACAACTGATATACGAGTGCCTTGATATACGAGTGCTTTGGATTACAAACACGTTTCCGGAACGAATTATGCTCACAATTCAAGGTTTTACTGTATGTATTTTGAACTTCACACGAGGTAGCCAACCATGCTAATCGGAGGTGCTCAGAAACAGTAGGAAGAAAGGTACAACTCCCATCCATATGCCTTGCATGCATGCCATGTAAACAATAATATGGCCACATGTTTAGCTCTTCTGAGCTGGTGGATTCGACAAGGCTGACAGAATTGTACATGCAATGTGGTGGTCACAAGACATGCCTGCATGGCATATGGATGCGAGTTGTACCTTCCTGCTGTTTGTAAGCAGCACAGCTTTACATGTTGTTAAATGTAATGCATACAGCTGCATCAAGTTCATTTTGTCTGGTAACGAATTGTGTTTCGGTTAGGTGAGCGTGCTGGAAGATGGAGAGGTGTGTCTGGAGTTCCTGAAGGGGCGGAGTGGGCGGGAGCGAGTGCGGGAAGTTCTGCGTATCTCCAGTGATGGGCAGCAGGTGTGTTTGTGTGGAGAGCAAACGCGTGCACACTGAGTTGAATATAAACCACAGGTTAATAATGCTTCTGGGTTATCAAGAATTTCCTGGAATTGTTAATTGTTATGAAATAGGTAATGCCTACGTATCACATCGGCATCTTATCAGCTTTATTCAATATAAGCAAGCTCGGGACCGGTTTCAACATTCAGTCTCATCAGCAGTCAGGTTTGAACCATAGCTGGATGACTGCGTAATGCTGATAGGCTTAATCGTTATTTAGTATCATTGTTATGGTCATTTGTCTTTTATATAATTGTCCATTTACCTGACAACCCTTATTTAGAGGTTTGGTAAAGGCCTTATAAGAATTCCCCTTGAGCCATAGCAAGCATGTCAGGTTACCTGCAACTTGTCAATTGCTCTAATAAGTTAATGGTGATCTGTCCTGTAAGAGTAGTCCAGGTTCTGAGGCAAGATGAGCCATTCACAAGTAGAGACATCATCACAAACTCTGGGGAGAGGTGTAAGTGTGTTTACATAACTTGGCGAAATGGCTTCCTCAGATCCGCCTATATCAGCCCAACGAAGGTCGAGGCTTTCCCCTGGACGACCGGCCTTCATCACCCCCAGAGGAGGTCGTTATCTACTCCTATCACACACTTCCAGGTAAAACGACAACAAACACACCTCACCCATGGGTCTGAGTATCGGCCGACCTCGTTGACTCGCCCACTTGCCCAGTTACCCAGCCACCCAGCCAGAAAACCACCCAACCAAATCCACCCAGCTACGCAGAGGGATATGGAAAATGTGCACCATTTCGATTTAAAGCTTTCGTGACTGCAGGGATTCATATTCTTGGTTCTTTCGGTAAAGTCACGTAGAAGGGAAATAATAAACCACAGCAAGAACATTTTCTTGCTGTGGTTTTCACACCTGATGATTGCTTGTGTTGCGATCGAAACGTCGTGAGAATTGTATTGTTTTATTTTTATTATTTTATTATATCCCTTCTACGTGACTTTACCAAAAGGACCAAGAATATGTGCACCATTGTTTAATCTACCACACAGTGTGGCATTGAATCTGTAACTTTTAGATTGTGAGTCCAGTGCCCTAACCATTATACCACAGCAACTCCAGTATCTGAGGAGAAATGTGAGTGGCACTGCCCTGGCCACACGTGGCTGTACAGTTGTAACTGATGTCCATGTCGAATTGTGCGTGCGCTGTGTCCCGTCCTGCTGCTAGAGACCTACTGGAAGAAGTACAAGTACGCTGCTAGGTTTGTGCAGCTGGTGCGCTCCAAGACGCCCAAGGTGACGCTCTACACCCAGCATGCCAAGTGCACGCTCATGGAAAATTCTCCTCAACCGGACTTCGAAGCTTGCTTCTATGATGGTAGGAGGTGGTGTTTTTGTTTTACACTTTCCAACTGAGGTTAAAGCGTTATGTGTTTCTGTAATGCAGGGGCACAGTAACTCTCGTGATGATCCAAAATAAACAAAACTTTGTTGTCATTATAAAGTTGTGTTGCTAACAAAAACTTATCCTTTATAAAACCTGGACAAATTGATCGACGGGTTAACCCATGGCTTCCCTTGGCAGAGCCACTATCCGTACCTTGTTGTATCATTACGTTCTATAGTCGTACTGCCTCATGCGTGCCTAGCGCAAACAGTACAGTTATCGCTAATTGTAAACTTCCCAGGACAAACGCATGTTTGAAAGTGAAATAAAATCCATGCACTTGCATGATTTTTCTTCCTTGTTCAAAATCAGTTTTTGTATTGAAATGGCTCAGGGAAATTGTGGGTGGGGATTTCTCAAGTTCCTTAAAAGTATAGTTCAATAATTTTCTCCTCAAATGAGTATTGAGGTGGTGTTCATTGCCGGTTTACAGCCTTGAGCTAGTGGTGGAAATGTATTCATATGACAGGGGAGAGTCTCTCCATTGGACAACCAGTGTCGAATTTCATGCAAAACAGTAATAGTTTGATGGACCCTGAAGGGATTATGGTCCTAGTCAACCCCCAATCAGGGTTTGAACTTGCAACCTTACGATTGTGAGCCCCTCGCTCTACCACTGAGCCAACTGGCTATTGCAAAAACTATGATTGCTGTATAGAAACAATGAGCTTCGCAGGAGCAGTTGTAGTGTCACTTTTGTATGAGACCCGCTCACGTGAGCTTACAAACGTTTTCTCAATTCTCGTCAGGAGCCAAGGTTCACCGGGGTGGTGAAGCCAGCATGCGTGTGATTGAGCCCTCCGGCAGGCTCAGCGTGCTCGATGGCTCTGTGGCCATGGATGGAGTGGGGGCGGCCGAGGGAGTGAGGACGTACTTGTGTCACGCAGAGCAAGTGAGCACCTCCACCATCACCCACAGATGTTTGTGTTTGATAGTGTAAAGACGACTTGACACACTTCTCTGGAGATGGCACTTTATTGAAGACACGTTCACTTGACACAGGCGGAGACCCCACTGCAACAGCCCTGAATCTCCCACGCATCTTCCTTATATACGGACCGAGGCCACGCCCCCCTTCCCGAACCTTCTCGCTGACTCTGGACGCTCGCTCCACCAGCAGATTCTACCGTTCTCTTCCGTCACCTGACCGCGCTCCCTTCTCGATCATTCCCGTAGCCACCAGTCCCTTCGCGCTCAAAGCTGACACCCCTGTCATTACCTCCCGTGGCCACTAGTGCATTTGCACTGTAGGCTGACTCCCCTGTCATTACCTCCCGTGGCCACTAGTCTACTCACACCACATGTAGACTCTCCTGTCATTACAATAGCATAGCTTGGCTGTGGAATGCTGGATGCAGGCCTGCCCAGAGGAAGAGTGATTTGCCCTGAGCCTCGCACAAAGAAGGGCCCCACTATGGGCCTGATTTTTGTTGATAATGATTAAAGGGCCCCACACGTGGCATTTTGCTCCAGGAAACAGGGAACCCAGGCTGGACAAATGCTCTCATTCATTGTCATTAATTGTGGCAAAGTAATTGTTATTTATCTTGGATGTTCAACATAGCATATGACCAATCTAATCTAAAATCTCCGTCTACAAATTGGCCACTTGATTGAACAGTGGCTTGGATCATCACGGTACATTTTTATGTCACCTATTTAATGTTTTTCTTTTTAAGGCCACATTGGTTATTATTACACATTGCTTATTATTTGTTATTTTTACTTGTGCACCACTGACAAATTATCACCAAATAACGTTTTTATTTAATAAATTTCATGTGTGTGGCTGAGCCAGGTGTACAGGCAGTGTGTGGCACTGGAGGCACTGATCTCGGCACAAGAAGACAAGTGTCACCCCAGCATCTGCCTCTTCCCAATCACGGTCTCCAGGTGGGCCCTCGCACTGTCTCATCTAAGGGCAACAGCAGCAGCAGCAGCGTGGTGCAATGGTGACACTTGTGCCTCACAGCAAGAAGTGCCTGGGTCTATTCCTGACTCTGGTGCATTTCTGTGTGGAGTTTGTATGGTTTATTGCATGGGTTTATTCCATGTTCTCCTATTTTGCTACCTCGCCTGGTATCCAGGAGGTGGTCGCGGCACTTATACATTTCGATCAAAGAGTAAGATTATATATGACTGATGTGATTCACACATGTGCCGATATACTCTGGTGTTAGTTCTTTCGGTAAAGTCATGTGACTTTACCGAAAGAACTAAACAGTAATTCCTGCGGTCACGAAAGCTTCAAATCAAGTTTATACTCTGGTGTATTTGCTCTATGTAACACAGGATAATTCCCTTTTGTTCTTCCACCCATTAACCCCCTGCCAGGCGCCCCTTATACATTGTGAATCCCCTACCAGCGGAGTCAGCGTCCCCTGCTACCCAAGAGGGGGTCACAAGGATGGTCCAGCCCCCCTCTCCCAGCCAAGCGCCGGCCCTCACCCCCTCTGTACGTGAGCCCCACGGCGTGTGGTTCCTTGCTTCTGCCACACCCTGTACAACACCGACGTGTACAAATGCTAGACAGCTGAGTACAGGGCCAAAGGCCCAAATTGTCAAGTGGTCAGCAACAAGCAGCAGTATTAAAGTTATAATAGAGAAGAGTGTAACACGTTTCTTTATTTGAGCAAGGTTATTATAAGAGCTTAAGAAATGAGACGAAGGGACAGAATTACAAAGTGGGGCAGCGCGAGGGAAGGAGCAAAAAGAGAAATGTTTTGACCTGCAGTGTGGTGGGTGGGTGGATGAGTGTGTGGGTGAATGGGTGGGTGATGTTAGTGTGTTGTTGTGATCTGCATTATGGCAGTTGAAGAGTGTGGATGAGACAAAACAGTCAGTCTGGTAGACAGAGTCCTCATTATAGTGGAGGAAACATGTTAAACCCATAGGAACTGTATCCATGGTAGTAGTAATCGAAAAGTGATGAGGGAGGCGACTGATCGCCAGTGAGTGAGTGAATTAGAAAATTCTAGAACATTTAACCCGACTGCTTTGTTGAAATCAAGCGCAGTTCCGTCAATGCAGGCTGTATTGCACACAGCTCCATGTATTATCATTGTTGTAGGACATCTCGCCATTATTTCATTGCATCTCACGCTTTCAGATGCACTTCTGCGGCTGTCTGGAACGCTCTTCCGATATTAGGAAGCCACTGGAGCTATGCACTTTTAAATCTAAATTGAAAACTAATTTCTTTATAACTGCGCACTTCCAATGAGCATGATTGACTACTTATGTTTGTTGAACTTCTTTCGCACAGTACTGTAGTTTGTGTGATGGTGTATGCTCCTTGACGAGATCAGCAAGGTATTGTGGCAAGCAGGTTGTGTGTAATGAGTGCAACCTTAAAATGTATTATTTCGGCAACCAGAAGCCAATGCAGCTCGGCGAGCACTGGACATAGTCGGATCCATCTCGTGCTTGCTGAGCTGCATTGGCTTCCGGTACAGTGTGAAAGAAGTTCAACAGACATACATATATACATATGTAACCAAGTAGAGTTGAGCGCGACTATCGGTCTCGCTTGTTGTTTCTGCAGATGCTGTTGTTTGACGGGAAGGCCATGTCGGAGGCCTCGAGTCCCGTGTCGCTGGGCGGTTCGTCAGCGTGTGGCCGTGCGGAAGTTGTCCGCTCCGTGTTCGTGCCGCTCGTCGGCTGGGCCTCACAGGTGAACACTCCACTCCCTGCGTAGACACACAGCGTTGCATATCCATGATCAGCTGTGCTCATGGATGGGGGGGGGGGGTGCAAAAAGGGACAGTTGCTTCCACGCCCCCCCTCCCTCCCTTTAACAGCTGTTGGATGTCATAGACCCGTTCTTCTCAACCCAATGGTTATATGCCCCCTGTGAAAGTTTTTTTGTGGAGGGCTATATATTTACAAGTTGCCCCCTCTAAAATGGTCTGTTTATAAACAAACCATCATTGGAGTAGTCCAGCAATCCAGGGGAGACCTAAGACAAGATAATGGGATTTTGTAAGGGCAGAAGTCACTGTATTTACAGCACAGCCACTGTGGGATCTGGCGTAGAGCAGAGAGGTGGTAGCGAGGAGGTGCGGTGGAATCATGGCCACGATGTCTCGATCTTCATCATCAGCCAGACTGCCCTGAGAAACGACAGGCCATGCTTGTGGGGAATTGGAGAGTGAAATCACGCACATTTGTGGTTGTTTGCTATATAACATGTCGTAGCATGTACTGACACTTTCTTTTCCGGTGTTGCGGTGGTCAGTTGGCATCAGGCGAAGTGTGGGTGCACTTTAACGAGGGCTGCCGGATGCAGGTGCATCCCACCGCCGCTTCCATCGCATTTACCGACTCCCTGGGAGTCACCAGCAGGTCAGCCGCGTTCCCAACAACTCCTGCAACACGCACTAAACCTGTCATAACCAGAGCACGGGATGGTGTCTTCACTTTAAGGGAAGCTGGATAGCCATTGAGTGGCATCCAAGGATGGAACGCACCCAAGAGAACGTGCACCGACAGGATGGAGCACAGAATTGTGAGAGGGTAGCACTGGCTTGGGGAGGGCTTCATCGAGCAGTAGATTGGTGGTTGATGATGGTTGGCCAAGTCACAGTGATTTCCTTCTTGAATGAACATCGAGGTGGTTGCTCATCTCTTGGTACTGCCCTACAGAGCCAGTGGTGATTTGTTTTGCATTCCTGTGGTGGGTGGGACTGTCCATAAGTCATCCACTGTAGACTTCATCACAAAGTGGAGCTCATTTTATCATCTCTGGAAGGATGATCGACTAAGTCAATCCCTCCAAACCAGGATTTGAACTCGCAGCCTTTCAATTGCTTGCCGCTCATTCTACCAGAGCCACCTGGCAGCAATGGGAATTTGATTAATTGCTTCCAAGCATCCCCGTGCTTGAACGTTCCAGTGGCCCTCCCCCTGCCCTGCTGGGATTTTTCTGCATGCAGACTGCCACAGGGTGGTGGTCGAGTGGACATAGGGCCACCTTGAAATTTCTGGAGGCCTGGGGCAGAATGTCACGTGAAGAATGGGGGGTGCAGCGGTGGTGGGAGTGGGGAACCCTTCCACCATCCACAGGCCCTGGTGTGCGGTCCCCTTTTTTGTGAGCACCGGGGTAAATTGGCCCTGAGTGGATGCTGATGTGGCTCTGGCAATTCGTGTGCAATACAGGTTCTCCCAGAAGGATCAACTCCCTGAGCAGCTCAAGGACCGGCTGCAGATCTTGCCGAGAGTTGTGGAGTTGCTGGCGACGTCGGGGCTGGGAGCCGGCGCTACCTCCATCACTCATGACACCGCAGGAAACGCTGGGTCAGGCATCCCGCCAGGCTCGAGAACAGGGAGGACACGCGGGCGTTGTGGTGGACATAGGCTCTGAGCCGTCGTTGTGGTGTGCCCAAGGCTTGCATTTCTCACTGCTGAAAATGTCTGGTCATTGGTGGATAAGGGTATACACATGACTAGTAGCCATGGAGAAAGGTGTACTGAATGTGGTGGACCATGTGTGGAAATATATGTCAAACCTGGCTGAAAATAAGTCGTACGTGAGGCCAAAAAGAACAAAGCACTTCGGTCTTGCAAAGCCTCTTGTGCCAGTGCGTGCATGTGGGGATGCATGAGGGTGCACAGGAGAGGCGCAACCGCTGCTTGCATTTGGCATCTCCTGGAATGTCGTCTTACCTATTTAGGTGCAGTACTGGTTTTAAATAAAGCGGTATTAACTCTGGTGCTTTAAATCAGCTACAATGTGGCTACTCGTTCAGTTTGTAAAGCTAACCTCGTATTTTTTGAACACTTAAATCTTTCTATTTCATATTTATATTTTTATACTTTTCCTTTCCCAATGTTTTATTAAAGATGTGCTTATGTTGTGAGAATGGCATTATGCATTTTTGTACATAATGTTGAAGTGGGAAAAAAAACTGCCTGAATAAAAGATGACTGCCAAAAAGTTTTATTTTACATTTGTCGAAAACAGTCAGTCACCTTGGCTTTACAAAAGTCATCCACCACAAACTTATCAAAAACTATAGGCTACAGGTCAATAGACACGTGTGCACAGCTTTTAAAAAATACAAAGCTTTCCACTGGGACAGACAAATCAAAGACAAACCCGTAATGTCCAGACTTTTAATAATTACTTATTTACCCATACAAGTCAGAGGCTGAATACTTCTTGAGATGGGTCCTGCTATATTGGGAAGTTTGGCCAACACGAATGACACTGTTTCTCAATGGGTGGAAACCCACGCAACAGGATTCAAATATATACTCTTTGGTTCTTTGGGTAAAGTCACGTAGGTATAAAATAAATCATGACGTTTCGGGTGCAACACTAAGCGTCCGTCAACAGGTGGGAAAGCATGGTCTGCTGCTGAGGCAGACTTTTAAAAGGTTTGAAATGGGTGTAGCCCAAGGGTCAAATAAGTGATGTTAATGTGAGAAATTATCATGTAACTGTAGGATAGGAGAGCGGCCTCCTCGACGAGGGAGTGCAACCCAACGGGTGCAATCCAAAGGGAATGTGGGTATGAAGTGCAATCCAAAGGACGTGTGAGCATGAGAGTGCCATCCAAAGGCATGAGGGTGCTATGCAAAGGACATGTGAGCATGAGAGATCTAAGAGAGGCATAGAGAGAGACCCAGAGTCGGAAATAACAGCTGACATAGGCAGGTAGGACAGAAACATCACAGTCAGTTAAGACTTTACCTGGTTAATATGTTAATGTCAGCTGTTATTTCCGACTCTGTCTCTCTATGCCTCTCAGATCTCATGCTCACGTCCTTTGCATTGCACTCTCATGCCTTTGGATTGCACTCTCATACCCACATTCCCTTTGGATTGCACCCGTTGGGTTGCACTCCCTCGTCGAGGAGGCCGCTCTCCTCCTATCTTACAGTTACATGCTAATTTCTCACATTAACATCACTAGCCCCGGCCACTTCTTTATGACCCTTGGGCTACAACACCCATTTCACACCTTTTTAAAGTCTGCCTCAGCAGCAGGCCACGCTCTCCCACCTGATGACGGACGCTTGTGTTGCGCCCGAAACGTGATTTATTGTATTTTCTACCTACGTGACTTTACCGAGAGAACCAAAGAGTATGGTTTCCTGTAGTCAGGAAAGTTTCAAATCAAGAAAGGATTAGAATATACAAACTAAACGCAGAGAGGCCCGAGTCGGTCATCGAACTCGGGTCCTTCATGAATGAGGTACAAGTGTACACTGCAATGGAAATGAAATGCCCAAGGCAAATGTATAGCTGGGGAAAACCATGGGTATAGCTTTTCCACGGTCCCTATTATAGTCTATGGGCATTACTTTTTCTGATTAATTCAAGTCCGTCCCCTTTTCACACCGTGAACAAACACACCGCGAGACGCAACCACGATCTCCCGCTCAAGTGAGCTCATCCACTAAGCGACACATGAACGCATCCTTGTCGCTCATGGCACCATTTGCCTCTTTGCCCGCATTCGGCGTGGGCCCTGTCTGGCCCAGCGGGCCCGGCCCGGGGTGGCTCGGTGAGCGGGGCGTCACCTCCATTGGTTCCTCGCTCGGCTCCACCTTCACGCTCGCCGTACACGTGGCCTCTCCTCCCCCCGTCCCCGCCGTTGCTGCCGTCTCCCCAGCGCTGCCGCCGGTCCCCTCTCCACCACCGCCCAACGCCGCGAGGCAGCCGGACAGGAGGTCGCGCACGGCGTCGAGCTGCCGCGAGAATCGTTGCGCCGTGTCGAGCCGCGTGCGGCGCTGCACCTCGAGCAGGACCCGCAGCGTCTCGCGCGCCTGATGCGGCCGGAACTCGTTGACGAGGTGGTGCATGTGCACGAAGAGCAGCTTCAGGTCCTCCAGTTTCTCGTCGCGCCGCACGCTGCTCGGCCCGCGCACCAGCACGTCGAGCAGGTCCAGGAAGTTGACGAGGATGGACACGTTGAGTTTCTTGAGCTCGCGCTTGTGGTCCACGTCGGGTGGGTAGAGGCGGGCGATGCCCTGGCTCTCCAGCGGGCGGATGATCACGTCGTCGCAGTGGAAGGGGTTCCCGAACATGAGGTAGTGGTCGCGGAGGGGCGGGGGGGGCCGCGGGGCAACGCCGCGCCGCACCGCCTCGTCCGTGTACTCCTTGGCGTAGTGCATCGGCGGCAGAGGCAACGAACTCACCTGCCGGGGGGGGGGGGGGGGCGAGAGGAGGACTATCGGTCACTTACGGCAGCCAACGTCTGGTGGTAGGGGACAGACCTGGTCTGAGAAACTGTTCGGGTTTGGTCTGTGCGAATAGTGCCAACCACCAGACTCGCACCGTGAACGACAGCGGCCCACGGGCTCGGAGAGAGACGAACAGACACAGACGAACATCCACTCAGACTCACAAAGCGACCCACACACTCGCACACACTTACACGACTTGAGTGAAGGCGCTCTATAAATACGACGGCAGCGGAGGCGTGTTGTAAACATTTTCACCTGCTGAGACTCGGCCATGGTGGCGGCGGTGGTGGCGGGAGGACCGAGCCCGACGAAAAGCAGCCGAGTCCAACCTCAGGCGGCCCGACTCGCGGCGTCTCCCTCGGCCCAGGCCGCCAGGCGGCGGTGCCTGCGGGGGGGCGGTAACGAGCGCGGGGGGACGCCGGGAAACGTTTCCCGACGAGGGATGATGGCGGGGTGCGATCACGCGGGGTAACGCTGAGTAACGCACGCGAACTGTGGAGGGGTAACGAGGGAGAGTGGAGGGTAACGTGGAGCCGCACTTCTCCAGGCGTTATCCGTGACCCCGTGACGCCACTTCCTCCTGACCCCGTGACGCCACTTCCTCCTGACCCCGTCACGTGACGGCGTGCAGAGAGGGGCGGGGCGAGGGGAGGGGCCCGGAGCCGGACAGAGCCCCCCCCCCCACCAGCATCACCGCCGCCACCTCCACCACGAATCATTCACGCAGCAGCAGCATCACTGCACGACCACGATTACAGCATCACCACCTCCACCACCATCAAAACAGCATCAACAATAACAGAATCGCCACCATCATCGCAGCACCACCACCAACCACCATCATTTCATCGATCACTCGGATCGGCCCTGCAAAGCCGAGGAGACGATGTGAGCTCATGAGAGCGAGGTGCGTGTGTGGGTGGTGTGTCTGGGTGCGCGTGTCTGTCTTCTGTCTGTGTTTGTCTTGTTGTGACTCGGTGTGTGCGGAGCGGCGGAGCAATGGTTAGCGCACTGAGCTCTGACCCCGGCGACCCGAGTTTTGACGATTATCTGAAACGGTCATGAGCCTCCACTACGTCGACTTCGCTTCAAATGACGACCTGCCGCGATGTGTAGACATCGCCAATGGGGAGACAAAGACGGTCGGGCGTGGTGTTGGCCACCCACCCATTCGTTTGCCTAGTAATCTGTTAAGGCTGTACGGGGCATCTTTGTGTGATCCCTGACCGCACGTGACCCGCGTGCGATGGTTCTCAAACGATAGCCGCTAAACCGGGTTCGAAAGTGAGGAACCAGGAGTATTCGTTCCCAGTGGAACATTGGGAGTGAATGCCATCATCGTTGGCACGCGTTGACCTACAAACGGCACGGCGCCCCAATTCATCGCTTAGTACATTCGCCTTCGTTTTCTCAGTGGAAAACTAAACGTGTGTTGCTACACATTTATTTGTGCGTAAAACAGGTAACCGGTCCGTTTTTGCAGCTGTAAAAGGTTCTTGCGATGCATGTAACAATAACAGGCCCAGTCCCCGTGTCTCTGCGTGGAGGTCGCGCCGGTGATGACGGGGAGGTCGGAGGCCCTGACAGCCGGGCTGGCGCGCCTGGTGGGGCTCACCACGGGGCTCCCAGACTCCAGCCCGGCCTTGCCGCGCCTCCTGTGCAAAGTCCAGGCCCGACTCGGGTAAGGGGACCAAGGACCCTGGGTCAGGGTCAAGAGGTCATCACGGTCGCACATCGCCACCGCTGCAGTTCATTCAGCCAGGTTGTGAAGTCATGGATCCCGTGAATTTCACTCGTTCATTCCTTCCCCCATGTGGACGACTACTGGACTGCATGACGAGTTTGTCTCACCGACACTGTGTTCAACCACCTGGCACACCACTATGCCTCGTGCTCTGGCTGTGTGGCTTTGCAGTGGGGAGCTGGAGCTGGACCCAGACGAGCGACGACTGCAGGCCGCTGTGGACAGGTGAGCGCCGCTGCTGCATTCGACTGGGCCCAGCAAGGCCAACCCTTTCACACAGACGGGGGTTGTGACGCGGCCCAGCGCTGCGGAGGTTCGCAGTTACAATCCGGCGGGCTGCCCTGGCTATTACTGCGGGTGGGTGTATCATGTGCGTGTATATGTGGGAATATTAACCTGATAAAACTCCATGTGCGATTCAGAGTGAACGCGATAGATCCTGCGACGTCAGTCGAAGAAGAGTCCATTATGTGCTGGCTTCACGCTCCATGATTGCCGAATTCTCAAGCTTGCTCTGCAAATCACTTAATTGGAAAACACAGCAACATCGCCCCCTACTGCAAGAACTTGGCAGCACGCTTAACAAATATTGTGAGGCTTTCCTTGGTAAATAAGTGTAATAGATCAGATGTTCCACACCGGTGAGGTTAGTGCATCACAACAGTAATTATCTGGGTTCGATTCCCAACTTTGTCACCTGTGTGGCATTTGTATGTTCTCCCCTATTCTGTCGAGTGAGTGTTGTGGGAGTGTGTGTATCAGTGTATGAGTGGAATTTGTATGTTCTCCCCTTTTGCATGGGTTTCCTCCGGGTTCTTCAGTTTCCTGCCATGGCTAAAAGCATACGTCGTTGATGTTGGCCAAACATCCTAACGCCAGACGCCCTGAAGACAAGTCTTGAGACTCGGTGTGACTCTCCTGGGTGAATGGGCGATGATTGATCTCACGGAGCGCTAATCACGCTGGCCCTGCCCTGCAGAGTGCACGAGGCATTCGTCACTCTCTCGGAGCCGGACAAAGCTGCCGCCTGGAGATCCCAGATTGCGAGAATCTGCCAGGACACCGTCCCCACGTTTCCCAGGGCAAGATACGCCGCTGAGCACACATGCGCGAACACACACGCCACAAACCAATTATCACACTTCACACGTAGGTTTGAACAGCCATAGGAGGAGTCATAATTTACTTTTGGGGGAGGCAACATGATAGTAATCTGGCCATTTTTTTTTTTATCTCGAAACTCTCCACTACCCAGCAGAGCCTAAAAATTGTCATGCTTACCAGCGTTTAGTGATTCCTCAGTTGTTATTGTTTCAGCATTGAGTTGCAGAATTCTCACAGCCACAAATTACATGTGAAATGTTTTGTTTGAAACTGCGTCAGACATCCTCAGGTTTAATAGTAACCAATAAATGGGTACTATAGTAATTTTCACAATCAATTGATGATTATGAAAGCCAGGGACTGGTAATTTATTCCAGAGGGATTTTTGTAATAAATTTACTGATTGGCACGTGAAAACGTTCAAACAGCATGGCAGCAGGCAGGCCTAAGTCACTGCTTGCTACATTTGATCTGGTTTCTCAGGTCATGTCCTGTTGCCGTGATCTTGCTGGGACCACAGGGTCGGTTGTTAAACTTAGCAGCTTGTTACTCTGCATTGTGTTCTGCTCACACTCGCCCCCCACACAGCACACAAAGATCCAGGAGCCAGCCTTTGAAATGCAGTGACTCCCTTTTGCCTACGACCCCATTTGACGAGAGACGGCACGCCTCGCTCAGCTCCCTAACAGAAGCAGGGGCACAAATTTCGCAAATAGATGCTAATTCAACTTTACTAAATTCAGGTTATAACGAAGGATCACTTTGATTGAAATTTGAATCTCGGAGCTCCGCATGAGCATGCCTCGGCACTCGGCGCCCCACGTGGCTCTGAGCCGGAGGTCTTGCCCGCGTGGGCGTGTCCACCCGAAGTGGCAGGGCCTCACAGGCAGTACACACGCACAGCTGTCGCACGCACACCCTCGACTCACTCTCCCCTGTGCTGCTCGCCGCAGGTGGAAGTACGCTGTGCGATGGTGTCGCTGCTCGTTGCCCTGGCTGCTCCCGCAGGCTGTCCCAGTCACCTCCTGCCTGCGTCCGCCCTGCCTGCCTCCACTTCGCTCCTAGGTACCATAAAACCCTGGCTTGCCATTCTAATAGGGCAGGGGGAAATCCCTCAAAGTATAACGAGCTGGCTTCTAATGAGCACCAATGAAGCCTTACTCAAGTGAATTACCTAAAAAATTTGATTTATAAATTGAACATGAATACACCCAGCTGGTGGGCAAGCGGCAGAGTGAGCAACTAGCAATCGGAAGGTTGTTAGTTCATATCCGGTTTAGGGGGATGACTTGGCTCATCATTCTTCCCTCCGGGGTCAATAAAAGAAGTACAACTTTGTGTAGAAATCATCAGTAGTCCTATGAGAAAGACTCACCTCTGACGTCGGAATGTTGGAATTTACACCACTAGCTCCGCAGGGCTGTCAAAAGGAGATGGATACCAATGCATCTGCTCATTTGAGCAGCACGAAATCACTTTATAATGAACGACTATGTGCTGCTTTATTTCGAGACCATCTGGTTGTGTATGCTCCTTCGCTTGCAGCAGCAAATCAAGCTGAGGGTTGCCACCTCTTCCACAGAGCAAAACAGACATTTCTAGTCAGCCAAGGTCTATTAAAACTTGCAGTAAACTGTCATAAAGTTCCACATAATACCACGAGATGTTAAACCTTTTTAAACCTATTTTATTTAGCAGGTAAAGCCCACTGAGCTATGAGCTCTTTTGCAGTGGCGTCTTGGCCACACATGACAGCTGATTGAATGGGCTGATACCGTCACATGGGAATTTATAGTAGCACCTAAATAATCTAATAGAAAATCCGTGTGACCACCATGGGGAGAGAGATTACGCGGACTCCAAATATACAACTGGCATCATCAGGGTCTGGGATCGAACCTACGAGCTGCGTACCGGGCGAGGGAGATAACATCTCCTCGCCACGGCAGATGTTGATTAAAAAAACAATTCCTACAGCAGGAACACAAATGCTAATTCCTCAGAATGTCCAATTATTAATCCCATCAGCCATACAGCCTTATGGGAGTGCATAATTTCAGCACCACTGGCACCATCGGCACACCCAAACTCAGTGTCTCATCAGCATAATCAGGCTCGCTGGTAGACTGCGAGATGTGTTTATTTATCTGCAAGGGTCCTCTCTGTTAGACAGGGGTCCTAGCCAAACATTGACAGGAGGCTACGCTAGTGGAGCTGCATGACATCTCGCCCACACGCGCGTGCTTACCGTTGTCTCGCTGCTTCCTCCTCCTCCTTTCCCTCTTGCTCTCTCAACGGCGCCACTTGGCTTTCCACTCTCTCTCTGGCTGGCTGGTAAGCTGATGCCGCTGTCTGTGGGGTGGGGAGTCGGTGGCCTGCGAAGGAAACGACTTCCATCCCTACCGGCCATGGTTCCGTACGTCACTACAGCCAGCACAGCTTGTCTCTGTTCTCCTGCCTACCTTGATTGTTCACCCTGCGGCACAACACGTGTTTATCTTAACGTCTCCCAACTGCCTATGTCACTGTTTCAACTTTATCAGTTTATACAGTTTTCTCCTTTACCTCCAATTGCCTAAAAAGTAATATATTTTTAAGTAAAACATCCTACACATAATTGTAACCGGTATTGGCCACACATCCGCAATGCTGAGAAATGACATGCAATTTACTCAGTTTCGATTACAGACAGCAGCGGTCATTGCACACGACTGCAAACAACTTGGCAGGACCCTTCTAAAAGAGAGTTGAGACTCCGTGAGGCATTCCTGGTAAACTGTTGTCATGGGTAATCCCAATTGAGCAACCTGCAGGCAACTTTCAGCATTGAAATGTCTGGTCAATACCAGTTCCGCTTTGTGTGTGTGTGTTTAGATATGGGAGGAAACCTGAGACCCCAGGGAAAACCCATGCAGAACAGGGGGAGAATGTACAAACACAAAAAGGCACCTGAGTTGAGAATTGAACCCAGGTGCTTCTTGCTGTGGGACATAAGTACTATCACAATGCCACCCTGGTTTCCAGGTCCGTAGGTGTTTATATTCGTGTTGTGTGTGCGCATGTACGTCCAGGACTTCTCAGAAAGTGAGGACTTCTGCCCAGATGAAGGAAAGGAGTTGCATTTGCAGCCATTCAGCAGAGAGGACTCAGGCATTCAAGTGGATGTCACACCCTCAGAGGAGGCTCCCTCGCAGCCAAGGCTTCAGAGTGTGCAGTGGATTGGTGAGTGGTTGGTTCATGAGTGGGTGGTGGGTGAGTTGATGGGTGGATGCAGTGGTTTTTGTGACCGTGCACTGTGTGTGCGCTGCGCAGCAACTCTATCCGAGGACCGGCGGTGGCTGGAGAAGAGCGTTGTGCAGCAGTACTGGACGGCGCCCAGGAGAAGTGCCCAGCACAGCTGTCACCCCAACGCCAGCCTGGCCTCCACATGGTGGCAACCACCCTCACACGCATGGGCACGGGGGGTTGTGTGTGTGACGTCACTCGTGTTTGTGTGTGAGGTTACCTGTGTGTGTGTGTGAGGTCACCCTTGTGTGTGTGGTGGTGAGGATCACTTGTGTGTGTGTGGTGGTGAGGGACACCTGTGTGTCTGAAGTCACCTGTGTGTGTGTGGTGGTGAGGGACATGTGTGTGTGAGATCACCTGTATGTGTGATGGCGAGGGTCACCTGTGTGTGTGGGGACACCTGTGTGGGTGTGTGTGGTGGCGGTGGTGGTCCTCACTGGGGTGCACTTGAGTGTGTGGTGGAGGGCACCTGTCTCGTTGGACATCATCCGTGCTGCTGGGGGTGGCCTCTGGCAGTGAGGTGGACGTGTGATTGTCAAAGTCATCTGCGTGTACCGACTGTCACCTGTCGGTCATGCAGGAACCGGCACCTGCTCGCCACGGAGCCCCTGGCTGCCCCGCGTGACCACCTGGTGCTCACCGAGGCTCAAGTTGTCCGGGAAACGCTGTGGTGAGAGGCTGCTCATTAACAATACCGGTTTTGACATTTACTGTCTCATCAGCACAGTCATGCTTGCTCAAACCAATGCTGGTGAACTCCTAAATGTGTATAAGCAAGGGCCCTTTCAGTTAGATTAGCTCCCAGAAGGCCGTGGGTCTGATGGGATGTGTACAACACACTTATTTTATATGTGGAAGAACAGATTTGTGAAGCAGGCAGAGTGTCTGTTTCTCTGGTATGTTGATTTAATGAGACTATACTGAACAATTCGAGTGCTTTTAAACAACATTATTCAAACTATAAAACTAAAGATTAAACACGGTAAGTATTTGGTTTATTTTGGTGCTTAACAAATCAAGACAAACGTTGGGGTGTGTGCAATTGTTTGGGTGCGTTTATGGTGCACATCTGTGTGTGTGTATTGGTAATAGAGCAGTTGTGGAGAGAGTGGAGAGTTTCCCATACCTGGGTAGTGTGCTTATGACCAGCACCAGTTTGACAGTAGAGGTCTCACTCCGAAACAGTCAGGCGGCGTTATCTTTTCATCGGCTGCGCAATGCTGTGTGGAAGCTACCTGGTCTGCCGCTCCGCACGAAGCTTCGGGTCTTCTCGGCCACAGTCATTCCCTCCCTTCTCTATGCTTCTGAAACGTGGACCCCTCTAATGGAACATCTGTGCCGGTTAGACACATTCAGGCTGGCATGCCTATGATCCATCCTGGGTTTAACCAAGCTGGATTGTGTGAAGAGCTCACAAATCCTTGAAAGATCTGGACACATTCCCATCAGTGAGGTCCTCCGGCAGGCAAGTCTGCATTGGCTGGGTCATGTAGCCCGCATTCCCAGCCACCGCATGCCCAAGCAGCTTCTGTTTGGCTGCATAGAGGGGCTAAACGGGCACAACATGGGCTGGAGAAGAGATGGACTGATGCGGTACGGGAGGATGTGGAACTGAGTGGACTTGCCGACGACTGGTACCAGCGGTGTCAATATCGGCCTCTATGGGGGAGGCTCGTGAAGGACACTACTGGGCAGTTGGAGGCATTAGCCCTCCAGCAACAACGGAGGGCATAGGAGCGACACTCACAACAACGAGCGGTGCGCTGGGCGGCTAAAATACAGCAAATTGGCACAGTAGGGGGTACAGCTGTTGCATCTACCGGTCATCTCAGTCAGCCAACCCATGGCACCTGGGTCTGTCCAGAGACCTGTCAGCGAACCTTTCCACCCTTAATGTGGCCTCAAAGTTCACCTGGCCTCGCACAGGCGCGGGTACTGGCATTGGGTGTATTTATCCTGCCACCTGTCACCTGCTGCATGGCGGCTGCTGCATGACGGCTGCTGCCTGCTTCCTGCCACCTGCTGCCTGCTTGCTGCTACTTGCTGCTTGCTGCCTGCTACCTGCTGCCTGCTGCCTACTGCCTGCCTGCTACCTGCTGCATACTACCTGCTGAATTTGTTCACCTGAGCTGCCTTTTAAATGTGAGGTGCTCCACCCAAGCCTTTGTCTAAGCTCTGGCCAGGGCTGAGCTGAAACCGACTCCAGCTGCCTTGAGTCACACAGGCTGTAGCTCCAGCAGAGTAGACCCCTATTCCCACTCAATGTTGTCACTGCAGGTCGGTGCTGTTAGGTCACTTTACACAATATGTTTAAAGTCTGCATGTGTTGGTATGTGTTAGGGTGTATTTATGGTGAGTGTGTGATTGTTGGTGTGTCTGGGTGTTGGTGTGCGTGCGTGTAGGCTGCTGTCGGGTGTTCGATGTCTCTTTGTCTATCAGCTCTGCGAGGGGAAGGTGTTGGTGAGACCAGGAATCACTGTCTCGCATCTCACACCGGTGAGAATATATCTTTTGCCATCAGCATCTAATCGCCTGCTCCTCCTGCTGGCCACCACTGTCTTTAGGGCTGTAAGCAGGAGATGAGCACCAATGTCTCAGTGCTTACCTGAGCAGCTAATCACTTTGAATGTGTTAATACCAAATGTTTTGTGAACGCTTCACCAGCTCACATAGCCAAACAAATTAAATTGTCACATGTACAAGCATTTAGTTGTTCCAGCCCGTGCACCGGTAATTCGAAGAGCAATTCTCACGGCCGAATTTAGCTGCAATTAGATATATTTCTTCAGATCATCAACTAGGATGGTATTTTTTACTTCCTTCAACTCACTAGTGAGCTGAACCATATCATTTGGCGTGTTGTTAAACACTTCTACACCATGCAACATTTTTTTTTTTGGCTATGTCAGGTGGTGGAGGGCTTGGGCAGATCACTCCGTGGCCTTACCCAAGATAAATTATGACTCGTAATATTATGGAATCGTAATAGTTACAGTAATATTTATGTGCCACACAGCAATACATTCCTGGGTTCGAATCCCAATAGGGTGCCTTTCTACGTGCAGTTTGTACGTTCTGCCCCTTTTCTGCGTGTGTTACCTCTGCGTTTCCTCCCGTAGATAAACCCACACACAAAGTGGAACTGGTATTGGCCAAACATTCCCAATACGCATTAATTACCTGCGAATTACTCAATTGGGTTGGCACAGAGCAGAAACATTGCCGCTCCTGCCAAAACCTTTGCAGGACCTTCATGAAAAAGAGTTGACACTCGGTGAGGCTTTGCTGGGAAATAAGCGGAACAATAACTGCGAACGTCTGTGGGTGATTTGTCTGTCGTTTCGGCAGAGCTGTCTACGAGCTGTCTGCGAGCAATTCGCCTCCTTCGGGCAACTTGTCTTGCGGCTGCAGAAGTTTGTGGAGAGCGTGAGCCGCCCGCTGGGCCCCCGGGCAGGCCCCTGGGTGGGTCCCTGGGTGGGCGCTCACCTCCAAGGCCCCCTCACCCCGGGCCCCCACGGTCCTGGAGGGCCCCTCGGCTGGGAACGTCCCGCGGAGGACTCCGCACCCTGCCGCACCTACCAGGCCCTGGCCTGGGCCCTGGCTCGATATCTGCAGGGGTTCAAGCGGCAGCTGGCCGACGTCGAGCGCAGGGCCATCTGTCAGGGTGAGGCGCATGCCCCGCTCGGACTATCCCACGACAGCCAGCATCGGTCACGGTCGCATCAGCAGGACCGTGATGCGGCCCAGCGACAGCGCGTTCAACGCTTGTCGCGGGGTTCGTAGTTTGGATCTGGCAGGCCACCCTGTTTATTACTGCGCTCTCGTATTAACCGTGAAATACTCCGCGTTGTATGCTTCACGGTGGACGTTAAAGATCCCATGACATCATCCGCAAGAGTTACCCGTTGTGTGTGGTGGTATCCAAATTTGGCAAATTTCAGAATTTGCCCCCAAATTATCCAATTTCAATTACACATGGTGACTTCTCCCTCTCCTCGCAGATGATATACAGAACCAGCCTTCATGATAGGCTCGTGCTTAGGAATGGCATGGACACCAAATGTCTTGTGTAACTACTATTATTAATTTATATCTTAAAGATCTCCCCACTTTGCAGAGCATCTGTCCTCTACCCCAGTAGCTGTGAACATCAACTCTGCAGCGATGTTCCAGGCGAGTCCACGGACCCCATGGTGTCACCGCTTGTGCAGTGTGGCTGTATGAATCCTTCCACTCTCATGCTCTCGTTAGTTAAAATGTGCATCTTTCATTACTTTATTCAACTTGAATACAAAGCAATCGTTTAATTTTGTTCACCAGCATCAGTTCAACCGAGCCTGACTGGTGCTAAGGAGACACTGAATTTCGAAATTGCTCCCGAGTTTTGCTCATGTTGAACCAATGCTGCTGAAATGATGTTCTCCCAGAATGCCGTGTAGCTGATAGGATGTGTAAAAATTATTTTGATTTGTTTTGTGGAGAGACGGATAATAGGACCTAAGTAGGCGAAGGTCGTACATGATGAACAAACGGCGACGTCGCCTCGCATCGCCTTGCGCTGCCGCGTTGTCGCCGGTCCCCTCTGATGGACCACCCCGCCGTTTTTTTCAGAGCGGGCGGTGACGCTGGCGATGCTTCAGGCTGAACTCGCTGGACGCTTCGCCGAGCTGCGCGCGCTGCGACGCGCATTCGCCGTCGGCGTCCGCGAGGTGCCACCCGACGTACCGCACGTCGTCAAGGCCTCGCACCTCCTCAACACGCTGCTGCACGCCGTGCTGGCCGGTGACGCGCTCGGAGAGGCGGCTGACCCCTCCGTGAGCCCGCCCGCTCCCTTGCGCATCCTCGCTTTGCACTGCCATACTTGGGGATTCCCCCCCCCCATCGATAGTCTCTCGTCCGAGGGCTTATTCTTCTATCATCATTACTACACTTGCTTACCCAGAAGGGCCTCACTGAGTCTCAAGACTCTTTTTCTGGAGGGTCCTGCTGAGTGTTTGTAGTAGCGGGTGACGTTGCTGCAGTGCGTCATCCAAATTCAGTAATTTACAGGTAATTTTGCAGCATTGGAATGTTGGTTGGCCAATACCAGTTATGTTGTTTGGGTTTTTTTTACCTCGAGATTGAAGCTAGAGAACCTGGAGGAAACCCATGCAGAGCAGATGGAGAACATACAAACTCTACACAAAAAGGCACCCGAGTCAGAAATCGAACTAAGGCCCTTTGCTGTGAGGCTGCAACCCTGCTTTTCCTATCCATCATGAATCTGTGCATCTACTTTGCACAACCGGTTCATTTCAGCTGTTCTGGAACGTTACTCATCTGTCTTAGGAGAAAATTAATATGTTCGGCTTCTCTATTCTGTGCCACAGCCTCTAATGCCGAAAACTCACCGATTCACGATAGTTACTTACTCAACAGAGGTCAGTTACTCCTTTGTCACTCTTATATTGCTACTGCCATGGGCACGGTTCCCTGAACTAAACTCGTTGATTGTGAGTTGAGGACTCGGTCAACCAAAAACTGTCAACTCATCCACACAGTGTTCAACCGCCACACTGCAGGTCACAAGAATTCACTCACGTACTCATTCACCGACTCATTCACACACTCATCCACTTACTCACCTACTCCATGCAATGGAAAACTCACGCTTTGCTGCGCTGGCTTGGCACAGCCCCAGCACAGGTTAGATATGTCAGTGGAAAAGGATTAAAGGCCCTGTGTGTGTGCGTGCATGTGGCAGGGGCAGCTGCTGCTGTGGCTGTGGTTGCAAACCGTGCGTCCATACATTGAAATCATCGACGACTGGATCACGCTGGGACGACTTCACGATCCGTCACGCGAGTTCATCATTCAGAGGTGCCTCTGTCACTTGTGTGTAAGGCACAATGAGCAGCATGGGTGGTGCACCTGCCAATTATCTCAGGCAGTTCATCCATAGCACCTGGGTCTGACCTGCCAGCAACAAGCCTTGATGATGCCCTCTGAGTGCACCTAGCCTGGCACAAGTGCCGTTCGGACATCACTGCCACTTAGTGGAAAACGGCAGCTGTTCTTGTGGTTAGTGCATGCTCCACAAACCCAGCAACCCGAGTTTGATTCCCACTCATAACCAGCATCAGTGAAAAACATCTGGACCTATCCTGGGGCTCCCCTAGGTCTGATTCAGCCTTAAATGAGTACCCGGTGTGGTGTGTAAACATCAGCACTTGGGGGATAAAAGTGGTCGGGCGTGGTGCTGGCTACATCGCCCCCCATAGGTAAGGCCCTTCTGTTAGATATGGGTTCTAGGTCGACACAAAACAATCTCATAGAATAAAAACATTGAAAAGAACGACTGATGCTGTAGAAAATACAGCATTGTTCTCGTGATTTTTAATAGCAGACCAGCTTGTGATAGCATCATCCAAACTTGCAATGTATGTATTTTGAACTTCTTTTGCACCATACATAGCCAACTGTGCTAATCAGAGGTGTAATGTTTGAAAAACGACACCACGACAAACACGACAAATACAGTTGTCGCCCCTGCTGCGAAAGCCTCGCAGGACCCTCCTGAGACTGAGTCTTGAGACCAAGGCTTCATGGGTAAATGCACGTAAACAAAATAATCACCTTCATATGACTGATGTTCACGTAGAGCAGCAACTGTAATTTTACAAGGAAGTTATTGAGACAGATGATTGCATCAGGAGTCGTGGAATGCATCGCTGTGATGCCTCCTTCGCATTTGTGAACTGGGCAGTGAGTCGTTCTATGCTTCACTGTTTGTTCTGGGTGACCTCAGTCACTGCACACTGCCAGAAGGTTTTTAATTTTCTATTTGTTGATTGCATTAGTCGTGATTTCTCAATAAGCATGGTGGGCCACGTGTAAGCTGCTATCTTCTACTCCACGATGATAATGATGATGACGTTGATGACGACGACGACGAGAGTCAGGCGAGGAGGGAGCGCTGTGCCGGGCAGCGTCGTGATTCCGCGCTCGCCCTCTGGCTGCAGGAACGACGCGGAGCGCGTTGCCCGTCGCGACTTCTGGTTCTCCACCTACACGCTCTACTGCGTGTGCGAGAGGAACGGCGCTGCTGGGGGTGCCCGAGGGACTCCCACGGGGGGCCCAGAGGCCCCTGACGAGCCCACGATGGCAGCGTTTCTGAGACCCGTGCTCAAGCAGCTGATCCTGGCCGGGAAGTCAACGCAGCTTCTGCACGGCCCGGGGTTGGGGGGTCCGACTCGGCCCCCACACGGTACGACAGCGCTTCCCACCGCGTCCCCCGCGTCCTGCACGTCCGTCACGTCGCGGCACTGGGGCGGGCCTCTCTTCTCACACGAATAAAAAATTAGAGGTGGTGTTTGTGTGACCAGGTTGAGAACTCGAGAGGAGTCTCATTTGCAAGAGTGATAACCTGGGTTACCACAAAGACACAAGCAATCGCGTAGAAACAGCAACGAAGCAAATAGAAATCAGCGTAAAAACAAGCACTTGGTCCACGTTGATTTATCATTCATCTCTCGGCTGTTGTCCCCCACCTTGAATTCAACGTGTTTCTGCTTGCATCGCTTCACAGTTCGAATTCGGCAGGCTTCCCTGGGTACTACTTAAGAGGGTGTATTAACTGTAAAATATTCCGTGCCATCTACTTCACTCACAAACGGACGTTAAAGATCCCGTGATGTCATTCGAAACAAGCAGGCCGTTGTGTGATGGCGTCACAATCCAAGTGTGCCAAATTCCCAAAATTATGTTGCAAATTACACAATTTGGATTGCACACAGCAGCAATCATCGTCTCCTACTGGCAGATGAATGCCCACTTGCCGGCCAGTTGCTGAGTCACCTTGTGCCATCTTGTGCCGCTCAGGGACCGTTGCCTCTCAGGGTGCCCTTCGATCTTTGCGCACTGCCCTACTAACCCCGACATTTTATGTTGATTTCTGGCCACGGTCTGGGCCACTTCTCGGTTGACTCACTTTGAAAGATGTACCTGGTGAGACAAAGGGGGCCAGGTGTGGTGCTGGCTCTACCACCCCCTTGCGTGCCTTGCCGGCCTTAATGTCACTTAATTTGACTGGTTTTTAAATGTCAGTTGTCCAAATCAACTCTTGACTGTAAATATGTTGGATTTAATATTTATGGTGTTTGTGCATTATTTTAGATTTCTTCTGTAACGCGGTTGTTTACGCCCCGTTTTATTTTTGCTTTATGTGCTGTGCTTGTTTCTAAGTTTTTCCTTTTGTCATTGTGGTGACCCAGGTTCCTCTTGCACACAAGGCTCTATTTTTCGATTTTGAATTCTCATCCTGCGTGTGCGTCTGCACGGGGGACCTGTGTGTGTGCGTGCGTTCAGGCTGGGACAGGGGCAGCCTCTACACACAGTTCTGCGAGGGCCTGGATCCTCACCTGAGCCCCCCCGGGCGTCACGGCTGCTGCACCCCGTGCGGCACGGAGCCGGCGAGTGGTGGCACGGGGCCGGGGGATGGGGAGGAGGTCCCCGGGGCCCTCCGAGCGCACATGCAGGAGGAGCACCGGGACCCCCTCCTCGAGATCAACTTTTCCAGGTGCCCCCCAAGCTCTTACTACAATATCTTCCCTCGAGTCAAGAAAAGCGTGACATTTTTTATCGATCGCAAATCTGACGGAGCTGTTTGGTGCTGGCTGCTTCACGTTTTGGCATTTGGACCTTTCCTTAGCAGCTGTTTAAAAATTAAAAACAGTAAATATTCCCAGTGAGTGGCCGAGCCGAGTGCGTGAGTGTTGAGCCCGAGCTGCGGTTGAGCAGTTGCTCTGTGTTACCCAGGTCACATCTGCAAATGAGACTCCTCCTGGTCTCGTGAGTTCTCTCACCTGGTTCAACAAAATCAACTTGAAGTCGAACAAAGTCAAACAAATGAAATTATCACGCATACAAACATTTAACTCACCGATTGTTATTTTTTCAACTCACTCTGGTGAACTGAATCGTGACGTGGGCTGCGAAGACCCCCGTGTGATAAATCGTGACCGCGGTGTCTCCCGCAGGATGTTCCTGGTAGAGCGCAGCTCCTCGGCGGCGTGGGACGAATGCAACGGGAACACGGCGCGCGGTGGCGCCGAGGGGGCTGACGAGCCGCCCCGCCTCCGTTGCCCTCTCCTGCAGGCGCTGCAGCGCAGCCTGTACGGCCACGTGGAGCAGCGCTACCGTGCCTGCTGCGGGCAGCTCATGGCCACTCTCAAGTCGCACTGCAGGTCGTGCGCTCACGGCGGCGACACTCGTGCTTCGCCTGGGTTTGATTCTCGACTCGGGCACCTCTCTGAGTATTTATGTTCTCCCCCTGTTCTGCATGGATTTCTTCTGACTTTTACAGTTTCCTCCTATAGCTAAAACCATGCGATGTAACTGGTAGTGGCCAAAACATCCCAATGCTGAAACATTACTTGTAAGTGACTCAATTGTGATTACACAGCAGCAACATCACCCCTACTGTAAAAAGTTGGCAGGGCCCTCCTACAAAAGTGTCTTGAGACTCGGCGAAGCTTTCCTTGGTGAAAAAAGTTAAATAATAAAAACAAACACAGCAACGGTGTGGTCGGTGGCATCGACAGGGAAGCTGCCCTGCCAAATTTGGACCATGCTGCTCACACACAATGTATTACTCTTCTTTGAATGGTATCATGGGATCTTGAACATCCACTGTAAAAGAAGCAGATGGCAAAAAGTATTTAATGGCCGCTTGACGTTTTGGGCCTTTGGTTTCTGTGGTCAATGACTGTTTAAAGAAACAATTGTGGTTCGTAATTTATATTTGGGTTAGACCATGGAGCGATCTGGCCACATTTTTGTCCCTCCACCACCTGACCCTTCACCACGTGACGCAGCCAAACAAATTAAATCATCATGCGTATGAGCGTTTAACGTCGCGTACGAGGATTTAACGACACGCCAGTTGTTGTTTAAGCTCGTTGGTGATGATTGTGCCCCCAGGCTGCTGTCGCACGTGAAGGCCATGCGCAGCTACTTCCTCATGGAGGCCGGCGACACAATGCATGCTTTCTGCACGGCGCTCTTCTGCTGCGACGCCACGTCGTGGACACAGCCTGACGTGCTCGTCGCACAGCTGCAGCACGCACTCGCCACGCACCGCACGTGCCATGCGAGCAGGCACGAGATGCGCACCGCACACGCCACGCAGCCTATATGGGTGATCTTTGTGTGGAGTTGTGTGGAGCAAAGCTAGGAGGGGCGGTACTGTTAGCGAACAGCACCTATGAAGACCGGCACAGCATACGAGTGGGTGGATGGGTGGCCAGCACCTTGCCTGGCCACCTTTGTCTCTCTAGTGGTGATGTTTACACATTGCACCAGGTACTCATTTGATTCTGAGCCAACCTAGGGGAGGCCCAGTTTAGATAATCATCACTGGTATTGGCCCAGTTTAGATAATCATCACTGGTCGCCGGGTTTGTAGTGCAATGTTAGCCATGGTGCCACCGCTCCCCAACTCGGTCGCGTGCATGTAGAAGCTGGGAGTGTGCGTGTGACCCTGTGTGACCCTGTGACCCTGGTGGTGGTGTGGCCCTGCAGGCTAAGCGTGAGCGTCAGAAAGCAGAGCCGCTTCCAGAAACGAAGCCTCGTGCACGCGCTCGATGGGCTGCGGCTACACTACAAGGTTCACGTCCACGCGGCGCTGCGTGTTGCACCGCACGCTGCACACAGATGATAAACGTTATTTTGTATCTAGCAGCATTCATACAAACTGCAGCAGAGCAAGAAGCTTCTGCCGAGCTTGTGATGCTGCATGGAGTTCGTACAGAGTCTGCACAGTGGCCTCCACTGGAATCCGCAGATAAGCGCTTGGGAAGGCGGTCAGAACCAGTGCCAATAATTGCCCGTGCTGTGTGTTCCTACATTGGGATGTTGGGCCAACTCCATTCATGAGTGTTTATACGCATTGGAGGAAAACTGAAGTACCTGGATAAAACCCACGTGTGTGGGGGGGGATAACGCTCGATCCCCATATAGATGGAATACAGTTGGGAATTAAGTGGTACCCTGGTCATAAGCCAGGAGTGAAATTTACATCTGCGGGCAGTGGTAATGCATGCCTGTGGAGGTAACAAGGGTTAGTGTATTGTACAAATATCGTGAATCTCTTTCTCAAGCGTGTCGAAGAGCCATACCCAGGCTCACCAACAGAAAGTGGTCCTGCAAGTGTGGACTGACAGCGTGTCGCACCCCAGCATACGTGGGTCTTCTCCTGGTGCTTCAGTTTCCTCCCACTTGTATAACCACTCGTTAATTGGATAAAAAAACATCTTACTATATAGAGGGTTGCAGAGTTTGGGCCATTGTCGATAGGGCCGGTTCCTCACCGCCGTCCCGTTTGTCTGTGGTTCCTCCTCGCATCTCTCAGCATAACAAACGGCAAAGTGTCATTAGATGTAATCTCATGGAGAGCACACTCGAGCCGTGACATCTACAGATGTTGTGCGAGTGAGTGGTAATTCAGATTTATCAAGCTCAGACTGGCGCCATGTGTTAATGTCTCTGAAATAGTATTTTGTATTGAAGCAGCTCTGTGTCTTGCACGAGAATATGCCTGTTTGGGTCTTTACTCTTGATAATGTTATCATTGTTGAGTTTATTTGTGTATGGCAATATGTTCAGGAGCTGAATGCCAATGTCAAGGTCTACGAGAGGGCTTCAGGAGATAGTTCCTTGAGTTTTCCATAATACAATAGATAAGTGTGTCGTTAAACCTGCCACCACCCGACACAGCCAACTAGTAAGGGTTGTCACATTAACAGAAAATGCCAATTCGTCACTAGTACAGCACACCGGTGTGTTTGAGAGCCAAGCCACAACATTTACAATCTGAGTACAACGTTTTGCCAGTAATTACAACTAGCTTCATCAGGCGACAGCCAGCTTTGTGGAGAAGTCCACCTGTTTCGTTCCTTAAATAGAGGCGTAGACGTGATGACAACTCTTGTGCGCTCTTCTCGCGAGAAGTGGTGGGGGGGATGAATGAAGCAACGCGCATTATGCAAGCCCATTGTTCTTGTACTTCCTGCCGATTGTGTGGAAACTAAAATAGCCGTACCAACAGTATTGAAGTATGGTGGCCTGTATATACATGAATTTACACAATGTATTATTTAATGATTCGCTTCCAAGCAGCACTAAGTCTGGAGCTATCCGAATCATTTAAATTATTTGTATTTCTCTCAGTTTCGATAAATTATCTAATTAGTCTTGGCCAGTAGTAATTAGTTTTGCACAGAACTTCAACATTATCAAAATCAATTAAGTGTCCTTGTTGGCACACGTGTTCTGTATTTGGGAGTATTTAATATTTCGTTGATGTTATTGTAGTCTCGTGCTGGTCATTCGTCCTATTTGCCCAACATAGCATTTGCCATAAGTGCAATTAATAGTTTCGTTTTGCTGTTCCTCCCCCGTTGAAGGAGCGCGGACTGCAGTGGTTTATTTAGAAATGATTATCGAGGGTGAGGGAGGCCGGGAAGCAACTGAGCGACCGTGTGCTCTGTCAGGTCCCGTGGCCTCTGGACATTGTGATTAGCAATGAGGACCAAGCGCTCTACAACGACATCTTCCTCTTCCTACTCAAAGTCAAGTGGGCCAAGTGCAGCTTGGAGCAGCTGCGCTTCAAAGGCACGTGGCGAGGAGGGAGCAGGGAGTGTGCTTTCTGATCCACGTGCTCCCCCTTATGTCTCTGTAATTTCCACCGCATGTCTTTTCATGGCTTAGTGATTATCATCACTGTCATTGTGCTCGTTTACCCAGGAACACCTCGCCAAGTCTCAAGACTTTTTTTAGGAGGGTCCTGCCAAGTTTTTGCAGTAGGGGGCGATTTTGCTGTTGAGTCATCCAAATTGAGTAATTTACAGGTGATATTTACCAAGTATTGGCGAACATTCCATTACTGAATGTTATTGTAACATAATAAAACACCATTACTATTAATTGTAGGACCATTTGTTCAGTATCAAGACATTAAACACGAACATGCGGCTTCACCCTCTTTGTTTGGCATATATGTTCGGTGTGCTGATGTTCCATCATTGAACATCCATTGCAAGGCGTCGTACTTGCGTAGCCATGTTCATGGAGAAAAACGCAAGTATCGCTTTGAACATCAGAACACGTTACACCTCCGATTAGCACGGTTGGCAACGTACGGTGCGAAAGAAGTTCACCATGCATCCACGTCTATGCCAGTTGAAGTCAGTAAATCCATGTGTTCGTATTTAACACAATTTGTATTGTATTTTGTGCTGCATTAACAGATCTGCAGGAAACCAAGTGTAAGCAACAGCTGCAGCAGGCTTCTCATGAGCGTGTGGTGACGGAGAAGGGCGGTGGTAGCGGCAGTTGTGGTGGTGGCGTCGTGCCAGCGAGGGTGCAGGGAGGCACCTGGAGGCTGCGGGACGCCGGGTCGCAGTGTCGTTTGGCGCCGTCGCCGTCCAGGATCACGAGTTCCGGACGCGACCAGAGTCTGGCTCCTCACCGCATGTATCTGCTCCGCATCCGCATCCTCCACTTTGTCAACTCCCTGCACGGCTACCTCCTGCACAAGGTGCGTCCTCGCACCGCACAAGTCTCTAGTCTGCACCGAGCACCTCTTTTCCACTTCCACATCCGAGACCGTGCTGGGACCGTGCCGAACCGGCGCGGGTCAGGAAGGACAGGTTGCTTTTCCACGGCACAAACCGAGTCGCGCCGCCAACTTCGCATGTCCCGGCTAGATGGCGCGGTGACGCGGGGCAAGTTGAGAGGTCTGACGTCGCACGCAACGCACCCGTCATTGCCCCTGCGCCTGGCCCTGCTTGGCCCTGTGCCAGATTTAAATGCCTTGTGAGGCCAGTGCAGCACAGCGTGTTTCCAGCTCGGCTCGGTAGAATGCCGGTGGAAAATCACGCGCGCTGCTGGTGGTGCGGTGAGAGCGGCAGTGAGAGCGGCGGTATCGGTCCGCAGGTGCTGCATGGGACGTGGCGCGAGTTTGAGAGCGAGCTGGGCGCCGCCGCCGACCTGGACCAGCTGATCCACGTGCACGCACGCTACCTGGCGGCGCTCTCCAGCTGCTGCCTGCTCACCCAGGGAGTGAGGGCTCGCCCGCGCGCTCACCCACGTGCTCACCCAAGTGCTCACTTGCGTGCTCACCCGCGTGCTCACCCACACGCTCACCCACCGACACTCCACATGCACACTCCAGATTTGAAGCTTTCGTGACTGCAAGGATTCATACTCTTAGGTTTTTTCGGTAAAGTGATCATGGACACCATGGGCCGTAGTGGGGTGCCTTCTTTATGGATCTTGGGAAGACCATAGAATCTGGGAGGTCTTGCAGCCGAGGGTTTTAGGGAGGGACGTTTGGTTGGTTCGATTAGGGAAGTCGAACTCGTGATGATCTTGTTGGTTTTTGTCGTTAGGCTGTTAGTAGGATCGCTTTTAATTTTGGAGTAACTCCCATCATTGAGTAGGTCCAGGATTTTGTTGTTGTATTGAGCCTAAAAAAAGATTTAACTACGCATATTTGTACCATCTTATTTGACAGGTACCATTCTACTTTACCGAGTGTTGACGTCCCCAGCGTTTAACAGTACTGCATTCTTGTATTTGGATTGTCATCCAACACCGGTTACAACCCCCCGAGTCGAGGTGCACCGATTGTTCTCTTTTAGCCCAGCCCACCCCCTCCTAACACGTTCCATTCCCTGGCTACCACATTCAGATTAGCCCCCCCCCTCCCCCTTAACTTGTATTTAAGAACTTGTATCTTGGAATTTTGCTTCACTTGATACAGTAAATTTAGCTGTGACGGTCACACCTGATGACGGAGACTTGTGTTGCCTCCGAAACGTCGTGATTTATTATTTTATTTCTATTATTATTTCTATTATTTTTATTTTTACCTACGTGACTTTACAGAAAAAACCTAAGAGTATGCACACTCCACTCAACACACATCCCACATGCACACTTCTGCTCTATATGACATCATTACAACAATCTGGACCATAGGACAGGTTGCACAGAATTCGAAGGATGCCCTGGTAGTTCCCCACCTCCAATTAGCACAGTTGACTATATATGGTGCGAAAGAAGTTCAACATACATACATTTAAGAAGGGGAAACGCACGAATTGTAACAACTACTAGGGCATCCCCCTCCTCAGTGTGCTAGGAAAGGTCTTGGAAATGATTATTCAATTTCACCTTACCGGGCACGCTAAGTAGAGGCTTGCAGAACCCCAATGGGGTTTCAGGCCAGGGTGGTCCTGCACGAATGCCATATTCTCTGTCCGTCTGCTACAGCAGGGGTGTAGGGAATTTGAACCAAACCTATTATACCATGAATAGGCCATAGAGATCTGGGTTATTTTCTCTGCTTTTGAGGTTCGTAATCCTCTACTCACAATCAGTAAGGACCTTCATGATGGTGGGCAGGCCTAGGTAAAGGTGCATGGCTGGGAGTCAGAGTGATTCCATGTTCACCTTGTGGTGTGACAGGGATGCCTTCTGCCTGCTACATTATTTAACATTTCTATGACCAAGGAGTTCGAAAACATTTTCATGACTGTACTGTAGGAATTTCCATTTGGTACAGATACAACAGAAGGCTGATTGATACCCAGGTGTGATGAAGGGATGGCTTCCTATTGGTCAACCGTGTGATGTATGCTGATGATCTGGTAATTCTTGCTCATGCACAACTCAGAAGTCGGGCCTTACCAACGGTCCTACCAAAACTATGCACCTGCACACTCCACCTTCTTAACTCCCCTAAAGTGACGGGGCAGTTGTGGAGAGGGTGGAGAAGTTTCCGTACCTGGGTAGTGTGCTTATGACCAGCTCCGGTTTGCCAGAGGTCTCACTCCGAATCAGTTAAGTGGCATTATCTTTTCATCAGCTGTGTAATACTGTGTGGTAGCTACCTGGCCTGTTGCTCCACACAAAGCTTCGAATCTTCTCGGCCACAGTTATGCCCTCCCTTTTATATTTTTGCAAAACGTGAACCTCTCTGAAGGAACATCTGCGCCAGTTTGAAAGATCGAGGCTAGCCTGCCTACAATCCATCCAGGTTTTAACCAGGCTGAATTGTGTGAGGAGCTCATAGATTCTTGAAAGATCTGGACACCGTCCCATCATTGAGCACCTCCAACAGGCGAGGCTGCGTTGGTTGGGTGATGTATCTCGTATGCCAATTCTATGTGTCTGCTCGCATGTCCGTGTGTGGCCGCTGTATGCAGTTGGAGGTGCTGAGGGAGGCGCTGTTCCGCGTGCTGGATGTTGGGCTGCAGTTCGCTGCGTGCTGGAAGGGTGGCCCCAACACTCCCAGGTGGGGCGATTCTGCTGGATGGCTCAGCGAGCGGTAGAAAGAACGGCTTACAATCACAAAGTTGCGAGTTCACATCCTGGTTGGGTAGGTTGCCTCAACCCACCATCAGTCCATTGGAAGTCAACAGTGGTTGTCCTATGGATAGACCTGCCCCCTCCATAGGATAGTGGAATTTCCACCACCTGCTCAGGGTTGTAAGCAGAAGACGAGCACCAATGCCTCATGCTCATTTGAGCAGGAATCACTGACTTGACTTCCCCAATACTTGAATCATAACAAATTGTTACATCTTGCTACGCTGCACTCTGCAGTGGGCGTTAAAAGATCCCGTAATGTCATTTGCAATCTGAGGCCATTGTGTGCCAGCATCATTATCCAAATATGAAAACTTACCAAGAATAACTCAATTGGAATTCATATTCTTTGCTTCTTTCGGTAGAGTCACGTCGGTAGAAAAATAATAATAAAATGAGTAAAAAAATAAAAAAATAAAAAAACACGAGGTTTCGATTGCAACACAAGCGGTCGTCATCAGGAAAAGGGGGGTTAGCCTCTAAAGGCAAACTGTTTATAAAGGTTTAAAATGGGCGTAGCCCAAGTGTCAGCAGCATGGGCGGGGCAGCTAATGTTAATGTAAGTGATGGGCAACGACGGTGCTGGTGGTGGGTTTCCACCAATTAAAGGGCTGCCAGGTAATCATTGCACCTCGCTTTACAAACTCACTGTTGACGGTGGAGGTTGACGGTGGAGGTTTCTGCTAGATGTTGTTGCCCACTCCGATTATCACTTACATTAACATTAGCTGCCCCGCCCATGCTGCTGACACTTGGGCTACGCCCATTTTAAACCTTTATAAACAGTTTGCCTTTAGAGGCTAACCCCCTTTTCCTGATGACGACCGCTTGTGTTGCGATCAAAACGTTGTGGTTTGTTATTTGTATGATTGTTCTTTCTATCTACTTGACGTTACAGAATGAATTCCTGCAGTCACGAAAGTTAAGTCAAAATTTTACTCAATTGGATTATGCTTTTCAATCATTGCCCCCTTCTGCAAAATCTTGCCGGAACCTTCCTGATACAGAATCATGAGACTTAGTGAGGTTTTCCTTGGTAATGTAGTGGGCGTAAGTAGCGCAGGAGATGTCGATGGAGGCAACACTTGTTTATTAACAAGAGCTACGATACAGCACGTAGCGAACCCTAACACTTGAAGGGGTAACGGCCCCTTCACCCGATTCTAATAGAGGATGTTTCCTCAGCTAACGTTCCCATTAGCTCCTACTACACCCCTCTATCTCAGACCATCCTAGTGGAGGCTAACTGACCTGGCCCAGCTTCGGCTCAGGTCCGACCCTCAGCCACTCGAGTCTGGCCCTCACAGGGACCCAGACCTCGCTCTCTGAGGTCGCCCCTGGCTTGCCCTGCTCGGCTCTTATAAGAACTGCGAGACAGGGTAGTCCCAGGGCTAGGCTAGTCGCTCTTCAATCTTCACTGGCTCTTCATTGTCTTCTGACTCCGATGACTGCCTCGAGCTCTCTCTCTCACCGCCTTATATACCCAACCCCCCCCGAGGGGTGGGGCTGTGTGGGATCCCAGCCACAGCCTCCCACACAGCCCCCCAGGGTGGTGACCGTTTGCGGACGTTGATGTAGACACCCCCAACGTAACAGCTCGCCACACCCCGTTACGTAATACCTCTGCAGTAAAGAGGTGAAGTAATAATACACTCGGTATTAACCAGGGCAGCTTGCGGGAATCTGCACCACAAGTCTTTACTGAAATGTGTGTCTCAGCATTTCTTCACCTGTCTCTACGGCCTCTCATGTTTCCTCGTGTCTCTCCACATCTCCCCACATCTCCCCACGTGTCCCAGCGTTCACAGGCTTGGCTGCGTCTTACAGCTGGAGTCCGGATTCAACTGCAGCCGTTCCACGTTCCTCAACACTCTCAACCAGGCCGTGTGCCAGGGGAGGCACCCACTGCGTAAGGATCTATCGTTGTGCCCGTCTGACTTTCGGATGCATTGTCGGCATCACGATTGTTATTTAGTTGGCTGGGTCGTTCGTGCATGTACAACGGGAAGGAGTGGTGCGAGTAAGAGCTCTCACCTGTGACAACACTTAGTAGGGGTGAAACGTTGCCTTTATTTTGTAGCCAGGACGCCACAACGGTTCAACAGGGGAGTGGTTTCATACAGAACAAAAAAGTGGAATTAATCCAAAAAATTCACGAGAAATGACAACCAAGCACGCACACCCATGCCGATACCCTAGCGCACCATCTCCCAGGCACTGAAACATACCACTCGTACCAACCAATTGCAATCTTCAATTAAACTATACTCGCACTACATCTGTAAGCAATTGCAGGACTGGAGGTTTACCTTTTATAACTACACGATTACTTTTCAGCCACGCTGAGAGCTCCCAAGGTGTGACACTTACTGCAGTGTATGCTGTGTGTGTGTGGTGTGCAGTGGAGTCAATGGCTCAGGCCGTGTGTGGTTGACGCCATCGCCACCTCCCTGCCAACCGCACAAGGAACCCACAAGTGGCGGCCACCACTGCAATCCCCCACCACCCCATCATACCAACAGCAAGCGGGCGGTGTCGCGGTAACCATGGCTCAGTTGTTACTGACAACTACAGCCACAAGCACCATAGTGTATAGGCCACACGTGCACGGAACATTGTGACATTTAGATGTTTTACATTTAACACGCAGGTTGTAGATCCACGATAGATTTTAAGGGTAAACCACGTAACAATTTCTCCATATTTGTGTCATAAGACCTTCCACCGCCTGACACAGCAAAATAAATTAAATTGCCGAGCAATATACGAGTGTTTAACGTGCCAATTGTTAGTGTTAGCTCACCCAGATGTAGCTATAATTAGATATGCGACATTTCACTTGAATCTCAGAATCCTGGATTTTATTTACTTCCTGAACCTTGTTCTGAAGATGCTCGTCGTAGTTTCAAGTAAAACATCATAAATCTAATTGCTACATTTGGCTGTAAGCATTGTTTCAACTTACCCATGTGCCAAAATATACAAATTGACCTGTTAAACAATCGTACGCATGACACTTTAATTTGTTTCACTGTGTCAAGTGGCATGCATGACCACACCAGCAGCAGGTGTAATGTACAGCAGCAGCAGTAAATTGTATTTGACGTTGGTTGGGATAAGAGACAAGCAGACAGAACACAGAGGTCGGTGCTACTGACAAAATATTTTAAAATAGCGAATGTGCAAAATTATAACTCTGGGCATTTTATTGAGCGGTCAACAACTTGTATTTACATTTTAAAAACAACTCAAGTCTGCTCCCGCGTGAGTGAGAACATCGTGACGGTGCCATCTACGCGCAATGATGGACGCCAAGTCAATAAATATTTATTGTGTAAAAAGCCGTGCGTCGCTCGAGAACTCTTGCTCGCACGGCCGCATCGCTCTTCCAGTGTCACGCTCCGTGCGGTTGGGGGGGGGGGTTGCGCGCGGTGCCTAATACACCAGATCACACGTGCGTCCTGACATTCCTCACTTCGGTAATCGTCGTTCACAAACACAGCGCCATAATTACAACTGAAGTATACACAACTTGAATAACAAACAAAAAATAATCCTAATTTTTTTTCCCTCGAGTCAAACTTTAGTGCCTCGCAGAGGGGCCTTCACCAGCGGCACATTGGCAGGGCTGCCGTCCTGTTGATGAACCGGCGATGACTGAAGCTCGTGCAGCATTCGGCCTCCAGGAGGCATCGTCGATTCTCATGCAACTTTGAGATATCTCTATGCAAAAGCTGCCTTCTCATAGAATCAATTGTAATGAACTCCCATACTGTCCACAAGGCACAAGAGTTGCTTTCAATGGAAAACTAACTCTAAAGTGGAACCACCGTACAATTTAGCACTAAATGATGACCACAATACTGGTGACTATACTGGTAGCAGCTACACACAACAAGAATAACATAATTTGTAGAGATAAACTTTATTATTCTCTTTCAAGAATAAGTAAAAAAGAACAGGATTTAAACATTTCTTAGGCACCTTGTTTGGAATCCTGACTTCAGCATCATTATCGTCAGCCATGATCAATCCACTACTGGATGAGACCTCCCCAAGGTGCCGCCACCTCTCATGATCCCACCGTGCAACAATCCACCCAGCACCTGTGCAAAAGCAGACTTCAATGCTCCATCTCCCGACTCGATAAACCCGTCCAATCCACGGCCTGCCGTCGGTCACATGCACCACGTCGCCCTGTTCCTGGCGGGGACCGCCAGTCGTCACGCCACCGAGGCCACAGCCTGTTCGGCCAGAGGCCTCGCTGGCACGGCCCGCGTGGTCCCGTGCTGGCCCAGCAGATCGCCAAGCCGCGCCGGAACTTCCACTCGCGTGACAGGAATGCCGACGGTGTCGGGCTCGGCGTGGCCTTCGTGTGAACCCATGAGCGATCCTATCGGCACTGGCCGCGGCAGCGTGGTTCCAACCACGTCGTGGAACTCCATGAGGATGGGCCAGCAGTCGTCGATGGCGCTGGGGTAGGAGCTGGCAGCCCGAGTCTCCGGAAACCCCCCGGCGGACTGGCTGACGAACAGCTGGTAAGTGTCGCACGGAATTGACGCGCCACCATTTACCTGCACAAAGACAAATATCCCACTTGTAACTTTGACAGACTGTGGAGGCTAGTGCTGTTAGGGAGCACCTATGAAGGACAACATGGCGTACAGTGGGTTGTGTGGCTAGCACCACGGCCCACTGCCTTTGTCTCTCCAATGTTATTGTTTACACGCCACACCGCATACTCATGTAAGGGCAAGTTGATTTAGGGGAGGTTCATATATTCGTCACCAATGTTGGCCGTGAGCAGGAATCAAATTTCAGTTGCCAGTTTCGTAACGCAGTACTCTAACCATTGCACTGTGTGTAGGTAATTCTTAAGTCATGTAAGGATTACATGCATGTCCACACACGCAAATATACGTTTTTTACAACATTGTAAATGTTGTGAAACAAGTTAACACGCAGGTTTAGCAATCGGATTCGTAATAGATTTTTGGGTTAGACCACGTAATGATCTGAATAGATTTATTTTGTGAAACCCTTCAGCACCAAATATTGCCCAATAGAGCCTACATACAGAACACAGTAAAAGTCAGGATTACATTGAATGCGCCAATTCTAATGTCTGACTTTCTGGACCTTGCCCGGAAAATGCTGGTTTGCAGTGTCAAGCGTAACAATAATAGCCGATTAACAAACGAGCTGTTCTTCAACTCACAGGTAAGCGAGTCGAAACAAATAATTGGCACGTTAATTGCTTGCACACATGACGATTTGTTTCGATATGTTGGGTGGTGGAGGATCTCACGACACAGATTTGTGTCGACCACCTAACCCTGTCGTGAGTCAATGGGAGCTGTGGCTGCGGGGGAAACGTACATATCCCATGCAGGGCGGCTCCACGGGCCTCTCCTCCCGGCGGCTGTCGTCGTCACGATGCCCATACGCGAAGCCCAGGCTTCCGTCTAGCGTTGGGAGCGGGGTCTCCGTGCGGGCTGGGCCGCCGGACGGTTGGCGCAGTGACCCGAGGCGCGTGGCCTCGTCGGGCAGGTGGTGGAAGGCGTGCAGGATGAAGATGGCGACGATGACGGTGAGGAAGCCGGCGAGCAACCCCGCGGCGTCATGCCCACTCATGCCCTCCCACTCGTGGAAGAGCACGGCCGAGCAGAGCAGCACGGCGCTGGTGAAGCACACGTAGTAGACGGGCGTGACGAGCGCCGTGCTGAACACGTCGAGCGAGCGGTTCAGGTAGTTGAGCTGCACCACGAGGCAGCCGACCATGCCGAAGAGCAGCACGTACGCCAGGGGGTCGGTCAGCACGGTCCTCCAGCGGCCCGCCACTAGCTCGCGCACCGCGATGCCCAGGCCCTTGACGCAGGCCACGGTGAGGGCGCCCACCACCGAGCAGATGCCCACGTACACCAGCACGTTTGAGTCGCCCCAGCGCGGCACAAACACCACAACGAGCACCAGCGATGCCGCTACGGCCACGACGGCGAACGCCACAAACCCTGCAGTCCGAGTAGAAACACAGACCTACGTTTGTAAACAATAATTGAGCCACGCGTAATAATTTTGGTCACCAACAGCCATCGAACTGTGCCACTCCTGTTATGAGGTTGTGTGTTGATTAGAATTACTTGGAGCCGTCTTAAACACATACAAGTGGTAGATCTGAACTCGACAAAACCCTTTCATATGTACATGAGCGTGTGAGTGAGTGAGCGACCTTGTTGTTGTGACCTGCAGTGTGGTGGTTAAACAGTGATGGATGAGATGAAACAGCCAGTCTGGTAAACCGAGTCCTCCACACGGGTGGAGGACTTGACGAGTGTAGCTCACTAGAACAGTAACCGCGGTAGTAGTCATCGTAATCGCGGTAGAAGAGTGATACGGAGGTGACCGACTACCAATGAGCAAGTGAGTGGCTGGAGTGAATTCAGCGAGTGCCGGATCTTCAATCGAGCTGAACCTAAATTGAACTGCATCAAGCGCAGCGAGATAGAAACTGGCAAATGAACGAACCTGGCTCCTGCACACGCCGAGCCATCTCGTAGAGCGAAGACACCTCCTGGGCCTCCGGGGCGTGAATGACCATGATAGTGGAGCCCAGGAGGCAGAGGGCACAGCCCACCTTCCCCAGGAGATTGAGACGCTCACCCAGGAAGCACGAGGACAGCGTCGAACTGGGCAACACACGGTCAACACGACGCACAAAATCAACACGGGCGCACGCGGTCATCCCTCCCGCAGCATCAGTGGCACGCCGAGAACCGGTAGCGTGTTGGATTTGATTACAGTTTGCTGCAGTGTTGATATACCTAGGGCGGCTGAAAATAGTGTCCAGGTTTGGTATGCTCACTCGTTCACTTGGCAAGTCAGTCAGTAGCTCACCCACCCACGCACTCACACATTCACCCACGTATTCATGAATTAATTAATCACCCACGCATTCACCCACTCTAGTTATGCCACCTGTGCGGGTCTGCTCTGTGGAAATGGTGGCTCCGTCGTCTCACCTGATGATGACGCTGAGCGCTCCGAGTGGGGTCACCAGCGCCGCCGGGGCAAATGCGTAGGCTGCAAAGTTCGCCCCCTCGCCCAGCGCCACTGCAGAACAGGACGGGGGCCGCTATGAAGGTGAACGTTCTCACACGTCTACAGGCTACAGCTCAACATTCTACACGTCCAATTTTCAGCATTGGTTCAATACAAACAAACACTGGACTGGTTTCAACATGAAGTGTCACCAACAGAATTAGGCTCGCTTGAACCAATGCTAGTAAACTGCCAGATGTTTACCGTTAAGGACCCTCTCTGCTAGACGTGGGTCTTGGTTCAACGCGAAACTATACATCATGCAAAACAGTCATGAGCGTCGTGGAGAATATTAGTAACAGAACAGTCGATGACCGTAGCGATAGAAGAGTGAAAGGAGGCGACTGCCCTAGCATTGCCACTCCACTGGTGGGTTCCAGTTAAACATCTTAGCACACACGCGACAGCACAGATGAACAGAACATCGGATGTTTCTGACCCGATGTAATCTGTAAAATCGCGAGTACTCACTTGATATGAGGCCTGCCCACCAAATCCACTCTTTGAGATAGGCATGGCTGCCTTCACCTGGTAAACAAAAGAGATCGCGTTCATTGTTTTGTCACAACGCTCGTGTACCCAGGAAAGCCTCAGGGGGTCTCTTTAGGAGGGTCCTTACAAGTGTTCTGCAGTCGGGGCGATGTTGTTCCTGTAATCCCGATTAAGCAATTTTCAGGTTATTTTTCAGTATTTGGGATGTTTGGCCATTACCAATCACATTGTATAGTTTCTAGATTTGGGAGGAAACTTAAGAAGCCAGCTGAAACCCATTCAGAAAAGGAAACATTCACACTCCACACAGGAAGGCACCTGATCAGGAATCGAACCCAGGGCCTTCTTGCTATGATGCATGAGTGTTACTACGCTACATTCACCCCGCCGGCATTGGTTCAAATACAAGCAAAATTCTGAACCGGTTTCAGTATTCAGTCTTATCACATCGACCTGGCCCAATGCACGTGAACCACCAGATGTTTATAGTTAAGAACCCTGTTAGATATGCATACTCGTTCAATACAAACTATCATACTCGACACACATGAATCGTATCAGAATCTTTATTTAGACTGGAGGAATCCGATGACCCATGAAGCTTTTTTTCACAGATGTCCAGTAGAGGCGGGTTGAGTGGCATTCTGGGGAATGTTAGTAATTTGCATCTATAGAGATGATGAAACGTGAATTATCCAGCCTTTTCAATCTGCACACACCATATCCAAGAGCGAGTGTCCTCGCCTGCAAACATCTGGCAGGTCACCAGCATTGGTTCAAGCGAGCCTGACTGCTGATTTGACACTGAATGTTAAAACCGGTCCAGTGTTTGTATTTAAGCAATGCTGATTAAATCACTGCACTGCCAGAAGGTTGTGTGGCTGATAGGATGTGTAAAAAAAAAACCTTATTTTTACGTGTTGAGACAAAGGAGGAGGGAGGGAGGGAGTCCTGGGGTCTGCTGACTGATAGAGGAGGGGCAGGCGAAGAGACGAAGGCGGCGAGGCGCCTATTGGGCAATCACCAGCTCGGGAGACTCCCTTGGCCTGCAGCTGCAGGAGGCCGCGCTTCTTGAGTATGAAGCTGCCCCCTATGAAGATGCTGGACGCCACGGCGAGGGCCAGGCCGATGTAAAAGTTGTAGGGGCTGTCTCCCGCAGCCGCCGTGGCCGCCGTGCCGTTGGTCACGTTCGCTGTGGCGCAGAGGTCGATGCGCCCCACAGCCGGACAGGACACGATCACAGCGGCACCTGTGGGATGCAAAGCACGGCCACCACCTTCAGTGTCCACTGACTCCACCACCATCTCATTCCACAGCCAGTGGCAAGATGAAAACAAACACGGTCGCTGAGCGCAGACCCAATGGCCCAAAATGGCAAGCGTCCAGCAACAAAATCAGAGTTGTGGATTGATTCCCTTACGTAAGCAGTGGCGTGAGCAGGAAATTTAAAAGCTGTGCCTTTACCGTTTAATTGTGACTGATTTGCAATCCATCACTCATCACATTGTTGTGCAATATAGAAAAACAGACTATTTGTTTCCTCGACAAATCTATCTCTCCACGTGAAAAAGATTACACAACCCACAAGCCGCACTGCCTTTGGAAGTGTAGGATTTCAGCGGCATCGTTTCAAGACAAGCACACATAACTGGTTTTGACAGTGTCTCATCGGCAGTTCGGCTTGCTAAATCAGTGCCTATGCTGAACTCGGTAGCCTAATTATTATCCGTGCGACTGATTGGATGTGCAAGAAAGTCCTCTTTTTATGTACACACAAATGTGGAGACGTTGCCTGCTTATTTTATTTTGTGACTTATATTGTCCACAACGATGCTGATGCTTATTTTTAGTATGGTACAGTTTGGGTCTCTATATGGGTGTACATGTCTCTACGTGAGTCTGTGAGCTCCAGGTGTGAGTTTGGGTCTTTTTCCGAGTATGTGGGTCTCTGTGCTGCGAGACTAGGTCTGTGTGGGAGTCGATGGGTCTTTATATGATTGTGTCTGTGTGAGTCTATCGGTCTCCGTGATTGTGGGTCTGTGTGAGTATGGGACTGTGTGAGTATGGGTCTTTATGTGATTCAGTGGGTCTGATTATAATTGTGACTGCGGTGAAGCTCAATCACACATCCATTGTGCAGATGGTACCAAATGTGTTCATCCGGTGACCTGCGATCACCATTCAATTATTTCTCCAAACCCAACCCCAGTTATAAACTCGCCCATTGTTTATCAAAGGTATCGGACACAAAGAGCATCAACAATCAACGCCCCCCACAAACATTCCTCTCAATCACAACAGCCACGTCACGCACACCAACCCCTCCTGCATCACCACCCGTACGTGGTTAACGATCCTGGCGGACTCGTCACTACCACCATGAATCACAGATGCCAGGCCAAGAACGCCGTGGTTGTTACGCACTGCGGCTCCGCAAGGGGGGGGGGTGGAGGTCTGCGCGGGAATGTGGCCGCACCAACTCTGGCCAGACCGGTTCCACCGGTCCGCGTGGCTGCTGCAGGGTGTGCGATGCGAGCAGTGACAACGCCGATGTAAATATGCAAAAGAACTACATGGCCGTGTCCGGGAAGAGACCCCGGGTCCCTTCCCCTGGTTCAGCATCAGGACAGGAGACATCAAGGATGCGGACCATATCGCTCCAGAGCCAATCCGTGAGAAATGAGAGGCCATTGGTACCAAGCAAGAGACGGTGACTCCTCCGTGATCCAGAGCTCCACCACGAGAGATTCTCTCAAACTCTCAAAATATCTGGGTCTCTACGAGCGGCGCAGTGGTAACGCTCGTGCCTCATCAAAAATGACCTGTCGAGGTTGTATGTTCTCCCCCTGTTCTGCGTGGCTTTCCTTCCACAGCTAAAACACGCACAAATGTTGCTGTTAATGACCAAACAGCCCACGACAGGACCCTCGTAAATAAAGGTCAGTGTGGCTTTCCTGGGTAAATTGATACTCGTGCGGATATTGCCGCTTGGCAGATCTCAGCCCAGGCACACGAAGCGTCGCCACTCGAGTCGTCTGCTGCTCCATGTCCTCCGGTCGTCTTTCGCAAGGCCCCACGAAGCCCTCGCGTTGCGTTGGTCACATCCCCACACACGACGACGACAACAACAACAACAACGCTGCCCCGCGGAGTCCCGGCTGCCACGCTGAGCCGAGTGGGGCAGGTGCGCGCGGGGAGACACGGACTCACCTGGGCGGCAGCTGAGCGACACGGGGCCGCCGTTTACAGCAGACATGGCGCGTCTGTGCGGAGATCCGAGCGCCGTTGCTCGGCAGGTGATGATGATGATGAGTAGTGCGAGAGACACCTGAGCGCCAGCCCAGCCCCCCGCGTCGCTCCGCCCCCCACTCACCTGGGCGCTCGAAGCGCCCCGCGTCTCCCGCAGGCACCCGAACTCCACCCCTCACCTCACCCGCACCTCCCCCACGCACACAGCGGCTTCATTGCAGCCGGAACAATCCGCAATTGGCGCTCATTGTTATTGTCCTGTAGATGTTCATAGGATAAGAGGATCTTGATTTGAAGCTTTCGTGACTGCAGGAATCCATACTCTTTGGTTCTTTCGGTAAAGTCACGTAGGTAGACAAATATAATTAGAAGACTATCGGGGACAATAACGCAGCCCGTTACATCGTACTAGGCTCTAATGATGATAGCGCATTGTGCCGATAATCCCGACCCCAGGCCAGTCGGCCACACAAACAGCGTCCCGGAAAATATTGAGCGAGAAATGCAGCCCTGGGCACACCACGTTACGTACATCCCCTCGCCACCAGCAGACTCCGGACTCGATACCGACAAGCGGGACTCTGCGCTGGCCTCGCTGTAACATCGAGCCACAGGCTGCATCACTGGGACCTTCTGCCTGGCGGCCGCGGGGACCTGGGGCCCGTGGACGAGCACCACGTCCGTCGCCACTGCCGCGTGCTCGCCAATGAGCAGGCAATGCGTGGCCATGTCACTCCTGTAACATGCAAAGGCGTAGCCCTGCAATTACTCGCTCAAGCCACTGCTGGCGGGAGGGTCTTCACTCGAGAGAGGACAGTAAGTCCTCTATCCATAATACAGGTTTACTTTTTGGGTTAGATCGCGTAAATATAAATGTGCCACCACCCGACACAGCCAATTATTGAGGCTTGTCACGTCAACAGAACGTGCCAATTCGTTACTCGTGCAGCACACCGGTAGGTGTTGGAGAGTAAATCCACAACATTTACCATCTGAGTACTCTCCAACACACCGGTGTGCTGTACTAGTAACGCATTGGCATGTTCTGTTTACGTGGCAACCCTTACCAATTGGCTGTGTAGAGTGGTGGCGAGTTTAACGACGCATTTATATTTACGCGATCTAACCCAAGAACATATTTTACGGATGATCTGTTTACTATTTTGTTTATCTGCAATGCGCGAGGCTGTCCACACGAGGGCGCGGCGGCGAGGCCCCCGTGCGCCACCTGCTGTGAGGCCACGAATCGCACCCTGCGCGCGTGGGAGGCGCCAGGGGTGAGGGAGGAGTGAGTGGACGAGTGAGCGGTGGGTGATGAGCGATTGATGAGTGGGGGTTGAGTGAGGAATGGGTGCGTGAAAACCGAGCAGCGAGTTAGAAGTGGAACACTTCCGATATTAGGAAACCACTGGGAGCTTATACACTTTAAAATAATCGAGATTGAAAACGCATTTATTTACAACAGATGTTTGTGTTTAGTGTGTTGTCACCCGCATCTCCGATTGGCACGGTTGGCTACTTAGGGTGCGAAAGAAGTTTAACATACATCCAAGTGGGCGGTGAGTCGGTGGTGAGGGGAGCGTCGTGAGTGAATGAGGGATGAGTGAAGGGAGAGTGAAGGGAGTGTGAGGGGTGAGTGAGAAATGAGTAAGGGGAGAGTGAGGGATGAGTGAGGGATGAGTGAGGGATGAGTGAGGGATGAGTGAGGGGAGAGTGAGGGGTGAGTGAGGGGTGAGTGAGGGGAGAGTGAGGGGAGGGTGAGGGGAGAGTGAGGGAGAGTGAGGGGAGAGTGAGGGGAGAGTGAGGGGTGAGTGAGGGGTGAGTGAAGGGAGAGTGAGGGGAGAGTGAGGGGTGAGTGAGGGGAGAGTGAGGGAGAGTGAGGAGAGTGAGAGGAGAGTGAGGGGTGAGTGAGGGGAGAGTGAGGGGTGAGTGAGGGGAGAGTGAGGGGTGAGTGAGGGGTGAGTGAGGGGTGAGTGAGGGGTGAGTGAGGGGTGAGTGAGGGGTGAGTGATGGGTGAGTGAGGGGTGAGTGAAGGGTGAGTGAGGGGTGAGTGAGGGGTTAGTGAAGGGTGAGTGGGGGGAGAGTGAGGGATGAGTGAGGGGAGAGTGAGGGGTGAGTGAGAAATGAGTGAGGGGAACGTGAGGGGTGAGTGAGGGGTGAGTGAGGGGAGAGTGAGGGGAGAGTGAGGGGAGAGTGAGGGGAGAGAGAAGGGAGAGTGAGGGAGAGTGAGGGGAGAGTGAAGTGTGAGTGAAGGGTGAGTGAGGGGAGAGTGAGGGGAGAGTGAAGGGTGAGTGAGGGGTGAGTGAGGGGAGGGTGAGGGGAGAGTGAGGGGAGAGTGAAGGGTGAGTAAGGGGTGAGTGAGGGGTGAGTGAGGGGAGAGTGAAGGGTGAGAGAGGGGTGAGTGAGGAGGGAGTGAGGGGAGAGTGAGGGGAGAGTGAGGGGTGAGTGAAGGGAGGGTGAGGGGAGAGTGAGGGGAGAATGAGGGGAGAGTGAGGGGTGAGTGAGGGGAGAATGAAGGGTGATTGAGGGGTGAGTGAGGGGTGAGTGAAGGGTGAGTGGGGGGAGAGTGAGGGGAGAGTGGGGGGTGAGTGGGGGGTGAGTGAGGGGTGAGTGAGTGAGGGGAGAGTGAGGAGGGAGTGATGGGGTGAGTGAGGAGGGAGAGTGAGGGGAGAGTGAGGGGAGCGTGAAGTGTGAGTGAAGGGTGAGTGAGGGGTGAGTGAGGGGTGAGTGAGGGGTGAGTGAGGGGAGGGTGAGGGGAGAGTGAGGGGAGGGTGAAGGGTGAGTGAGGGGTGAGTGAGGGGTGAGTGAGGGGAGAGTGAAGGGTGAGTGAGGGGTGAGTGAGGAGGGAGTGAGGGCTGAGTGAGGAGGGAGTGAGGGCTGAGTGAGGGGAGAGTGAGGGCTGAGTGAGGGGAGAGTGAGGGGTGAGTGAGGGGAGAGTGAGGGGTGAGTGAGGGGAGAGTGAGGGGTGAGTGAAGGGAGAGTGCGGGAGAGTGAGAAATGAGTGAGGGGAGAGTGAGGGGTGAGTGAGGGGTGAGTGAAGGGAGAGTGAGGGGAGAGTGAGGGGTGAGTGAGGGGAGAGTGAGGGGAGAGTGAGAAGTGAGTGAGGGGTGAGTGAGGGGAGAGTGAGGGGAGAGTGAGGGGAGAGTGAGGGGAGAGTGAGGGGAGAGTGAGGGGAGAGTGAGGGGAGAGTGAGGGGAGAGTGAGGGGAGAGTGAGGGGAGAGTGAGGAGAGAGTGAGGGGAGAGTGAGGGGAGAGTGAGGGGAGAGTGAGAGGAGAGTGAGGGGTGAGTGAGGGGTGAGTGAGGGGTGAGTTAGGGGAGAGGGAAGGGTGAGTGAGGGGTGAGTGAGGGGTTAGTGAAGGGTGAGTGGGGGAGAGTAAGGGGTGAGTGGGGGGTGAGTGGGGGGTGAGTGAGGGGTGAGTGAGTGAGGGGAGAGTGAGGAGGGAGTGATGGGGTGAGTGAGGAGGGAGAGTGAGGCGAGAGTGAGGGGAGAGTGAAGTGTGAGTGAAGGGTGAGTGAGGGTGTGAGTGAGGGGAGGGTGAGGGGAGAGTGAGGGGAGAGTGAGGGGGAGAGTGAAGGGTGAGTAAGGGGTGAGTGAGGGGTGAGTGAGGGGAGAGTGAAGGGTGAGTGAGGGGTGAGTGAGGAGGGAGTGAGGGGTGAGTGAGGGGAGAGTGAGGGGTGAGTGAGGGGAGAGTGAGGGGAGAGTGAGGGGTGAGTGAGGGGAGAGTGAGGGGTGAGTGAGGGGTGAGAGAGAGGAGAGTGAGGGGTGAGTGAGGGGTGAGTGGGGGGTGAGTGAGGGGTGAGTGAGGGGAGAGTGAGCGGTGAGTGAAGGGTGAGTGAGGGGAGAGTGAAGGGTGAGTGAGGGGTGAGTGAGGGGTGAGTGAGAGGTGAGTGAGGGGTGAGTGAGGGGTGAGAGAGAGGTGAGTGAGGGGTGAGTGAGGGGTGAGTGGGGGGTGAGTGGGGGGTGAGTGAGGGGTGAGTGAGGGGTGAGTGAGGGGTGAGTGAAGGGTGAGTGGGGGGAGAGTGAGGGGTGAGTGAGGGGTGAGTGAGGGGAGAGTGAAGGGTGAGTGAAGGGTGAGTGGGGGGAGAGTGAGGGGTGAGTGAAGGGTGAGTGAGGGGTGAGTGAAGGGTGAGTGAGGGGTGAGTGAGGGGAGAGTGAGGGGTGAGTGAGGGGTGAGTGAGGGGTGAGCGAGGGGAGAGTGAGGGGTGAGTGAGGGGTGAGTGAGGGGTGAGTGAAGGGTGAGTGAGGGGAGAGTGAGGGGTGATTGAGGGGTGAGTGAAGGGTGAGTGAGGGGTGAGTGAGGGGAGAGTGAGGGGTGAGTGAAGGGTGAGTGAGGGGAGAGTGAAGGGTGAGTGAGGGGTGAGTGAGGGGTGAGTGAGAAATGAGTGAAGGGTGAGTGAGGGGTGAGTGAGGGGTGAGTGAGGGGAGAGTGAGAAATGAGTGAGGGTTGAGTGAGGGGTGAGTGGAGGGTGAGTGAAGGGTGAGTGGAGGGAGAGTGAGGAGTAAGTAATAATTGAATGGTGAGTGCTGATTCATGCTCCTGCATCTCGCACGCACATGGATCCGGGTTGCGTGAGATGGAGTTGATCGCCATGGCGACGTGTCACGTGATCTATTGAGAGGCGAGCGAGGCCGGGGAGCTGAGCAGGGCGTTGTCATGGCGACCCCCCCCCCCCCACCCGCAAGTGGTTACCATAGAAACCTGCCAGGGGTGGTTACCAAGGCGACGGTAGATGGGGTTCTCTGACGAACACTTTGGCCCACGTGCGCAATGTGCAAAATGTCCAGAGACGTGGGGGTAGTCCGTCACATTCGATGGGCTCTCCTGTGATGACGGCGCAGTGAGGGAGTGCAAGTAGTACTGTGGTTCTGTTAGGAGTGGTACTATAACGGAGTGGTTCTGTGTGGGAATGGTTCTGTGGGGAGTGGTTCTGTGGGGGAGTGATGATGTGGGGGAGTGGTACTATGACGGAGTGGTTCTTTGTGTGAATGGTTCTGTGGGGAGTGATTATGTGGGGGGAGTGGTTCTGTGGGGGAGTGGTTCTGTTCGGGAGTGGTTCTGTGTGTGAATGGTTCTGTGGGGAGTG